TTTTTTTCTCTTCTTCTTTTTTTCGTGCAAACTCGCATAGATAGAGAGAGACGCGCAATATAAGCAGTTGAGAGGTATATAATGTATAATACTTAGTCGGTGTGGCGCGGCCGCAGCGCTCAGCCTCGAAATGCCGTCATTTCCTCTGACATTTGTTTTTACTCGCCTTGGGCGTATCGTGCGCGCCACGGAGAGATGGGCGTACAGTGCGTGCTGTAAGCATACACGTCTTATGTACAGGGTATGGGAAAAAGAGTATCCACTTGAAGCTCGCTTCTTTCTTGCGCGACGCACGCGGCCGAGCCCTATGCTGCCACTGCTCTATACCTAGATATAGTGGATGCGTGGCTACGAGGAGAAAAAAAACGAAGAAGAAGAGCGAACGAACGAACGAAGGAGCATGGAAAAGCCTGTGCGCGCGAGCTCTGTGCTAGGAAACTTCCAACTTCCGCAGTTTGTGTGTACTACTGTGCCACTACGACTATACTGGCGCAGGGTATGTTTTTAAAAAAGAGGAAGAACTTTTTTCATTTTCCTATATATAGACATATAGAAATGTTGATTTTTCTTTGCGCCCCATGAGGAGTTCAAAAGGGACAGAAAACAAAAAAGAGAGGTAAAAGGAAAAAAGAGGGGAAAAAGAGCAGCAACTCGATGATTTATTTAAACAAATACCCGCGGAAAGGTGGAAAAAAGTTCTCGACGCGCTTGGAGCAAATCTCACGCATTACCATGATCGCGCCGCGAAGGAGCAATTTTTTCCCAGCCCTTCCTTTTTCTTCCCTTCAACGTGCGAGCGAGCGAAAGAGAGAAAAAGATAACGTTCTGGAAAAGAGACAGCCAAAAAAAGGAGAGAGAGAGAGAGAGAGAGAAAGGCGCGCGTCTTTAGTATTGATTGTGCTGCGGCTAAAAGTTCAACTCCGTGCTCCTGGGTGTGTATCGGTGCAGTCTGAGTCTGTGTGTATGTGTTATACTACATGCCAGCTCGCGGAGTAGCTGTGTGGCAACTTGCACTGTATGAGCGCACGTAATGCATAGTTTATTTATAAATTTTTGCTAGCTCCCCATCCCCCCCCAGATTTCTCGTCTTGGTTCTCTCGTTTCTCTCCAGAAATATCAGTCGGGTGAGAGCGCAGAGAGGCAGCAGCAGAGGCAGTGGCAGGCAAGGCAACGGCGCTGCGGCGCGAAGTGCAGCGGTGGCGCGAGAGAACTTAAATAATAACGCCGCGCGCGCGCGCGATGTGCAGCGGTGCACACTCCATATACGATATAATTGCTTCATTAAATTTGCACGATAGCCTGGATCGATTTTAATCTGCGCGTTATATTAGCATATTTTCCGCATTTTAATGCCTGCCTGCCTCGCCGAGTCGTTTTCTCTCCCTCTCTCTCGCGCGCAAGCTCTCCCTCTCCACTCGCTCCGACTCCGACTCAATACGGACGCGATTTTATTAAATAAGTAGTAATTTTGGTCGTCGGCCGGTGCGCGTTAAAACAATACCATAAATTGCAGAGATCGCCACGCTCCACGCCAGAGCGCACACTGCCTCGCTCTCAGCTCCAGGCGCGCGAGCGAGCTTGCAATGCTGCTGCTAGCTGGTATACAGCTGCATGAATGGCCCTTTATTCGTCATAAATCATTTAAGGCCTCTCGCTCGCTCTGCCGCGCGTAACGCTCGCTACTAGGTAGGTAGGTAGGTAGGTACTGCTGCACGCGCGCGCGCGCGCCTAAAACATAAACAGCCAAACTTGCGCTGCGCCCGCGCGCGCGGCCGGAACACTAACAGAAAGAGAGGAGGGGTATAGCTAGATTATACTCGAATGACAATAATATTCCTCCGCGAGTCAACAACGTGTGTACGTGTATGCCAGGTCGTGTGCGAATGTGCCCAGGGCTACTGCCTGCCTCTACTTGAATAAGGTCTGCTTCAAAGTGTCGACTTATATGCATCGTAAATAAGATTCACCCAGCCTCTGCCTAACTCCGACTCTCTTTTACAACTATATAACAGCAGGTTGTGCATAAAGCAGCAGCAGCAGCCAGCGGTACGTACATATAGCAAGAGGAAGCGCTACAAGAGACTGCCATACTGTGGCTTTGATAATGTCGACCTCCTCGTGTATGTATACACTCGGCCCCGCCGCCGCCGCCGCCGCTACCACCGCCCACACACTTGCATGATACAAGAAAGGTCGGTTATGGAGAGTAGAGAGAGAGAGATGCATCCGCGCTTTACGAACACGGCTGTGCTCACCTCCCATTATCATGTATGAAGCTTTCCTCGGCCCTGGCTTTCTCTCTCTCTCTACTTTTTTTTATTCGCGTTATGGATTTAATTAATTTTTTTTCCTTTTCCTGTGTTTTTTTATCTTGTTTCCTACGTTCGCACGAATCGAAATTATTTATACGCGCGAGATTCAAGCGGTGTGTGCATCTTTCAGCGAGGTGGAAAGTACAGAGAAAAAAAAACTAGCGTGAGTGGGGGGGAAAAATGTTGAGAGAAAAGTTACAAGACGCGAGCTTGTAGTACATCTAGACAAGGCAGTACGCTAGTAAGAGAGAGAGAGCTGAGCGAGTCGAGGAAAAGTGCCAAATAGAATCGTCTCAAGGCTTGGCTCGGCTTGGCGGGAAAAAAGAGAAAGAGAGAGAGAGAGAGAGAGAGAAAAACTGTCAACGTGCAATGCACAACACTGCAGCTTGTCTTGGTATATACTACTACTTTGCTAGACATGAAAGTCTTTGGCAAAAAGGGGGAAAAAATGCCAGAGCGCTAAACTCGATCGCGTACCAGCGGCATAGCTCTCTTTTTTTTATATATATATAAATATACCTATACTCGGGAGTAGTACGTAGTATACGAGGCAGGCATGCAGGCAGGCAGGCGAGCGGCATTGAAAAAGTAGATAAGTGCCACTTGAAAGCAAGCCAATTACCTATGAATCTTTGGTCGCTTTATTATCCTCGTTGGATACATATTTTACGCGCCGCGAGACGCACCACTAGCGGCGGCTCGCACGCGGAGAATCTCGTTAAAAAAAATGAATCGCATCCATCAGGCGAGCAACGCAGCAGTGTGCATGTAGCCTAGCCCCAGCTCTATAAGCTATAAGTACACAGTGAGCGAGCGAGCGAGCAGAAGCGGCATTAAACGCGCGTAACTATAGTGGTACTATAGGGTACTACATATCTATATGTATGCCTCGGTACTCGCTGCTGCAGCTGGGCTCTTTTTCTTTTTCTTTCCCTCGACGCGTAAACGTAACGAAGTCTCTCTCACGCTCGCTTGTGCTCTCGAGCTGCTGCGACTGCTGCGAGTCGCGCGCGCGTGCGAAAGCGTGACAATCGGATCCGTTATTCCCTCCTGTGACCTGTACGCCAGTCTCTCTCTCTCTCTCTCTCTCTCTCTCGCTCTGTGTATCTGTAACACGCCTATCATTCGCTGCTTTTACAATAGGGCTCTGTCGCGCAGCTAGGCGCGAGTCGAGCTTATCAAAGCTCCCCAGCTCGGCCTCGATTCGCAGCCAGCTCTACTGTACTATACTACTAGCTATACAGCGTAGCTAGCTACTGCTATGTACTCCCCCGCGCGCGCCCTACAGCTCGCGCGACTAAGAATCGAACTCGCGCTGCATGCAGTTTCGCGATCGCAGCAGCGGCAATGCAACTGCTCTCAATGGGGGACTGCTGCTGTTGCTAGGCCACACACAGCTCGCAATAACATTTTTTTTTTCCTCTCGAACGCGCAGGAAATTCGATGGAAATTACACTCTGCTGTGCTATGCGTATAGGCCCGAGTACGTGTACACGTATTATACAAACACACAGCCAGCTTTTACTGTGCTTTTACTCTACGGCACATGTAATATGCACCGGCAGGAAATGAGGTACTTTTCCGAGCTGGCGAAGATGAAAAACAGTGCGAAGCTCGCTGGAATAAATATATAATGAAAGCCGGAGAGGAGATCGGCCGCACGTCGAGCTGCTGCCGAGTCATCGTCGAGAAGCGCGAGGAAATATATTGCAGCAGCAGCGGGCGAAGAGTTTGGATATATTCGACGATATATATTTTAACTGCGTGCGGGTAGGGAAGGAGAGAGGTGACGACGACTATCCGACTCGTGTGTTGGCTGTGTAGCGCGATATACAGTATATATACTACGCGCGGTAGTCGAGCCGAGCTAGTGGATAGGGTCAACGTATGGAAAGACTCATCGCTCCGTGTCTCTCGCTGCGCAATGCTGTACGTTATGTATGTATACTCGTACACACGGCAGCTCGGTGGTGTACACACATTTGCGGTACTCCAAGTACTTGCAGCCGACTGCTGTATACGCTCTCGCTATGCGGCAAAAGTTGCCCGCGCGCAAGCCTACATCTATATAGTCGTCGGAATGGTATAAACTATTCGATGCACGAAGTGATAATCTAATCACTTAACGAGTCATCCAACCCTATCTCTCTCTCTCTCTCTCTGTCGCTCTCTCTATATAGCTTTAGCTCCCTCGTTCCCTCTCTTTCAACGTAGTTGCAACGGCAGCCGCTATATAGATAGATATAGCTGCCGTGCATGCACACGAATTCGCGCAGAGACATTATAGGTATGGATGGTATAACGTGTACATCATCCTACAGCATCTAATAACCCGCACTATCTATCTCGCTCTCTGTCCGCAGAAACATGTATATATACTGCCTGCCTGCCTGCCTGCCTGCCTGCCTGCCTCTAGCATATAGGGGTCCAGAGGGGGTGGTACTGGCACACTACTGCTACGCGCGCGGTAGTAGAGCACGCGCGCACAGCCACCAGTGCAGGAGGAGGCGGAGGAGGAGGGAAGCTGGAGAGAGAGGAGGGAAGGGAGGGATCCGCTGCTACTGCTGCTGCTACTGCCGTTACCCCCAAAGCCCGGGGTGAACGAAAGAGAGAGAGAAGAGAGAGAGAGAGAGAGAGAGAAAGAGAGAGAGGAGTAAGCTTGCTTCAGTATCGAGTGCACCGCTCGCCCGGTCGCTCGAACCGCTTTATCTCTACGCTCGAGCTGTGCACTCTCTCCTAAACGTAATACGAATACATCGCAGCACACACAAGTATCATATTATTATATATGTACGTATAGGTCGGTGCGAGTGTGTTTTATATATAACGTGTACCGAGAGCCACATGCTTTTGTTGCGTGCCTGGAGTTTTTAAAGTGTCATCGCAAGTGCTTTCTTAGGAGCTCTGCCATCCAAAGCTTGGCATTATTAATTTAGAAAAATTAATGCTTCATCGACGTCTGGCGCTCAGTCCAAAAGAATTCAAATTTCGTATGTACGTGCAGCAGCAGCAGCAGCCGATATATCGAATGAATGAGTGATCTCGCAATACGTATTCCATTAGAATACACAAAGAGCAGCAGTCGTGGTAGCCGCAGCAGATCGAGCTCTGAATAATACAGAAGAAAAAGAGGAAGGCAGCAGCAGCAGCAGCAGAGTCGCATAGTGTGCAAGTGCTAGAGAGCATCTCGCGTAGCAGTGGCCGCGTGTGTGCGCGTGTGCGCGTGTGCATGGCAAGAGTCAAGTGCGGGGCATGGAGATTGCTTTTCGACTGGTAAGGCGTAAAAACAAGCTGCTATACGTTATACAGCACTACACAGCACGCTGAACACGGCACACACACATATACACGTATCAAGGGGGGCTTATACACGTAATAGCATTCGATCGTATCGCGCAAGCGACTCGAGCGTAAGAGCGATAGATGCGATTAATTATATGGGATATAGAATTACCGAACAACAACAATAACGACGACTACGACGGCGCGTGGAGTAAGCAACGAGCGAGAGCTGATGCGATGCTGTGTTGCGGCGCGCTACATGTACATCATATAATAATGCGCACTACTCCGTCTTTCGCTCGAGCGCGTGCACGAGTCGCGCTAATAATAATATAATGGATATATAGAGAGAGGCGCGATGCATGTGCCGTAGCTGCACGCGGCAGGGTAAGTTAAGGGAGGCGAAGGGAGGAGGAGGAGGAGGCAGCAGCAGCAGAGTTGCCTCACAAAGGGCCAAAACGCAATCATCACTGCGATCATCAATTAACAGTCATACGTATAATCTCCATTATGAGCTTGTACATTGCAGCAGTCACAGAGCTCTATATGTACTACTACTGCTGCACTGCATGGCTCCGTCCTCCTCCCGATATTACCTATATAGATATATAGACAGAGAGAGAGAGAGAGAGAGGAGGTACACACATGCATATACTCGCGCGTATCCCCGAGTTATGTATACGCTGCAGGTATTCTCTGATATCATATCGTCTGGAATAATCCACGCCTCTCGAATATAAATCCTTATACATGCGCTATATACGTACTACTACATCGCACGTATTATGTATACATGCACGCTAAAATTCGTGTGCGCGCACACACACACACACACAAAGCCTTTGAATTTCGCATCGATACACGTCGCTGCTTGGTCGCTCGCTCGTGTACACATATACATAACGCGCGGGGATACGTTCGTGCGCCGCACGCCGTAGAGCTTGCAGAGTGCCATCGACGCGCACCTGCGATGCTTTTTCGGCGAGTTAAATGGCCTCGAAAAAAAGTGGCATGAGCCGTGCCGAGGCTAAATAAATGTGGTGGCAGTTGAAAATATGCCACGCTGCGCTGCACACGCTGTATACATTATTTTATATTATTATATATACAGGATCGACGAGGCTCGTGCACAAGGCACAACTTGTTGATGTGCCAATGCGATGATCGATATTGGGTTAGTGGGTTATATAGAGAGATGTGTGAGAGAGAGACTGTGAGAGAGCCAAGCGAGATTATTAAATCAGTCGAGTCGCCTGTTAAAGCGTCACATGCAGCACACACACACATGCCCACGTCGAAGCAGCAGCAGCAGCAGCAGCAGCAGCAGCAGCAGCAGCGACAGAGAGAGGGATCAAGTTTGCCTTCTTTGATAGAAGAGAGACGGGGAGAATGGAAACCTCTAAATCGGCCAAATTGACTCAACCAAAAGCTTAGTCGCGCTGCACAAGGCGTACGATCTATATACGTCTATAAATATATAACTATGTGTACGTCGCGAGCACACATGCACACATACACACACACACACACACACACACACACACACACAAACACACGAGGTAGAGGGTTAGAGGCAGGCGCGCGCGGCCCGACATCGAAAACACCTGCAGTTGAAAATACTCGAATGTCGCGTTACATTCCGCATCGCTGCTCGCCGCTCGCCACTCTATTTTCTCTCGACTCACCCTCTTTGCTCTTTCGCTCTTCGGGCGACTTTTTTCCTTCTTCTATACTTCTCTTCTTCTTCTTCTTCTTCTTCTTCTTCTTCTTCCTCCTCCTCTTCTTTTTCTTGTGCTATCGTAAAAAAATTTATATACGACGTCGTCGATGATGTGTGTTCCGATTCTCTCAACGAGTGCATTATAAGACTCTAGACGACAACGAGAAAAGAGCAGCGCATGAGTAGTGCCATGCAGTGGTGTGTAGAGAGAAGAGCATATGCTCGAGGCTTTTGACTTTATGGGCATTGATATGGCTTCGTACGGTGTAACGACATTTTTTTCACTTGCACCGACGGCACTTGTATCTCTCGCACTCGTTCTCTCTCTCTCTTTCGTTTATACGCTTCTATACACGTTGGCGAGAATTAAATCGCTCGTGGATTGTTTCGCGATAAAACGTCGCCACGAGAAATTGTCGTCGAATTACGGGGGACACGTGAAAAATTGTCATTTTTTCGCATTAAGCTCCCTGAATCAACGCGCGAGCGAGAGTAAAGTGCCCCTCGTTACTGTATTACTTCTATATAATGTAGCGTCGAGTGAGCGACAAAGTGGATCTCTGTCTGTCTCTCTCTCTCTCTTTCTCTCGCGGAAAAAAGCCAGTCGAGTTGCGGCGTTGCACGAAAAATTTCTCATATTATATATCGCGCAGCGCGCGACTTTATATATATAAAACGCGACTACGCGACGATACAACTTGTATAAAAGCTCGACGAAAATAAAAAAGCTAACGGGAAGATTTTAAATTAATCTCACACAAGGGCTTTATCTTGGCTGCAGGAGCGAAAGCTAGCGCGCGGGGCGCACAAAAAAGATGAGGGTAAAAAAAGTCGGCGTCGCGCAAAAGAATAACTTTGCCAAGAAAATTTTCTCATATCTCTAGTCAACGAAAAAGCTGTCAAGCTTTTCTCAAAACTGGATAAGTCCGTAAAATTTTCATAGTTTCAGCCGTCTCGGGCTCACCTCTCTCGCTCTCTCAAGGGGCTGCACATTCCACACGATGTATATACGACGCGCAGCGCGTCGCACACGTATATGTAGCGTAGTAATACACACGCGCGAATTTCCAGCAGTATACACATACTCGTACACACACACACACACACACAAAGAGGACCTTGGCTTATGGCGCGTGGAATTAGTAAAAGGTGGAGCGCGTCGACGTTGGAACTTTTCGGCCCGTAAAATTACGATCGTGAATGCATGACGTTATAATACGTCAAATTTGTACGTGGGAGCAAGAGAGCAAGCGAGAGGGAGAGAGGAGGAGAGAGAAAGAGAGAAAAAGGATCTGCTGCTGCACCCTTGCGCAAATCTCTTCCTTAAAACGAGAAAAGTTTGTCGTCGTCGAGAGCACACAATTGGATAAATATGACACGGGAAGCTTTTTATTGTTCGCACAGGGAAGTTTTTAATGAAGATAAGGATACAACGGATAAAAAAAGGACTCTCGAATCAACGCGAGCGCACCTAACTGTTCTCTGCTCTCTCTCTCTCTCTCTCTCTCTCTCTCTCTCTCTCTCTCTCACTCGTAACCGGAATTTTACAAATTAATTAGACGTGAATAATTCGGGGGCGTCGGACGGCCTCTCTCTCTCTCGCGCACACGCCGCTGCTGCTCCATTACATACGAGCAATTTATTATCGGCTCTGCAGCTTTCTCTCGCTCCGTGCAATTGTGTGTAGTGTGTGCAGCATCGCTCTCGCGATGAATAATTATTAAACATCGACGTCGGGGCACGTAGGGCAGCAAATGAAGCGATCGCTAGCTATACTATATACATAGGCGCGAGTATACGCATCAGCTGTTGAATCTTTTAAGTCGATTTTGCCCCGAACTGCAGCAGCCTACGTGTATGTGTGTGTGTGTGTGTGCATGTACACATAACACGCAGTCGAGAGTAGAACGCGTGAATTATCGATCAGCGTACTTGGAGGCTCATGCTGCTCTGCTGCTGCTGCTGCTGCCTGGCACGGGACCTCCAAATACTTTTGAAACTCCGCTAAGATGAAATTTTACAAAATTAAGCGCGCCGCACGCACCCTACAGAGAGAGAGAGAGAGAAGAGCAACATCCTCGTATAACAAAGCTTAATTCATGCTCTTTGTTAAGGAAAACAAGATAATGTAGTAGTAATAGTTGTAGCAGCTGTAGTCGCAGCTCGTCGGCGGCAGCAAGAGGCACAGAGGGGAAACGGGATAATTCACTTTTTGACGAAAGATTTCGTTCTCAAACTCGTTAGAAAGTTGAGTGCGGAGTCAAAGCAAAGCTGCATGAAGCACGACTCCTCGCTGCTGCTCCTACTGCTGCTGCTGCTGCTGCTGCACAACGACGACGATGCGCTCACAACGTTATTACGCGGATAAAATATCAAATTTTACTCTCGCGTATATTCTTTATATATAAAAGCGCGAGTGCGCGCGCCAACAAAGTTCAATTTTTTAATTTAATTAGCCGCTGGTATATATCGTATACTGCGCGCGCGATCATCGCGAGTGACATGATGCGCGTACACACTTGCAGCGCGCGGCAGCAGCTCAGCTAATTATACATCATCAATAATAAACGCCAATTTCTCATATACTCGGCTCTCGAGAGTGTCTAAAACGTCGATCAAAAGAAAAGTTTTCCCGACGAGTGCAGCAGTAGCAGCAGCAGCAGCAGCAGCAGCAGTGGCAGCAGTTGCAGCTGCGAGTAGCAGCTAATTGTCGAGTGCTGATAAAATACGCCAGCAGCATTTTTCTCTCTTTTGATTTTTGCTGCACGAGAGCTGCTCGCGCGAGCGAGAGAGCACAGCACGCGCGCATAACGGCTGCATCGCGCGTTTTCTATCCTATATGTGTACCTGAATGCCGTACGTGTGTACGCGTGTGTGTGTGTGTGTGTTATAGTACGTGCATTGCTGCATTGCTGCGCGCCGCTCATCGAAGAGTAAATTTGCGAAAAGGCTCGGCTGCACACCCGCGCGCGCGTGATGTACTCTCGATAATGCGTGCTCGCACCAGTAGGTACACTAGAGCCTCGAGACTCGCGAGGCTTTTCACCGCGCGCGCGGCGCCGATGACGACGACGTTCGGAAAAAAAAGTCTCGGGGAAGGGGGGAGAAAAAAAATTTAAAAAAAAAATGATCTGGAAAAAAAATTCTTTGCGCTTTATTCCCTCAAGATCGGCACTGGAGCTGGCTTGCTTTGACATTTAACGGCTGAAAAAATATTTACTCCCGCAGAGGGACATGCAGGAGTATAAATATAACACCGAGCTCTACTCCCTTGGAAAATCTCGCTCGTCTTTATCAGCCGAATTCATTGTCGCGCGCGCGTGCCTCATCTTTCCTCCTTTTTCCCTCCGAGGGAGCTGATATTATAATGATAAAAAAAAGGGAAATAAACGTCGGCTACGTCCGTCGAATGATTAACTCGGGCGCGGGGCAATCGTACACGAGCGCGCGCACAACAAAGGGCAATTATAATATATGCTAACGTTGGAATTTAATAAGCCGAGCCGCTCGTCAGCATATATAGTACATATATACAACAATATGGGGCCCGGAGTTTGCAAAATTAAACGGGCGCGCGAGGATGTACAGGTTAATGATTAATCCACGGGTGGGCGAAGAATTAAGCTCGCGCGGCTGAAGGTGCTTTCAAATAATTAAACTCTTTCGTGCAGACGTAATTATATGCCTTTGAGTGAGAGAGATAGATACGACATCAATGCGCGTCGACAGTAATTCATCCTAATTATTCCATAAACTTGGCGTGCGGGCAAAGCCAGATGTTATGATTTTTTTCTTTCTTCTCCTCGCCCCCCCGGCCGTGTTATATTAATACTCGGCGTCAAATAGTGAGCACGTATAAGAGGGCACCCGTGCGAGAGGGAAGCCCCGCTCCTATCATAAAAGTGCGCAGGTAATCCAGTTTATATTTGACTCTCTCTCACTCGAGCTCCCCCGCGCACTGCAGCAGACTAGAGGGAGACGTGTAGGGCGGGTGCTTGCTATAGGTGTGTATATAATATATATAAAGTTACAACTCTATCTTTCTCTAGGGATTTTAATCCACGTTATACTAGGTATATACGAGCTATATAGTTAATTTTCTAGGGATTCAAGTACATAAACGTATAACACATGTGAATGTATAATTTTTTTACTGCTTTTCCACAGAGCCGAGGCTGTTATGTTTTTTTTTTCATTTTTACTTCGTGCCCGGACTCCTCCTCTCGCCCGCACCACGCCGAGCGTAACTCGAGAGCAGCCCAGCGCAGCACACGTTTACTCTTGACACGTGTGCGTGCTCTGGCAATAAACAGAATACAAATTCACAGCACTGCTGGTATATATATACGCATATATAGCGCGTGCTCGGACGCAGCTTGCCTCTGCGTGTGCGTGTGTGTGTCTATGCAAATGAGAATTGCTGTGCGCAGAGAGAAAGAGCGTCGAGTATCGACGATATCCGTGATTTCTGCCTTGAGTTTCTTTGTCGTTCATCAATCGCGGCAAAAATTTTGTTATTTTAAACATCAAAAGTGACGCGCGCGCGCGTGACCTGCAACTCCAGGCGCTTTTAATATAAATCCATATTGCTGTAAACTCGTTTTACAGTGACTCGACTAAGAGAGAGAGAGAGAGAGAGAGAGACGCAGCTCTTTATCATTATGAGCGCCTAGAGCTATACAATAATAACGGACTGATTCGTTTCCCCTGTATATACTGTAGCGCGTTATTTTGCAGTAGGGTAAATGCTCGCTCGTTCTATCTCTCCTCTGCCTCTGCCTCTCTCCAGGGGGGTGGAGAGGGCGCAACGGAACGCGCATTTTGGGGCCAAAGGATAAAATGAGATTTATGTAAACGCACGAGGCTCGCGACCGTCGAGGGATAATGGAAAGGATGTGTATTTCATGCCTCGATACCCCCCGTGCTCTCTCTCTCTCGCTCTCGCTTCAACTCGGAGGCTATATACATCGGCGCGTTAATCGGCGTTCAAATTTTAAAAGAATGCCCTTTGCGCGTGTATGATTGAAAGGCGGGGCCGTGTATCGCGCGCTCGATTTAACGTTAATTGCACGGGGATGTTTGCGGCCAACAGGTTGTTAAATAGTAAACACTATACACTGAGAGAAAAGTGAGCTAGGCTGCCGCCGCCGCCGCACAGTCGAGCTCGGCAGCTTAAGCGTGGTTTTTCGGCGTTGAATACAAAATCGATTTAGTCGCACACACACACATACACTACCACTGTGACTCGAGCACATCACACCACTGCGGGAGGTGTTAGAGACCAAAGTTTCGCGGTATATGATAAACTATATGCAGATTTCCCGGCGTACGAGTTGAATTATTTCGATTAGCTTTTCAAGATTAATGCGATATAAGGTTATATAAGGCGAAGTTTCTCGACTCGCTTCTGCGGCAAGGGCAAACTTTCCAATGTTACACTTATTAAAAACTTAAGTATCGAGACTTTATCGTGGGCGCGTTTCAAAGTTGGAAAATATTTTTCCATTCCCGTGCATATCGCTATCCATATTATAGGCGCGCTCCTAAATGCATTATAAAAAGGCTGTCGTTCGAGTGTATAAGCGACCTCTTAATCATCCGCCGATGAATTATAACGAACCGGAAAAAAGAGAGAGAGAGAGAGAGAGAGAGGCCGTTGTTCATTAGCCTGCGCACAAATTGATCGCGAATGTTTGCGCGAAATTTCTGCTGGCTATACATATAAATATTACATATATTTACAAGCCTCGCATTCCGCTCCAATAATCCGAAAATCTTTCTCTCGCAAACCCTCGACGCGATCACGTCGAGTACAAAAAAAAGTAAAAAAAAAAGAAGGAGCTCGCGGGGCGAGGCTGAGCATGAGAGAAAAGAAACATTTCCACAAGCGCACATTTCTCTCTCCTGCTCTTTCTCTCTCTCTCTCTCGCTTCGTTCTTACCTATATATGTGTGCAGTGCAGCAGTTCCGCGCATACCCCCACGCACACACATGCGCCGCACACACGTGCGCTCATTCACACATACATAACACACACTTGAAAGAGTAGCGAGTTGGAAAAATCTCTCCGTTCTAAACTGAATTAAAAACAAACGAGGGGAAAAATCCATTTTCCAACGAGTCAGGAAGTCAAACGATATAAATAAATAACACACGTGAGAGAAATAAAAACTTTTTCATACAATCAGCCTCACATATATATAGAGTGGTACAGTATACAGTATACACGCACCTGCAGCCAAAGGTTTGATTTAACCTCTCGACGCGCCGCTATAAATCCATATAATGGAATAATCTTATGAATCGTGGCTAGCTCGGCTATGGGGGGATGAAAAATTCGGTCAATTCACAAGTTGTTGCGCAGTGGAGTACAGTGGAGCTTATACATTATTATATCGTTGCGTTGCTTTTCTGTTCGCAGAGACGATGTGAGGAATGATCACGTGGCTCATGGTCGGACTGCTTTTGTTTACGGAATCAGCCTGCGAGAGCAGCAAAGCCAGCAGTTCGTCGAACAGCAGCCACGACGGACGTGGCAAAAATGAGAGCGCCTTATTGATTAAGAATAATAACAATTTCGACGACGAGGACGCTTATCGTAAGGATATCCCTGAATTATTCATTACGGGGCTTTTGCTCGGAGCAGCAGCGGCAGCAGAGGGAGATTTTCCGAAAGAAGAGCCGCATCAGCGGTGCAGTGCGGCGAAACGTCAATCTTACACATGCACCGCGCGAGCGAGCGAGCGAAAAGCGAGACAGCCGAGGAAAAGATGAGAGAAAGAGAGACTTCGATTATCCGTCAAATTTGAATTTCCTTATACGCTGCGCGCAGATATCGCGCTCGCTCTCGAGCTTTTAAAAAGTCCGACTCGTACTGCTGCACACGAGGCGCGAAAAGTCGACGAGCGGGAGCGATGAAAAAATATTTGAAATGCTAGAAAAGAGCCGAGAGATAGAGATCTCTCTCTCTCTCTCTCTCCGGTAGCGATAAATTATGATGGACGGCCAGGCGCTCGTATAACTTTCAAAGAGAGAGAGAGAGAGACTAACTAAAAATAAAGATATAGAAATGTTGAAATAAATTCTGATAAATGAGAAAGATAAAAAGCTTTAGTTTGAATCGTTTCGCTTTCAATTTTTCGGCAACGATTGTTGTGTAGCTCTGTATCGCGTCTGCATATAGTACATATTTTTCCTCTCTTCCGCTCTCTCTATAACCCGACGATGAATATGATCTTTTTCAAAAGAATTAAGATGGACGTTTTCGGAAATTCTCGCTACGCTGCACGAACGGCGTGTTGTACTGCACGCCCCCCGACGTAAATGGATTATTATTTTTCACGTGTGTTATCCCCGCAGGTTTGACCTGTTACACCTGCGTCAACGTCAGCGACAACAAGGTAAGAGCAAAAAGCTATGTATTTTTCGGGGCGTTGTGTGAGCAGGGGGGGTGGTTGTGCGGGGGTGGGTTGTGTGTGCAAAGAGCGCGGCTACGTCGCACGGCATGCATGTATGTATGAATGTATGTGCTGCTGCGGGTCACGCGTTCAGCCGTGGGTGGCTTTCTGCTGCTGCACAAGAGAGCATGTGTGAGCCGTTCTACACCCCCGTATGATATATCGCACATATCACGCGCGCAAACTGCCATGCAAGAGTCGCGCGCGCGGCACATGCCCGCCGCCGCCGTCGAGGGGCGAGCGAGAGTTACGTACGTGCGAACAAAAAAAAAAAAAATAAAAAAAATATAAAAAAATGGAAAACCGTGGCGCGAAGAGATCGATCGTACATTTTGGAATTCCGCGCCTCCCTCGCGCGTTACTCCTCTGACGATCCTCTCGTTGCACCCCCCGTGCAAAGGTCGTTCGTTTTAATTATGAAGTTGCAAAATTCCATGATGCAGCGTCGCTCGGTGCTGCTGTACGTGCATGCGAGCTTGCGCGCGCGCGAGCCGACCTACTTTTCATCATCTGCTGCTGTATGATACGCGCGTATCACATACAAACCCGAAGGAATACCCCATTCGTTTAATATCTTGACGCGCCCGAATGGATGGATTGAAAAATTCTTCGTTGCTCGTTTCTTAACTATTAACGCTGCTGCTGCTACTGCTACTATATAGTTACCCACTGCTACGACTGCAACGTGATGAAAAAAAGTGAAAATTTTCTGCTTTTTTCTTCGCGATTCTTTTTCTTAATTACACGTTTTCATGCGAAAGATAGTTATTATAGTGGAGAGTTAAAAAAGAGAGAGAACGAGAGAGAGAAAGAGAGGGAGAGGTAGAGGGAGTGTAGGCGAGCGCGAGGAGAGAAAAAGATCCGTCAGTTGAGAAAAAATTGCCATTGTCGGCGGAACGTGGGCGCACGCTCGTATTTTTCCGTTGCTACTTCTTTTATGCTACAGTACCCGTCATCGGTTATATATATACTATACTACGGCGCAACCTAAAGCGAGCTCGAGCGAGAGAAATATCAAGCTCGCCCGCGCGCGCGCGCTGAGAAAACGGCATTTATTTTAGAGCACAATAAAATATGTTGCTTTGTTAAGGATTTTCGCCTCTTCTCAGCCTTACTTTATTGAATGAACTTGCAACTCTCTGCCGCCGCTTATACTGCTGTTGCTCGGTGCACGAGTAGCTGCAGCAGCAGTCGAGCTCCGCGCCGAGAGACTCGCCGCTCACGCGAGGAATTTATATGCGCGAGCGAACGCGCCCTGCCAGTCGTCGACGCTTCATTAGACTTTGTTATGAGTAGCAGCAGTAGCAGTAGCAGCAGCAGCAAAGTTAAAGATATAACGCTGCCACTTTTTTTCTTTCCCCTCTTTTTTTACTCGTTGTTGTTTTTTCTTTTCACAAATGCGTAAAAGAGATGATGATGTTTATGAACGGAGGAATGCAGCTTTCGCTCCGAAAATAACCGGTCGAAGCTCGTGGCATTGTTCGCCGATTAGACGCATCCTGCGCGCCGCGCGCGTGACCGATGCACGCGAGCTTTAAGAGGAAAAAATAATTAAAATTTAATTACGCACGCGAGCTCGCGAGTCGAGCGCCAGGAAAAAAAAACGAGAAGCGGATCGAGTCGTAAATTTATTCATGAACTCGCTTTACGACTTAATTAAAGCTCCAGCCGAGCCGAGCGGTCGAACAAGTTTTCCAAAATAGATTTCCGACTTGTATATATACGGATCGTTTTTGCGAGCCGGGCAATTTGTCGCTAATATCATCATTATTATATCATTGAAAAGTCGCGGAGATGCAAGCTGTGCACTTGCGGCGGCGGCGTCCGAGCTCTTGAGTGTATGCAAATCAATTATTTGGCATATCAAATAATTAACTTATTAACTCAGGGCCGGGGCAAAGTGACCTGTCGATTTCGAAAATTGAATCTTCCTGACTCTGCTGTCTCTCTCTCTCTCTCTCTCGCACATTTATATGACTTATATATGCGCGCGTTGGGCATTGCCAGAGTGTGCAGCTCCGCCGAAAATTCAACGATGCATATTTATAAGCAATATTAAAATTTACATAAGCCATCGATCCTGGCCTTGTGCAGTAGCGCCGCGAGCTTGCGAATGCGCGCGCGCGCGTAATGCTATTATAACAAAGTTCAATTTACGGGGACAGGTGGGAGGTGGGCGCGCGAGACGCGTCTAATAATATTCGACTGTGAATAAATTGACAGCATCTGTCGATTCGAATGTGTATACTGCCATTGATCCGTCATTATACGGCATTATCTTGCATCATGACGCGCGTAATATTTATTACGTCGATGCACTATGCAGGCGGGCGCCGATCAATTTCCATTTTCTTCGCAAATTGATATTAGCGATCGCGAGAGAGCTTCGAGTCTGCTTCGATCCGAGTATTGCCTCGCGCGTATCGCCCACGGCCTCGTGAAAACGCGAGAAAAATGTTTAATAACCTTGTGTACTACGAGTGGCCCCCCTCCTAAACGAACGAACGAGTGAGAAAGAGTGAGAGAAAAAGCGATGAGCGAGGTTGGAAAATTTTTTGGCAAGGTGATAATACTGTACATAATGGATGTTCTTGTGCTCTCTCTCTTCAGATGTGCAACGAATGGGCTATAGACACTCCATGTCCTGCAGGCGGTCGGGATTTCTGCCGATCTCTGCATATTCTGGATAGTCGCGGACGCAGCGTCTTGGCAAGCATCAAATTTCTTTTTTATGTGTACTCACCCCCATATATAACCTCGTATATACGATATAAATATAATATTATATGGACGGAGTCGAGACTCGCGTTTCGCCGTACGGAATATATGCTACACATATACGAGGCAAATAAACTTTTGACTATATATCTAAGAAAGGCAAATTGACTTTGAGCGTATATAATGTTATTTATCGAGTCGCGAATTAATCATCGCTGGCTAAATGTTGGTTTTGACGAGGTACTACTATTTCTATACACACGCGCACACCTAAAACACACGTGTGTAGCATCGAACTTTGTGTGCTACGCGCACGCGAGAGCCAACGCCAATATTTATTCGTACGCGCGCAAGCTATATATAGTATATATAGAAGTGCTGCAGTGTGCGCGACTGGTGTACACGAGCTCCTGCTGCTGCTTCTGGTGCTGCTGCGCTTCGGATCATGATTGCCTCTGTGTCTGTGCGCGTGTGTATGTATATATATGTACGAGCGCGCACACGACCGGGCGTATACACTTTCGAGCAAGATATTTGCTCGAGGGGGTAATACGCTATGGCTCTAAAAGCGTTTACTATCGCACGCGCGAATACCGTACGTACGTCTCTGACTCTTCTTTTTTTCGCCTCCTCTCCTCCTCCTCCTCCTCCTTCTTTTCTTTTTATCGAGATAAGAGCTTCTCGGGACGAAAATAAAAACTGAAGCGATATTTTTTTGATGCCTTTTCTACGTATATCGCCGTCCGCGTCACGTTCCCCCATACATTCATCTATTTTTTCGATTTGACAACGAATAATTTTTCCCTCTCTCTCTTCCATGTTTTGTCCTCTTCTGTCGTCGTCGTCCACCACTTCACTACAACATGTATGTACACGTACATAGGTGAGCAAGAGCTGCGTCAACGAGATCGAGTGCAGCCCGGCCAACGTCGGATGCGTACCCATCGACACGCAAAAGGTATTAATTAACAAATTGATTTTTCCTCTCTTTTTTTTTGCGTAGCACCAATCATTTACCGGAGAATTTCAGGCGAATTTCGCGCGCGATACTCTCGGCCGCGCATACTTTGAATTTCTATACAATCACACCAGTACGCGCGTCCAGGAGTGTTGATAATTCGAATATGAAATTGAAAAGGATCGCGATCTGACAATTGGAAAGCCACACAACAACGGCGGCGTCAACTACTAGCCCGGATGTGTGACGCGTTTATACCGTGTGTACCTATGATTGACATTTAAAAATATTTGCTTGCTCCGTTAATACCTCGGGTGTTGCACAGCCGATACTTTATGAGCGCGCAGCGGAATGTTATCTTTTATATCCCGCAAGCTCGAGCAAAAATTCATCAACGCCTCTCTGCTTGCAGCGCTCGTGTGTGTTATAGGTACGCGCGTGCAACAATGATAAAACGTTGCCATCGAAACTTTATCCACACGCGCGCTCGCGGCCACTCTAGAGTCGACTGTATCCACCACCGCGAGCTTATACATAGACGTGTGTATACATGCATAACGAAAAGTTTCACTCGCAAAAAAAGCCTGGCAGTTTATATCCGTTCATTTTACTACGGCCATCTACATATCTATATATAGAGCGCCGCGTGACCGCAAGTTTTGCTATTCGTGAAATATTGATTATTTTTCGGCTCTCCTGCACGTAGTTCAGCGAGAGCAAGCGCGCGAATTATTAATTACACTACTGCGGGATGAAGCTCGAGTTATATACGGTTAGCGAGAACACATTTGAATGATTAGCTGAGTCACGTGTGCTTTTACGTACTGTGCTATCCGAGAGCTTTTTTTCTCCTCTCTTTTGTCGCCCGCGCGAGAGCGGCAAGTGGCTCACGTGTTACAGCAGCCGAGGCGCTTATAGGTAAAATGGTTATAGGGAGAAAAAGAGAAGGCGAGCGAGAAGAAAGCCGAGCTTAATACACACACGTAGCCGCCGCCGTCACCGCCGCTGCTGCTCCGCTTATAACCTACATCGAAGTAGATAATGGCCGGATCAAGCCCGAGACATGGCTTGAACGCTTAAAACGGCTCGTATAAAGCTGCAGAAGCAGCAGTTCCGAGGCGCGCGCGCGCAAAGCAGGCAAAGAGCGGCAAGAGTTCCGCAACGCGACCGAAAGACCGAGCGAGAGAGAAAAGTCGGGGACACGAGGTTGCTGCAGGGAGCAGCGGCGACTTAATACTCTATAACGAGATCTTGATGTTAAAGTTTGTTATTTTCTTCTTTGCTTGGCCGGTTGCGCGATGCGCAGCATGCCCAGGCCAGCTCTGTACATATATAGATATGTACGTATATATAGAGGAGCCTAGCTGCGATGCGACGTTATACGCGCGGAATATATACGCACGCGAGCTCGCGCCAAGCTTTCATAATATATTCATGGGGGAATTTGGCAGAAAAGAATGGAAGAATTGAAAAAAAAAGGACGAGGAAGAGCTAGCGGAGCGCGCGCTGCGGCGCGGCAGCGAGAGAAAGAAGAGAAAACATAAAATGCTGTTTGAAACATTTGGCAGGGAGTTGAAACTCTTGTTGCGGGTATAGCTAACGAAATACGAGATAAAGCGGTTTATGCTTTCACTTGAACGCGGGGAATTGAATTTTCGCGGAAGTTGAAAAAGTTTTGTGTTTCGCGCGCGTGGCCGGGGGGAGGGATAAAATTTATCATTCGCGCTCTCGCAAGCTCGCAAGCTCGAGACTCTCTCTCTCTCCACGCCTCGGAACAAATATAATTTTCGAATGATAATCATTTTCAATTTTATACCGCGGCGCTGGGGGAGGAAGGGGCACACACATAGAGGATCCGCAGGCTGCAAGCTCGAGCTTGCAACGCCGTGTATGTGCCGCACACACGCACGCGCGTACATATATGCGCTATGCGCATATACTATAACATACACGCGCTACGTACGAGCTTGCAAAGAGAAAGTTCCATTTCACTAATTACAGGTCAACTAGCGAGAGCTGCTGCAGCTGCTGCTGCTGTTGCTGCTGCTGGTTATGCTCTGTGGTGTTTAGTGGTTGCACGTAGGTCAGCCCTCAAAGAGATACAAGAAGTCGAAAGCTCGTATACGCGAACGTACGTGTGTTTGCGCCTCCATGATTTATTAGCGACGTGCGCAATACATATATTTGAGAGCTGCTTGCCCCACGCATGAGCCACGGCTCGAGTTGCGAATTATTAAAATCATGCGTCCGAAATTAAAAATTGAAATTCGTCCACGAAAAAGCTCGTGGGAATGGAAAAAGGTGGAGAAAAACGTAGAGAAAAATAATGACGTGTACATTCGGCTGTTCGCAGATCTGCATAAGCTGCTGCGACACGAGCTACTGCAACGTCGAGTCGCCGACGAACGCGACCAGCGCGACGTACACGCGCAAACGGCCGAGAGCACCGACGAAGTCGCGCAACAACAACAACAACAACGGCGGCGGCGGCAGCGGTGGCGAGGACGCCAGCAGGGCCAGTGCCATCGGCGCCAGTAGGTATCGCACGACTACCCACCTACTCGCTTCTCTGCTCTACAGTGTCTTTTTCAATCGTTATTGTGCATATCATTAGTGGTGTATAGATATATATGTATAGAGAAAAGAAGGCGAAAAAAAAACCAAAGGGAAGGAAGGAAGAATATAAAGGGGAGAGCCGCCGATCGAAGCCGGCACTCACACGTAAATGCGATAAACTCAGGCATCGGCAGTGCCAAGCCGTTTTTTTGATTAAAAAACTTGTGCGCATTTAAAACATGAAAGTTACTCTGTCTCTGGTCGCCTCACCCTTCCTCTCACGTAGCACGTAGCGTATATAGGTATAAAATACAGATAGAAAACACGACGCGCAAAAAGAGAGAGAGAGAGAGAGAGAAAGAGACACATAAGCGGACTGCCGATCGCGGGTCAAATGAAAACCTATAGAGAGCAAAGAGTAACGAAGTAAAGTTTGAAAAAGGATATATGTATAATAGAAAAGTCTCTTTTCCTCTTTCTCTCTCTCTCGTCTGGGAGCACGCGAACAAAATGTTGACAAGCATATACACACGCGCGGGCCGAGGAGGGGCTTCGCAAACTATCTCCTCCATCTCTCACTCAGCGCAAGCTCGTGCCTCAGCTATACTATTACCAACTCGACTGTATACACATCTACTGTTGCAGAGCTAGTTTGTCAACTTTTTTCGACTTAAGTGAGAAAGAGGAGCTTCGCTCCCGAATACTATACTCGCGAGCGCGCGCGATATCGCCGAGAGAACGAGCTCGAGCAGCCGAGTTTGCTCGAGCCGGGTCGACTTGATAAATATGGAGAAGTCTCGGAGCTTCTTTTTTCCTTCTCTCTCTCTCTCTTTCTCTCCCTCTCTTATTCTCTCTTATTCTCTCTTTCCATCTCTATCTTACTCCCTGTCTCACACTCTATGTATATCCTTTTCTTTCCCCGAGGTTGAAAGAAGTATATCGTCGCGCGGAGCTATTTTTTGGTCAGCACTCGTTAATTTTAACGAAGAAGACACGTGCACCCTACATTTTTCTAGCAAATTATATCAAGGTAACGAAAAATGAAAACATACGTACGTACTTAGACGTAAAAATATAAAAGGAGTTATAAAAAAAAGACACAAAAACGATGAAACATAATACAATTTTATTGATATAAAAAAAAATATTTAAGAAAACTGGACTGTTACTGACATATTCAATTATCCCAGAAATATCAACGTTTTTAATCGTATACACAGCAATTGACATTATTATACACGTGTACAGCATTACATACTAAATTATACCGGCGCGAGTGTTTAATTTGATACTAAAGGGTTTATTCATGAGCGCGTGTGTTTATCAATCCGAACGAGTTGTAATAAAAAAAAAAAAAAAACACAGGAGAGAAATATTTGCAAACGCTAACACAAATCATCCTCCCGATAAATTAAGCCAAGCCGCCGCCGAGCATTAGCAGTAAGTGCATGCATGTTATACGTACGTACGTACGTACGTGCTGCTTTAGCGCGGGGGTGATCTTTTCACGATTAATTTTATTTTTCACTTACTCGCGCATGTATTACTGCGCATTACGCGGCAAACATTCTTCAAAAATTAAAATAATGCACTGGGCTCAGCGAGAGAGAGGGTGGGATTATGTATGCCACGGCTGGAGGAGCAGGAGTCGAAATTTTTTAATTATAGCACGAGCGCGCGGCACATATATATAAGTTGTACGTATATATATAAGAGTAAAGCTCGTGTGCCTGCCTGCGCAGCCCTTTTTTTTAAGCTCGACATACTCTCAGCCACGCCTGCGCCACGTATAATATACATAATAACTTTTTTGTAAACGTTGAAAATAAAATTACTAAGTGTGGCGAAGTTAGAAATAATGTACCCTAGCATCGCACGAGACAGAGAGAGAGAGAGAGAGAGAGAGGGAGGAGAGCAGTAGCGCACATACGAACACACGTAGCCACATCAAGAAGCCAGCCACACGCGTATAATAAGCGCGCGCGAAACTTGCGCTCAATGCGCACAGCGATGGCAGCGGCGGGCGTATATTACAGCAAAAAAAAAAAAAAAAAAAATAGCAGCATGCAATACACCGCAAAATTCAACCCGTAACCCGTGTACACATACATCTAGGCCTTAAGGGCAAAAACTGCTAGTGCTGCTTGCATTTCTCTCTCTCTCTCTCTCTCTCTCTTTATGTGCAAACGGTCTGAAAGGCCTCTCATCTTCTCTGAATATATATAGCTATATATATATTACCGAGCTGAGCGCGCGAGAGGCAAAGAAGAAGAGAACGAGAGACAGTCAGTCGTCGACGACGTCGTAATCGTGTGACTACTACACACCGCTACTATTACTACTACAACCAGCAGCGAGTAGCGCTACGACTCTTCTCTCTTCTTCTTTTTTTTTTTTTTTAACCCAGCTTTCCGCTCCACACTGCCTGCACCCCCGCGCGCGCGCGCGCTCGACCCTTTTGTGTGTGTGGTTTTTTTTTTGAAAAGAGTAAAAGCACACGTTCACGTACATCGGCCGCGCTCGCGCACACATTTCGACACAGAGAAACGTGGCGCGCACGGCCTGGCACACGACGACGACGACGATGACTACGACGACGAGACTGCCACGAATATATGTACACACACATTGTGTATGTGTTTGCCGAGGGTAAGAGGTTTTTGCATGCACACGACTCGCGAAGGGTGGTTATAGTTTTGCGCTTCCGGGGTATAGACTCTCTATAAGGTCGTTTTTGCAGTTTCTCTTAGATTATATACCTATACGCTCACGGCGGCGGCGGCGGCGGCGGCCGTTTCTCTCTGTGTACGTACACTCTCCTATTTTAGCCTCTTTTTATGTTTTACCTTTGCTTTGGCCAGCCAAACTGTACGTATACATAGGACTTGTTTATTCTAAATGACAAAATCCGATTATGTTTCGCCTCCTGTATAGCTGAAGGGGCGCCCGGAAAAGGAAAATCTAGGCACGCGCCGAGATTGCCGGTTCTCAAAGTAGAATTAAGCTCGGGGTAAGCGCGACCCGTATATAGACGACGTATAGCAGCAGTAAGGCCTAAAGTGTCGAATGCGTTTTAAACTTTAACTGAACAAATTCACGATGAACGAGGCAAATAATTAGCTTTAGTTTCTTTTTTCTCGGAAAATAGTTGGATTTCTCTTAGTTGCGCGTGTGCTCGAGTCTGTATGTGCCAAACTTTACTTGTACAATGTCGAGCACTCGATAAGATAATCACTAAGTAGACATGGAACTAAAATCAATCAGATTATGATAAACTACATTGCCAATTTTGACTCGACAAATTTAAGCGTAGCCAAAAAAATAACGTTTCTTCCTCACTCGTTACTGAGTCTTTACGATATTGTTGACTAGATATATATCTCCACCTATTATATACATTTTAGCGTACTACTCTTTAGAGCGTACTATTATGATGTCTTTAGTTGAATTAAAAGCGTTGAAACTCGACGAGCTCGAGAAGCTCTCACGGCTATAACGAGCCTGTAAATGTGGATGCATTTCCTCTGTGATTTGATAAGTATAACAAAAACAAAAAAATTAAAAAATGTAACAAAGTAATACGATATTATAGCGTTATATGACGATTTTTAAAAGGCACGGATATTAAAAATAAAAAAGTAAAAATCATGATAAAAAAAATAGAGAGAAAAACACCCGTCAAATATAGGTACGTTTAATAATAACCGGTGCCAATTTTCCAAGAGTGATATGCGTATACGCGCATATGTCAAATATTGCCTAGGCGAAGCTAGACATAATAACGATAATAATAACGGTGAAACATCTTCAACTCTGCGGAAGACGCGAAAAGTATGAGAACTAAACGTTATCCTCTTTAGAAGAAAAAGTATTTAGCTTATAGAAGACTATATAGACTAACTAAAACTAAAGTTTCGAGGCAAAAGTTTCAGAAACTTAAACATAACCTAAAAAAAAGTGCGAGACTGCAAAATCGTAAGGTTATATTAAAAACATAAATATAGATATATAATATATATGAACACTATTTCGCAGGCACACTCGAGTAAAAAAATGCGTAGAGCACGAGATTAAATATACACGTAAAAAGGAATTGTTTAACTATTTAATAATGATTAAACGCAACGCGTGTCGTAAATTATAGTTACTATGAAAAAGGATAAATCTCGAAAAAAAAATTAAGAATGGCTGCCGAGTTTGGGAAAGAAAAAAAACATAATTTCGAAGAACGAAACTGATTAAGTGAGAGAGACTGTGAGTTTGTTGTATTACGCGAGGCGGGCTAATGGAATTGATTAAATATTGTATAAAAAAAAAACATTATATATTAGAAGATTTTGATCCTGACCTCGAAATCACCTTGTATTCCCCGAACACCGATTATATAAAAATATATGTACAATATATAATTCATTTATAATAATAATGTACACACACTTTGCACTCGAGAACATAATAAACGATAATATATTTATGTATAAGACGATGATAATTCTGAGACTTAACTAATAGCGTACAAAATCGGGTTATATATTATAAATTATTATATATATAAGCGCCGAGGCGCGCTCGACTGCGCGGCCAAGCCACAATTTGGAGATTTGGCTGTATTACAATAGATTTAATATTTGCCGGAAGCGTTTAAATGATACATACAATATGTATGTGTCGGCGCACTCTCGACTATATACACAATAATTGCGCGCAAGAGTGTAAATAATTATTAATTAATCATTGCGAGTCGTGTGCGTTTTGGAAACTTGCACCAAATCACGATTGTGTTCCTCCTCTCTCCCTTCTTCCCCCCCGCTGTCTCCCTCGCCAGACCCACACCCCCGTTGTTAATTGCGTACATGACCAATATTTGTAATAGACACACCGTTGTTACTTGTAGATATTTATATGTAACATACAATATTTGCGCGAGGAGTGTTATATGTATGTGTTGAATTTTCCGTGTATGCGTGCCCGGGAACGTCCACGCGGATAATAAAGTGCATATGAAACAGTTGGCTATGGCAAATATTATATACGAATATATATTTAGATAAATCACGTACCTAGTCGCACGCATACATGTATGTATATTGTATATTATTATATATTTACACCGTTTCCGAAAAAAAACTTTTCACGCAACATAACAAAAAAGGAGAGGCGAATTTGCATATTGTGTAGATGAATGTGTAGGCGATTCTGCGTGGACGTTTTACGGGATTAGCGAATAATCTTTTGATAGTCTATATATCGATGCGTTGTGTATTATTCATTGGTACAAAAAAAAGTGGAAAAAGTCGAAAGAGAAAAAAAAACCTTGCACGTGTGTAGGGGGAGATAAAAAAAATTTAATTTCGATGCGAGTTTCCAATAATATTGGTAATATTAAGCGTTAGAAGCCAAATAACTACTATTACTTGTGTGCGACCTAATTAAGCACACAATCCTGTTGTAGACACATCTGCGATTTCCATACGATATATATATATGCAGATATTCAATGTATATCATTCTATAGGTACGTATGAAAAGGGGAAAAAAAAGAAAAGAAAAAAATTACTGCACTACATAGATATATTAGAATATTATGCTCTCTATCTCTCAACCTCGTCTTCTTCATCTCTGTAATTTCTCGTCTGGGCGACTGTGCCTTTTTTAAGCGTTGCTTGTCGTAATATTGCCTACATTTATGCATAGCCTTAAATAAGGGAAAAAAGCTCGAAAAAGGAAAAAAATTACGCGAGGAACTTCATCTTTATAATATGTATAACTATACGGTACATTATAGCATGTAAAGTGTATCATGCGAGGAAGATTATAATAGGAGCGAGAGAAGTTGAAAAACAAAAACCAAAAAAAAAAAACAAGTAAAAAAAGTCACGCGCATTAGAACCACCGTATGAGTTGGGATATAAAAAGCGAATAACACACGTCTATTTTTGTATAAATATATAAAAGAGCGAAAAATTACATTAAATAAAATGAACAACATCAACAACAAGAAGCAACAGCAAAAGTACATGTATACTATCTCTGTTTTAATATAACGAATATAATAATACGATATGATATACATATAGAATAATAATAAACATTGTATGCGGCGTGCGGAGTGCGCGTAGCCGTAAGAGAGAGAGAGAGAAAATAGCCGGCTGTCTGCGTGCATCTACATCTATCTACATTATATTACGCTTTGTTGTGCTTGACTTGGATTTCCCGGCGAAGTCTCGAATAAGCCGCTTACGTCAACAATCCGCGAAACCCCAAATATTAAGAAGAAGATGATGGAGGAGCTATATCCATGGCAGCCGGCTATCCTCCCGCGGCGAGGCTGCGCGCACCGAGGTCAATTTTATCGTTTACCGAACAAACTATTAATGCAACGTATAAACTGTAAGCTCTAATCGCAATACACACAATATAAACTATGACATACAAATAATTTCTCAAGTCTCGAAATTGTCTCTTTCTTTTTTTCGTAGATTTATATGACCTTTGCTTCCTATGCAGCGGCCTTACTATTCAGAATCGATCCCGATCCTCCTCTTTTTCCTCCCGTTCAAGGCTGACACGATGCCGCCGCTGCTCTACTGCCCTTATCGCCTCCCTCCTCCTCCCCGTCAATTTTCATCAATTAACGAGCTTCGCGCGCACTTTTATCCGCCGGCGGGAATTAATTATTACGAACAATAAAGTTACCGATTCACGCTCGAGCGGCCAAAGAACGACGTCGACTTTGCTGCCACCGCTACCGAGCGCGCGCGGGCATAATTACATAGTCAATAAATCAAGGGGTTGGAGCTCCTGCGTGCACGCGGATCCGGATATATACCTATATATAAGGATGTGTATACTACGGAACGTTACAGGAGAGCTGCAGAGCAGAGAGCCAGAGAGTAGTGCACGGCAAGCTCGAAACCACAAATCGCGCGCGCCTATACAGTCTGCAGTCTGCACAGCGGCCAACTGACTGCCGACGACCGACGACCGACGAGGCTTGCGGCAGGCCCCGGCGACGCCATCTGTCGGGCGACTTTCCAAGCTGCCAGCATGAAAATTCCGGCGATAATTCGTTGCTTAGCGGAATTCTGTGAGCGTGGCCGCAGCCGCCAGCCGCCGCTATCTCTATTCCCCGCATGAAATATATATACGCGCCCCCGGTCACTTTGCGCGACAACTGCTCTTCTCCGTCGCACACGCACACATTTATACCTGCCAGAAAATAGTGTCGGTGTGCGTCCGTGTGTGCTCCAATATTTGTACTTTACAAACTTTCTCAGCCGCAGCAGCAGCAGCAGTTGCGCGTGGGTGGGGAGTTATACGGCAGATGATGTGTTTTGGAGTCCGACACGCAACGACACTTGTATAATACGGCTCTCGCTTGTTATTTAAATCTCCTGATTTTCGCGTTTTAATGTCGTAACTGGAGTGCAAAGACCCTACAGAGATAATCATGGAGGGCTCGACGGACAAGACGAGCGCACCGGTGCCGCAAAAAGCTGAAGATAACCATGAAAAGCAAGGAGGAAAGAGCAAGAGGTTCGTCCTGCACTTGTCTTCAGCAATGTTGACTCCATTTAACCTTTTATTTGCTTGTGGCATTTATTTTCACTTTTATAAAAAAAAAGTTAAATTTACCTCGTTGTGCATGTAGCAACTGAGAAGCTTCTTCAACTCGATGCTTTATTCATTATTTATCATTTTAGGAAACAACTCGATGATTGCTCAAGAGCATGCTACTTCTTATAATCGACGTAATTTAAAAAATGTACATGAACGAATCGATTATTGAAACGTGGAGAATTTGATATGATACTTTACGATGAACTATTGATCACGAATCCGAGAAAGGTCGTATGGCCAAGATTCGCTTGATTATCGGCGTGTTTTCTGCACATAACCTAGTTATTTCGCTAACTAAGATAATGTAATCGTCAATGTTGCAAACTCGAAAATCAAAGCCACATCTCTGACATTTCACATTATTTTAATGAACTGTTTAAAAAATTATGACTAACACTGATAAAAAAAGTAATTTAATGATTCTTAAAAAATAATTCGCAAAAAATTAGTATATTTAAATTTGGATAATATATTTTCCTCAAAAAATTCGTAATTGATATGACTTTTATAATAATTATTTCTTAATGTCAGTTTTTAAGTTATGAATCATACCAATCCAAGCAATTCCAATGGGATTTAATATAGAAACTAACTGTTTTCTTTGCATTGGTACCTTTGTTTATAAATAAAGAAAGCAAAATTACTGATTCTTTTATACTTGTAGATATCAGAAAATTAACCAAAGTAATTTTTTATTTTTTAATAGTGCTAAAAAGAGAGAAAAGAAGAAAGCCCAGAACTCTGTTCAAAGTAATGAAGTCAACAATACTAGTGATGGAGGCATCACAAATCCACTATTACAATCTCAATTATCTAATAATTTAGGTGACATTTCAATAAAGGATTTGCAAATGGCTGTCCATGCCTTAAGTGAAAAAAAGGAGCAGAAGTCTTATGAATTTTGGAATACTCAACCAGTACCTAAGTTGGGTTAGTAGTACAATATTTATAAATTGATTGCAATGAATTAATTATGATAATTTATTTATTGAAATTTTCCTGTAATTAGATGAAAAAATTGAAACTAATGAAGCGATTGAGCCTGATAAGGAGTCAGTTAGAGCTGAACCATATTCTTTACCAGAAGGATTCCACTGGGATACATTGAGTTTAGATGACCCTGCTGTACTTTCTGAATTGTACAATTTATTATCAGAGAACTATGTAGAAGATGATGATGCTATGTTCAGATTTGATTATCAGCCTGGATTTTTGAAATGGTTAAATCTCAAACGTTTTGATTTTCCTTTTTATTCAATCCGAAAATTAAATTATTCAATTTTTTTTATATACTAGGGCATTGCAACCCCCTGGATGGCAAAAAGAATGGCATTGTGGAGTGCGTGTTACTAAAAGCAATCGCCTAGTTGGCTTCATTTCTGCTATCCCAGTAACTTTGAGAGTTTATGATAAGTTAGTACTCTTTATATGAATAATTATTTCTTTTTGTGAAGAATATAATAATGGCTTTTTCAAATGCTTGCAGAACTCCAAAAATGGTAGAAATTAATTTCCTGTGTGTACACAAGAAATTGCGTTCAAAACGCGTTGCGCCAGTACTCATTCGTGAAATCACCCGACGTGTCAATTTACTGGGTACATTTCAGGCAGTGTACACTGCAGGTGTTGTGCTTCCTAAACCAGTTGCGACTTGCAGATACTGGCATCGATCGCTCAACCCAAAAAAGCTCATTGACATTAAATTCTCGCATTTATCTCGCAACATGACAATGCAGAGAACACTGAAACTTTTCAAGTTGCCTGAAACAACTAAAACGCCTGGCTTCAGAAAATTAGTGCCTGCTGATATTCCTCACTGCCATAAACTTTTGAACGAAGTTGGTATTTTTTCATAAGATTTTTTGGATATTTCTAAGACCACAAATTAATAAAACCTTTATTTTTCAGTATCTGAGTAAATTTAATATGGCGCCTGTTTTCTCGGAAGACGAATTCCGGCATTGGTTTTCACCGCAAACCGGCATAGTCGATTGCTTCGTTGTAGAGAATCCCGAGACTAAGAAAATAACTGACATGATCAGTTACTATACACTGCCAAGCTCCGTAATGCATCACGCTACACACAAAACTCTGCGCGCTGCGTACAGTTTCTATAACGTTTCGACGAAAACACCCTGGTTAGAATTGATGCAGGACGCCCTTATATCTGCGCGAAACGTAAGTTAGAAAACAAATTCAAAATTTTGTACTAATGTCTGTATACAAGTTTTTGAAGCGTTTGCTCGCGATGAGTTGATGCAAGTTTGGGGACGTTTAATCATACAATTAGTAACTATTCAACCTCTCATTAAAACTGTTGAACTATCGAGTTGATAGCCGTCGACGTTATTATATAATCGTGACAGGTATACGGAATACCGCATTATGCACTGTTTACGGTAACTTTATCCTAATTTAACCAATATATTCAGTGTATACACATAAAACATGAAACACAAGTAGCAGAGTTACAAACTCGCGGTGTGACGTGTTTATATACATATATAGCACGCACACGATAGCGCGCGGCGCAGTCGTTCTCATTTGCGGCGAATAATCGTGACGAACAGCCCGTATAATTATTTGTAACTAGTATCTATTTCACGCTCGCGAACTGTTCTTCGAACGAGATCGAAGGTATTTCGTATCGGTCGGAGTGCATGGTATCTTAATCTAAAGTTTAAAAAACGCCGTTTGATTCTCTACGAAACTTGATTTTATTTTATTTTTCAGCTTCAATTCGATGTTTTCAACGCGCTCGATCTCATGGACAACAAACAATTCCTCGAGACGTTAAAATTCGGCATCGGCGACGGCAATCTTCAATACTACCTGTACAATTGGCGATGCCCCACCATGCAACCAAACCAAATTGGTCTCGTACTGCAATAAGTGGCTCGTTACGGCGTTGAGACGGACGAAATTGGAGTAGCGTGGCGCAATAATTTATACATCGGTATACCGAGACATCAGGTGTTACGAGTTCACGTTGAAAATATTATATATTATATAGGTACGGTCAGTAATATTTATAATTAATAAAAGACGCTAAACCCTCCATGGATAAGAGAACAATTAAAAGCTGTTAACATATTGTTGCTAAGTTTGTTGTACCGCTGATTACTGATAGCGCTGCTGTATATGATTGTCTCGTATCGTGAGAAAACTACGTTGCAGAGATGGACGAAAGAAAAAGCAAAAAAAGATGAAAAATAACATTTTTAGATGCAAGTTTTTTTTTTATGCATATACGTAGTATAGCAGAGTGATAACAAGGTTGGTTTGTTTACAACCAAGTGATGATAAGGGCGATCTTTTTGTGAATCGAAAAATCGTTCGGAGTCAAGCTGGCATTCTTGCATGAAGATAATAAAGCACCAGAGTCACATCTACTTTGCTCGATGTCATTTTGTTTCCTTCCGTCCAAGTTCATTCCAAAAATACAAGCCGTAAAACCGTTACGGGATAAAACTGCCGCGGCAATTAAGAAGAAGGCAAGGCGTGTGCGCGAGTGAGCGAGCGAGCGCAATTTTGATAAAAGCTCGCTAATGACCTTTTCAATCACAATTCATGTCCTCAGCCGCGTAATAGTTAGCACGTGTTGTATACGTATATAAAAATTACGAGCCGTGATAAGATACGACAATATAACGCGAAGCAGTAGTAAAGTATAAAGCCCGAAATAAAAAGAGCACGAGTCAGCAAAAGTCGGTTAATTAAGAGAAATAACTCGCATTGTCCTAAGACACTTGACAAAAATGCATACAATGCTTTTAGCTCCCTCTCTCTCTCTCTGTCTCGACATGCTTCGCATGACATTACTCTTGGTCTAAACTCGTGCGGCTCTCTTGGTCCTCTCAAGCACGCAATGTACATGCAAAGAGCTCGAGCTATACACGTACACGCAGATGGAGAGAGAGAGAGAGAGAGAGAGAGAGAAGAGGAGACAGAGAAGAGCTGCTGTTGGCTGGCGGACTACACGCCGCAAAACTAATCCCTAAACTTTGCCTCGCTTCTCTCTGTCTCCTCCGTTTTCTCTCTCTCTCGCTCGCAGTTTAGGCATTATAATGCAGTGATGAAATCGCGTTATAATATTATTCTGCGCTTCTGGCCGGCGCGCGTCGTTTATTGCATTACGTTTGAAACTTGCGAGAGAGAAATGCCGTATTTTAAGCTGCGCACGAAAGCGAGCGAAACGTCAAATTCTCGCGCGAGCGAGCGCGTGCGATCGGTCGTTCGGTATTTTCTTATGTCACTCGAAAGCTCCCCGTGTATACGCGACTCGCGAACTTCCATATAACTTGAGATGACGAGCGCGCGAAGCTGCCTCTGTTGTTGTTGTTTTCTCTTAAATAGCGATCGCGACCCGATTGCACGAATATTCGCGTCGAGTCGCTCCTTGACAGAACGAGGACTCTGGTACGCGGCGAAAGCCTAAAAAGGTATTTATTTATCGAATACGTCATCGATGGCGAGGTGAGAGAGAGAAAAAAAAATGAAATAAATACAATATGTATGCAGCGGCTTACTCGTGCGCGCAGTGCGTAAAGCCAGGCAGCACACGATACATAACGTAGGTCGTGCGCGCGGATATATATATTTGTGTAACGACGATAACAATGAGCTGACGATACACACGGACGCGTAATATATATGCGTATATGTGTGTGCAGTGCGTACACAGCAGCAGCAGCAGCAACAACAGAGCAAAAGAGCGCGTGGCTCGATCGTGTGTGCATGTGCGGCTCGTACAGCACACAATAAAAGCACGGCGAATCTCGCCCGTACTCCTCTCTTCGCGCGAAACCGCCAACGCGTTCGGATAAGTACCTCGACACGGTAGAAGAGCGTTGGCGAATTTCAGCTCTACTAACGCTGGCTGCCTCGCTCTTGCTCGCTCCGCATTCGTATACGCGCGCCAAAGAGCTACTCCATACGAGCCCGCACTTACGGCGTCCGCTCGGATAATTATTGCCGACCCCAGTTTCTCTCGTTCTCGTTTATTATTTTGCTTTTTACTTTCCCGCAACTATATACCATACGACGACTATTTCGCTGTTTCGAGAGTAAGCGCGCGCCAAGCGGCCGCGCGCGCGTGTGTGTGTGTGTGTGTGTGCAATCATGAGCGAGTTTTTCGAGCCAACGACTAAACGAGCCGAGCGCGCACGACGATGAATCCCACACGATAAGCGTGAACCACTGCGGGGTCAAAAAAAACATTTCTAGTGCTGAGTGCTGTGATATTAGTACGTAATACATATAATATATAGTTTTTTTTCGCTCCTTTTTACTCGTGTCATACTTGCGCGCAACTAGTCACACACATGTTTTTAACGCGGATAACGAGATCGACGCTCCTCGTCTACCTGTGGATCTGTTTACTCGTTTTCATCGCGTCCTCTTCGTCGTCGTCGTTTTGCCAAGCGGACAGCAGTGGCGGCAGCAGCAGCGTCATAACGAGATGGCTCAATTTCGGGTACGTGCAGCAGTCCTCGGCCAATTCGTTTTGCCCCAAGAAATAAGTACTAAAGGCACTTGTGTGTGTGTCTCTCTCTCTCTCTATATATCACTACGCAGGTTGGAAGCTTTTCTATCGCCGCAGCAGCAGAAACCAACGACGGCGACGACGACGACGACGACGACTGAGGCGCCAGAACCCAAGGAGAAAAGCTCGCAAGCCTTTGAAATCTACTGGAACGTGCCGAGCTTTATGTGCCATAAATATGGGATGGACTTTCACGAGGTGTCGAAAAAGTACTCGATTCTGCAGAACGACGCCGACGACTTCCGAGGCAATCGCATTGCCATTCTTTATGATCCCGGAGATTTTCCGGCTTTTCTCAAGGACGACCGAGGTAAGAATTGTGCTTGCTACGCTTCCTATCTAGATGATAAAAAAAATAACAACTCGTCTCGAAAAAAAAAGCTCGCCGCAAAGTTTTTCGATCTCGACGCACACGAAAATTGGCAATTTGCATCGTCGCGTTATAATTGCGCGTTGCGGGTAATATGCTAATCTCCAGGCCAAGTCACGGCGTTTCGCTTGCAATAAATCAATTGTGCCTTGTGCGCAGTTCGGCAAGAAAAAAAAAGAACGGGGGGGTCGAGCTGGAAGGGAGAAAGAAAGTAAGAGCTTTAAAAAAAAAAGCGAGAATCTCGAGAGACGCTACAAGGAGCTTCTGCAATCTTTCCTCATCCAAGTCCGAAAAACTTTGGTAACTCGCGGAAACACGTCGGGGGGGCGTACGCGAGAGCTGTACTATATAAGGCGAGCGAGCCCCGAAACACACGATCTGTATACTACCAGCAGCACTGCGCTTACTACTACTACTTGGGAAAACTTTTGGCCGCAGATAACATAGTGAAGCGTAACGGCGGCGTGCCACAGGAGGGTAATCTCTCGCTTCACTTGGATTACTTCCGGCATCATTTGGCCGAGCAGTTGCCGAGCACGAATTTTTCCGGCATCGGCGTGATCGATTTCGAAAGTTGGCGGCCCATATTCCGCCAGAACTGGGCGTCCCTGCAGATCTATCGGGACCTGTCGATCGACCTCGAGCGCCAGCGTCACCCCTTCTGGAGCCCCAAGGCCGTGCAGCAGGAGGCCGAGGGCCGCTTCGAGCGCGCCGGCAAGCTCTTCATGCAGAAGACCCTGGACGCGGCCAGGCGGCTCAGGCCCAAGGCCGTCTGGGGCTACTACGCCTATCCTTACTGCTTCAACTGGACGCCCAGTCAGCAGAGCGCCCAGTGCGTGCCCAAGGTCATCGAGGAGAACGACCAGTAAGTCACTGACCCAAAGCACAGAGCTGCTTCGCGTGTAATTCGCGCGAGACAGCATCCCCCCCGGCGACGGGTACAAGGACCAAGTACATGATACGTAAAGTTTTCCCTCTCTCGCACACAGAATGACGTGGCTGTTCGGCAACGCCAAAGTGCTCCTGCCGTCTGTCTATCTGTCGCAAAAGTTAACTTCCGCTCAAAGGATAGGCCTCGTGCGGGGCCGCATTCAAGAAGCCGTCAGATTAGCCCGCAAATCCAAGAGCAGAGAGCCGACCAAAGTTTACGCCTACTACTGGTACAAGTATCAAGACCAGCGAAACAGTTTCATCGAGAAGGTAAGCCAACGTAAAACTACGCGCCGAGAGATAAGTATCGGATCTTGGAGAAATGAAAGGGCAAAATGTAAAGCGCCTTCGCTCTTCTCTCCCTCTGTCTGTCTTCCTGCAGCGAGAACTACTCGGCACGATAATGGAGATATCGCGGCGAGGCGCTGACGGCATGATCCTGTGGGGCAGCTCGGCGGACCTGGATACCGAGGCCAAGTGCAACGACTTCCGGGACTATCTGCACGAGGTCTTGGGACCGACCTTGCTGCGCGTCCAGCGCCAGATCAACAATCTCGTGTGACAAACATCGTTTGCGGTTGGTTAGCGCGAAAAACTGCGCGTGGCAATTATTGTTATTCACAGTTGCCGATCGATAATCATTGTCGTCGTCGTCGTCGTCGTAGTACGATGCAATATCTACATCGTATTGCAATTCACACGTGACATTTGGAATACGAAGTGTCAGCGAATGCGGGAACAATAAATTAAACGAAAAATCCTTATATATTTTTTTTCATTTTCCATCTTATCTCTTTAAAACGAGCTGGCAGCAGAGAGAATAAAAAAAAAGAGAGAAAAAAAAAGAGGAACGAAGAAAAATTGTATTCCCATCGCCGAGGTATATAGTGACAAATAATTTGCGCCTCGACTCTTTCATCCCGCGAAGCGAGGAGCTGCCTGCTCGCAAAGAGCGGCGGCGGTGGCGGGCGCAGAGCGAAAGAAAGGAAAAGCGCAAGTATATAAGAAACGAATGCGGGGTAAAAAAGAAAAGACGAAAAAGAGAGAAGCGAGCGAGAGAGCCAAGTTGAGGAAGAGTAGGGAGGAGGAGGAGGAGGAGGTGCGACGGGTTTTAATGGCTGAAGGTGTAAAAGTCGCCTTGTTCTGCAGCTGTAGTTATCCTCTTCTCTCCTTCTCTCTTATACGGAGCAGCGTATCTTTTCTTTTTCTTCGTCGCTTTTTTATTGTACTACGGGCTGTAGGTGAATATAGCAGCAGAGGGGCTAGGGTACTTGGCGTAGTACTGGCAGTAATACCTTTTTCCCGACCGTGTATCTTTTACGTCGTTATAACTGCCGCGAGACGGAGGACAAAAAAGAGCTTGTAAAAGATTGATATACGGCGTGGCACGTACGCCTCTGTACATAGCACGTATATATGCCATACTCGGTCGCTCATACAGCCGCGCGCGCGTATGCCTATATGATGTGACATTTTTTTCCTTTGTAAATAAGCGCAGCTCGCTGCGTTATATGGTAGAGCTATTGAAAAATGAATATATATCGCGCGTCGTTGTAACCATTATATATTATACGCGCGCATGTTATACAGGCTACACAAGCCGATCATGTAAATTTTTTTTTATAGTCGTACACGCGATCGAGGAGAAAAACTTTTTCTTTTTCTTTTTTTTTTTTTTTTNTTTTTTTTTTTTTTTTTTTTTTTTTTTTTTTTTTTTTACCTTGCCAGATGCAACGTTATAAACTTTTCGATTCCAATTTATAATGGCTTCGATGCGATAGACGAACGACGAGAAGATATATAGGCTGAATCAGCGATCGAACAATCCGGCGTGCCATTGGCGCGGCGCGCACATGCTCCTACCGTGTAATATGGCTTGCAGTTTATACAGTGTACCTTCATAGGATAGCTAAACTGTCAGAAACTGCCTGGAGGAAAACTCAATCTTCCACATTGGCGCGCGCGCTCGGCTGCACGAGGAAAATTACGCTTCGGGACGTAACGTATATGGGTGATTCTTGGGCAAAATTGCGTTTTATTTTTCTTGTATTCAGCAAATCTGCTTCGATAACAATGCAATTCGAATACGTGGTTTGTACTTCGTTGTAATAATGATATTTTTATTAATAAATTCACAATTATTGATTGAAATGTACGAAACCAATATCCAGTACTAAATAATTTATGCGGTCGAAGTAAATGAATTTGTTAGAAATAAGGAGAACTTCAGAAACTCGGAGTACCTGGTAGAAATGCTCAATATTAATACCACTTCGAGGCTCCACCACTAGATGGCAAACATACTTTTATCTTTAAATCTGCAAGTGACAAAGTAAACATAATTGTATAAGTCAAAACACGGGTATAAAACCGACGCTTTCTGCAAATTTGTAATGATGTTGTAACGCGGAATTATAATTCGCGCGTTAAGTCGTGAGCGCGGATTTGAATTTACAGAAAAGTAACTTGCGCGGCTCGTCGTACAGTAAGTACGACGAGCAGACAATAATAAATAAACGAGGGACCTACGATCGATCGTTGTAGCGCATGAACCCTCACTTCGTGTCCGAGCGTAAAACTGTGTTTGTGAACTTTGCGTGCGAGCGAACCAACGCGGATCCACCTCGAGCGACGACCCTGTGCGAGTGGATCCTGCAGACGACTTTGTCAGCGACGAGTAAGCGACCGAGTATCTATTGTATTCATTGCGAGCGTGCGTGCGGCCCTAATTTAATCGAATTATTACTAATTAATTTTCATGCGAATAAATCGCTTTATTTCATTTTATTAACTCGCGACTGATTATTTATTTCGTGTTGCCTATTTCGACCCATTTCAGCAAGGCGATTACTCGACGAGCAACGGCTCGTCGAGCATCTGTACGCGGGATCATCACCAGAGCTCGTCGAAGCAAGGTATCGACGAGTTGTATTGTGCAACGCGGGTTTGCGATCATATTCTCGTGTGGCACGAACTAGCCGGCTCTTCTGCAAGGCATTCCCCGTTACAATGTATAATTTCATTAAGTATACTTTTTATAAATATGAAGGTACCCATAACCCAACTTGAACTGAGATGTATAGCCATGACTTTATTCGGTTGAAAAAGGATTTAAAGTCGCGAGTAAAAATACAACACCTGCGAACACACTCGAAGTTTACTTTTTCAATTCGCAGAGAAAAATAGAGAGAACGAGAGACAACGATGGCCCGAGGCAGCTGAAAAATATTCGATGTATTTAAACGATCAAATAGATCGTATACCCAAAGGCGATACATACAAAAGCGCGCATAATGAGAAAAAACAAACAGAAAAAGGCGCCCGTCGCCGTTGTTGTATGTATTTTATTTTTTTTTTTTTTTTGGTCGTCGGTGTGTGCCGCCTCTCGCCACGGTGTCCCTGGCACATATGTACTTTGCCGTGCCACTACCTGTACGGTAATTAGCTCCGAGAGTCTCGATCAAAGTCAAGGAGCGCTTGCTTTTCTCTCTCTCTCTCTCTTTCTCTTGTGCTCACGGCTCACGTACACACTAACACACACGAGGGGCACGAGTACTTAAATACTTCTCACCATAAATTAACCGTTTTGCCGTTTGTCCGAGACTGCTTGTACCCCTTGGAGAGGGCGACATTTGGACGTTAAACTGGTATATTGCGCACGGCAGCTGCCGATCGGCGAGTGGAAAATTGCCGATTTTTTTCTCGAGATCGTTAAGGGGATCCGATCGTGGACCAATATAATCGGAGTAGGCCGGCAGCGCGTCGGTGGCATGCGGCATGCGAGTCTCGTCGAAGCCCGCGAGCGAGTCACACGCTATTACATCTCACCTGAAGTCCACGTAAATGCCGAGGCTATATTGTGCGCGCGCTGCACAGATTGCAGAATCATAAAAGCTGCTGCTGCTGCTGCATCTGGCGCAGCAATTATATTACGCCTGGCTCAAGCTCTCGCGCTCGCTGCTGTCGCGGTCCAGAGAGCAAGAAAGAGACGCGAGATCTGTACGCACACACACGCAGGCACATTGGATCTCGGAGAAGAGAAGCAAAAGGAAGGAGTATATATGTATAGGAGCGTATAGCTCTATCGCTCGCGTGTATGAGTGTGTGTACAGTGTCCGTGTGTTGTTAGCAAGTGGGAAGGGAAAATATATATAGCGCAGCAGCCGCCAAGAGCTATATAGGTATACAGCTCGAGAGGACCGCAGAGTCCAGCTCTCGCGCGCACTCACCGCAGTCTCTCTCTCTCTCTCTCTCTCTATCTTTCTCTCTGTCTTTCTCTCGTCGGTCTCGTCGTCGTCGTCGCCTATAGACCGCTGCGGCCTGGGCTTGTCTCCCTCTTGCTCCTTTGCAGCTCTCTCAGCCTCTCTCAGTGCGAGAATTGCGTGCAGCAGCAGCAGCAGCAGATATAAGCGCACACGGGCCAGTTGTGTCGAAGCCGTAAGCTGCGAGGTCGCACCTCTTTGGCGCGCGCGCGTGTGCTTGTTTTCCCCGTACGTATATATACACACACGTATACACAGCACTCTCATAGCGCATAGCGCAGCATCGCATTGCATACACACATACATACTTACATGCTCTCTCGCTCTCGATCGTATTATATATTCGCTCGATACGTGCATAGATTCATACACACACAAAAGTTTCCATACTCGCATGCATATGAGCCGTCGATGCACTATGCATGCACCTATATCAGCGGCAGTAGTAGTAGTAGTACGTGAGTGTGCGTGACAGAGAGGCTGCCAGACAGCAACACCTTTTTTGCGGAGCAGCGTTTGGTGCAGTGTATTCGTGTGCGAGTGACAGTGCATACACATAATTCATATAGATCTATGCCGATTTACATGTTCCTCGTCCACGCATCGACGTATCGCGTGCCCTGCCATCGGACCTGCATCGGTGCGCAAAGAGAAATTTCCACCCAACCGAATGATCATTCCTTGGAAATGGTCGATTTTGTAAACGATCTTTTGCGACGCGATCGGTAGTGCTGTTGACAGACGGAGGGAGAGACAGAGAGAGAGATAGAAAGCGATTTTTTTTTCTAAACGCGCGCACGCACGCTTCTCTCGACGATAGATCGACGCAGACGACGACGACTAAGGCGACGTCGAGTGGGAGAGAAAACGACTCGCATTGCCGACGAGAGAAAAAAAAAGGTGAGGCAGACACACATGCACATGCACGTCTATATACCTATACGCACGCAGCAGCTTCTATACTGCTCGAAAGAGTTGAGTGCCTACTACTACACACAGACAGAGAGCCGAGATTTTCTCCCTCCTCCGATCGCAAAATGGAGGAAAATCTATTGGAAAAACGTCGGTACGCGACGTCCGATCCACGATCGACCGAGCGCGCCAAATGCGCAGCGCGGATTCTTTTATTTGCCGATTTTTCTCCGTCTTTGTACGTTGTACCGCGGAACGTCGCACCGATCCCACGTACGTTGAGGACGACGATGTCTCCTTGCGCGAAACGATGTAAAAACACGATACGTACAAGTGCTATCGAGGGGAAAGGCGCGAGAAAGGGATCGCCGTCGAGAGCACACCGAGAGCCGCAGCGGCCTTTTCGAGTGTTTCGCACTGCAGCTCCTTCCTTTTTTCCTACGCCGCCTTTTTCCTTCCCGTCGTTGTCACTGCTTCGAGAAAGAGAGAGAGAAGAAAAATCTGCCAACGAGTACGGCACTATTTGCATTGCTAATAACCGATTGCATCGAACGATGATATAATGACAAATCGAAGGCAAAGAGGTCACGAGTACACGGGGGCCTAATCGCTTCTGTGCGCGTAAACGCGGTTTGCGCATAAATCTCGAGATGCGAGCGGAAAAAAATCGCACTTATGTAATCCTCGTTGATCGAGTATCCCAATTTGCTAATTATACCGTCTACGCGTCAACGCGCCGCGAGCGGCACGGCAAAAAAAAAACAGCGAAAAAATAAACGAAGCAGGAGGAAAAAAAGGAAACATCTCTTGTGGGCTTAATTACGCATTGCGTATACATTATTATATACATCATATCGTATAATGGATACATTGGACTTGCGCGAGAAAGGAGCCAAGCATTAAAGTGTCGTTAAAAAACACGCGACGAGAAGCGGAAATCGTTACTTATCCGCGCGTTTGTGCGCGAAATTTTTCGTCGCACCGCACACAGCACTCGATACTTATAATCGCACCGTACCACATGCATATATACACATACGCGCGAGATCCGAAAATCGGCATTAAATATGTTTACGGTAAAAAGTTCGCGGGGACACGATGCCTAATTTTAGAAGCTGACGATATTATATACACTTAGCGGAATTATTCGCGTCTCGTAAATCCCGAGGAACGATGGAAAGTCGATTTTTTTATTTCGCTCCCTCTCTTTCTCGCTGCGTGTGTATACATAAGCGATCGCTGGCTCGCGCGCCTGAGAGCTCTTATGTTGCATTTCTCCTGCGGTCCTTTGCATTATATGATATCGGTTCATCTTTCAAAATTTTATGTGTACATTATAATATTGAAAATGTGTCTCGATGATTCATAAACAGATATATGCGTATAAGTTGTTTCTTCTTCTTCTTTTTTATTCTTTCTTTTTTTTTTTTATCAATTTGCCAACCGGCACGGCAGCTTTTTTTGAAAGAAATGTGAAATCGTCTGATACTCCTCAATCGATCACCTTGAAATTTCAGTTGATTGAAGAGTGTCCTTCTGATTCGAGTATAAGGAAGGATTGTAAAGAGATACGCTATATGCGTATGAAAAAAAAGGCATATGGCAAAAAAAATTGTTTAATCGATATCTGCGCTCACATGTGAGAGAAGCATGACTTATAAGTAAGTAATTAAGCCGCTACATTAGAGATGGTCGAGTCGGTCGGCCGTCGCGGCGCGCACAAATAATAAAAGTCCAAAAGCGAGCCATCAATCAAAATCAACACCTTTTGTCGAAGCTCTCGCGAGACTCGGCTCTTGCTCGCTCACGCTCGGAGGGAAGGGTCACTTCTTTGCACGCCAGTCTTAGGCCCACTACTGCATTTCTTCTCCTCGTCTTCACTCTCTCTCTCTCTCTCTCTCTCTTTCTCTCGCTCGCTCAGACGCGCTCGCGTATACGTATGCGCGCATAACACGAAATTGTTATCCTCGCACCTTCTGAAATTTATTATCGTCGTCGGCTTGGCGTATATACCTATATACACGTAATATGCTCCGAAGCTCGCGTGTGTAAGTGTGCGTGATGCGTGCGTGTGTACGTCTCGAGTACATACCCCCCTTCCTTCATCGAGCCGCGGCTTTGTTATTTATTTATTTCTTTTAATTTTATTTCATTTTGTTGCTCGTCGAGTCGTCGAGACGGCAGAAGCGAGTCGAGAACCGATCGAGGTAATCGAGTATTCTCCGTCTCTCTCGCGCGCGGCTCTCTCGCGTGCATATAGTACGCGAGCATTTGCTGCGCGTATAATATGATCGTCGTCGCAACCTCCGCAGAGCCGCGTGCACGGGACGCACGGGTGTCTCTCGGTATCGATCTCTCGCGCACACATAGAATATCGTCTGTGTACATGTACCACCTATATAGCCTATATAGGCAGCTGCACACGTGAGAGGTGGGGTAAACCGGAAACGAGTCGGCGGCCGTGTGTGTGTGTGTGTGTGAGCTGCATGTGTGCACGTACGTATGCAGCTCTTGCGCATGTAGGCATACTTTGATGTTGTGCGTTGCCGTGTGTATTATATATGCACTCGCGTCTCTGGCGCGATACCATGCAGCAGCAGCAGCAGCGAAAGGTATTGCGCTCTTGAAAATTTCAACGTGTGCGTTTGTGCGGTCCGCGAGTAAGCCGCGCGACGTGCATGCATGTGTACGTATGGCTATATAGGCGTACACACGATATTATTATAGGGGATTGCTAGGCCGCGCCGGAGTAAAGCTCGCATGCTCTCTCGGACGCGAGCCGAGCAGTTTCTGCCAGCAGCCAAACGGATTAAATGCGAATAACGAGTTTCTCTGGAAAAATCCTGCCACGCGTGGGCTCTTGTATATATGTGTGTGCAGTGCATGTACGTCTCGTCCCGAGAGCCCGACCGACTGCAGGCACACATGCAGCTATGTACGTACGTACGTACGCGTCTGTATCTGTTCATCGTCGTACTTTTTGCTTTTCATTTTATACGTGTGTATCGGCTGCGCGAGCTCGCTCGTGGATAATTGCAGAGTGATTACATTAAAAGGCCAAGTCGACTGCGGGGAAAAATGCATTTTTACACTGTATGCTCCCCCCGCTTTTTTAATGGAACGAGAAAAAGAGAGAGAAGAGATGTAGGGCGTTTATAGAGGAGATGTAGTATTAAGAATCGTTGTTGCAGTCGTTGATAAAAGTCGAGGTGCCGAGGCCGAGGTTCTCGTAGATCGATACCCTCCAGTTGATGGGCCTGCTCTTCACCTCGGGCTGCAGCTTCAGCTCCAAGTGCTGGCCGCTTTTTCGCGAGTCCGGCCAGTAAATTCTGCTCGCGTAATTACTTTCCGCCGCCCGTGCTCCATCCACCGCTGGCGTTGGATTTCTGCGGCACATATTGTACATTTTGTTACTTGTGTCAAAAATCATAATATACAAAGTACGAAAATATCCAGCGTAAGTGCTTTTGGCTACTGATACGCGCGCAGCTCGTACCCGTGCTTGGCGAAGTCGCTCCACAGACTCGTGTAAACGTCGATCATCGACGTGACGTTGGTGTCACTCAGCGAAAAGTTCGTGAACGTCGGCATGTGAAACAAGAAGGGCAAGTCTTCCGCGTGGCCCACATCTGCAAAATCATCGCAGTTCAATTAGTTATGCAACTTTACTGTGCTATTTGGTCATTCATTAGACCGCACCGTAATCGTTGAAAATTTCGCCGGCTCGTCTGAACAGACCCGCGCTGTAGGCCGATCGGTAGTAATAGATCGGATGATCGTTGTTTTTCGACATCAAGCGCTGCTTCGAGTCGATGCCCAGTATCAAGTAATCCAGAGTTATCTTGAAGAATCTCGTGAAAAGTGCCCCGGGTAATTTGAGGATGTCGTTCATGTACTGAATGGCTTCGAAGAAAGGCGTTTCCGGGGTGATGGATATGTTGAAGTATCGCTGCAGCTGATGATTAAGGATGATGAAAATGACCACTGAAAACGTATCGATTAATTAATTTCTTTCAACATCGTGTAGCTGTTACGTATCCTTTTTTAGTGTATCAATTAACTCACAACGAGGCATAGCTATGAACTCGTTAGACGTATAACCGAGCATGTGGGGCATTTTCTCATAGTCCCCGGACTCGTAATACTTGAGGACGCAATTTTTCAAAAACCTTTCACCGTTGCCGAACGGCTCAGTTCTCTCGATCGTCGGTCGGAAAATCTATAAATAATATATTGCCAAAGTTATTTGGCACAGTTTATGTATACGCAACTGACGCAATTAATATTATATACGCACGCAACTTAATATTAACGCGCAGCTGATCTATATATATAATGTTAGCTCACCGAGGAGATGGAAAATATTCTGGCAGCTTTGAGCAGATCGTCGGCCGGTTTGGCCAGCAGCTGCCTCAGCAGTTCATCCTTGCTCTTGGTCACGATGCCCATTTTGAGGCCCAGCGCGAATCCCTGGGCCTCGGCCTCGACGTTGCTCGCCAGTGCCATTATGGCCAGGGTGAACGAGCTCATGGAGATCGAGCGGTGAAACAGGCCGCGCGACATCTCCGACACGGTGTGATAGTCCACGGACATGGCCCCGGCGCTGTGGCCGAACAGAGTGACTTTCTTGGGGTCGCCGCCGAACAGGCCGATGTTTTTGTTCACCCACTTGAGGGCCATATTTTGATCCTTCAAGCCTTGATTGCCGGTGGCGTTCTCGTGATTTACGTTCAGAAATCCTGCAAACATTTTAGTTAAGATTAAAGATTCTCGCGTTGAATTGAAGACGACTGACATAATATACGCACCAAAAGGTCCTAGACGATAATTGAACGTCACGACGACGACGTCCTTTTCTATCAAATAATCGGGCCCGTACAACTCGGCGTTCGAGTATCCCCAGAAAAAAGCTCCACCGTAAATCCAAACCATCACGGCTTTGAGATCGCTCCTGTTGATACTTTTGAAATTCGTCTGGACGAACACAACGAGACGCAATTAATTAACACACACACACTTATAATTTCTGAGCGTTTCAATCGTCAGCAAAATTGTCATTTACATGTGGAGTATAAACATTCAGATAGAGACAATCTTCGGATCCGATCATGCTCAAGTTGAAGCCATCGTACTGCATACAGGCGTCTCCCTCTCTGGTCGCGAGCAACACATCTGTCCATCTGTTTTTCTCCACCGGTGGCTAAAATTCAATACAAGGAATTAATTTTCAAAAGCAATCATACTTGATCGTTCGATCTTATCGAACCTTGAATCTCAACTCGCCCTCTGGACTTTCGGCGAAGGGAATACCCTTGAATGAAGCGTACTCCCGTGATTTTCTAATCGTTTCGAGGATCTCACCCTGGACCGGGCCACTCTTCGTGCGAATTATCGAGGTCAATTTCGACTCGGTGCAGACCACGACGTAGCAGAAGCACAGCAGAGCGACGATGACGGCGACTCGTCGTCTGTTCGTCGAGCGAGTTTTCATCTCGTGCACACGTGGTGCGTGTGCATGTGCACTCGCAAAGAGTCGCGCTATCCAACTGAAATTGGAAAGAGCCTTTTCCGCGAGAGTTCGCGGCTGTAATATAGACACAGCACGCGTTGCATTCCCACGTGAATGGAACTACATGTGTGTACACGCATGTGTATAATACATTTCACAGTGATATATTTCACCGTGCATGGACATTTATTTATTTTTTTTCTTCTTCTTCTTTCCACCGACTCAAATAAATTAGAAACACGTTTCTCATTATCATTCCAAAAATTGCTCTTTATTGCGAAGTCTCGCTCATTGTTCAGCAAACCTTCCTTATTCTTCTTTTTTTTTCTTTCTCATAAAGCACATAACATAATATATAATATACAATATCGCAACGCGCAAATGTTTCAAACGCATATATATGTAAGATAACTTGATATACTCGCGGGTGCGCGCGTGGCTTTGTCGCGCTGGTTACGCAATTTATTCTTTTTTTTTTATCTATGTACACAATAGAGGTAACTTCAGTCTTTTTACTTCATGCCTCATTATATTATATATGCGAGCTCGATGATGTCTCGGCTCGCGTGCACACGCGTATACGACGCGCATCTGTTTCGTCTTCATTAATAAAACGCAAAATCATCGGCGCTGCAGTCGTTCGATTGATAGGATCGGCCGTGGCCGGCGGCCTCGAGATTCGCCACGTTCTGACTGATGGGCCGAGGTCCCGTTTGCGGATACAGGTCCATCTCCAGGTGCTGTCCCCACACGCCAGAGTCGGGCCAGTGTAAGCCCAGACTCGTCTCGTAGGACGGCGTTGGATTTCTGAATCGCGAACCAAAAAAAAATTTTCTTTACGCGAATGTTCTTATTTCATAGCATAAAGTCACTACAATCGTGCAGAAAAAGCAACTTACCCGTATCTCGCGAAATTCGTCCATAGTCGAGTGTAGCGATCGATCATGGTATTCGTCGCCGGATCGTAGAACGACAGTTCGGCATGAGGAATGTGAAAAATAAAGGCCAAATCCTCGGCGTGCCCGACCCCTGCGCGTCGCAAACAAACAAACAAACAAACAAACGCAAATGATGCATCGCACGAGTGCAGCTTCTAAGATTACTCCGCTATGTAATATATTACCGTCGATGTTGAAGACTCTGTTTGCGCGACTAAACAAACCAGCCGTGTAGGATGATCGATAATAGTAAATAGGGAAGTAATTATTCTGAGCCATCAGTTGCTGCTTCTGGTCGATGCCGAGTATGTACATTCGATCGGCTATCATCTGCGATTCGCAAAAAAAATTATGTTTCTTTCGTTTTTTTTTTGAAGAGACAGCTATAGAGTCGAGGAACGATGCAAAAGCGAAAAAAAACAGTTTACCTCTAAAACGTGTTTGACGATGCCGATCGGGATATCGGTCAAGCCCGTCGAGTGCAAAAGTTGAATGAATTGAAATATATCGTCCTCGGGCGTTAGATCCCAACCCAAGGTATTTCGCAGTATATTTTTTAATAATATGAATATCGAAGCTGTAAAATTAAAAAAATTTTGTGTTTGTTGTTATCTCGTGTCGAGTAACTTTATAAAAAAAAAATAAAATAAATAGATACCTTTCGGGTAGAGAAGTGGCTCCAAAGACGTGAAGCCGAGCATATGCGGCGCTTTGTTATACCTGCCCGTCTCATAGTACTTGAGCGGGCAGTGCTTTAAAAATCGGTTGTCATAGTATCCGTATATTGTCCTCTCGATCGTTGGCCTGAACTGCGACTAAAATTGAAGGAAAAAAAATTGATCTAGCGTCTGATACATCGATGACCTGTTCATAATAAAAGCAAATGAATAATACTTACAAATGGCCACGATCGAGTAACGCTCAAAAACGTCTCGGCCGGGATCGTGTAAAATGCGTTCAACAGCTCTTGGCTGTTACCGGCATAAATGCCCAGCTGGGCTGCCACTGAGTAGGCCTCTTGCTCGGCCTCGACGTTGCTCTGTAGGCCCCATTGCTCGCAGAGCGGAGAACCGCTCATGGATATCGATCGACTGAATAAACCTTTTGGAACGAGGAAAAATTTGGTTATTTTTTTAACGAAACAGATAAATTAGTTATTTAACAAATAGAGAGTACTGACCAGCTGACATTTCGGACAAAACGTGAAGATCGACGGACACGGCGCCAGCACTTTGACCGAAAATCGTGACTAGATTGGGATTTCCTCCGAATGCCGCTATATTCTGACGAACCCATCGCAAAACTAAATTCTGATCCTTGAGAGCTTGATTTCCAGTAGCATGAGGATGATTGAGGTTCAGAAATCCGAAAATGCCGAGTCGATAATTGAAGGACACGAGAACGACGTCGTTCTCCATCAAATAATCGGGCCCGTAGAAATCTGTATTCCCGAAACCGGAAGAAAATCCGCCACCGTGTATCCATACCATGACGGCCTTGAGATTGTTGGAGTTTATGGCTGAGAAATCGACGTGAGGCGTGAAGATGTTCAGATACAAGCAATCCTCGGAACCGATGATGCTGAAGTTCATTTGATTAACTTGCGAGCAGGCGCTTCCCTCGCTCAGCGCGTACAATAAATTTCCCCATGGCCTTTTCTCCACCGGAGGCTGCCACGCATACAAAATATTCGATCGGTAATTTTTCAAAGCAATTTAGCTATGAATTATCTTACCTGGAAACGTAAATAACCCAAGGGTGGCTCGGCGTATGGTATTCCTTTGAACGAGGCGTAGCTGTACCTGTGTCTGACCGTCGTTAAATATTCACCGACCACGGGCCCGGATTGAGTTTGAATCACTGGCGTGTACTGCGCTTTTATCAAATTTATCAAGCTCGATAAAAGAAATACCTTAAATATATTATCACGAAGCTCAACGTTCAATTCTATCATTTTGTTAATGAAAAATTTTGAAAGCGTCCTAGCTGACGGCAACTTGGTAACTAACGAAGGATCATCTCCTTCTCGACTATTTTATAAGGACGGATAGCAAAATAAAGTAAAATATATCTATTGTCGTTTTTTCTACGAATACATTTGAATATGAACTTATCGTTTAGGCTGTTGAACTTTTGTCGGCAAAAAATTGATCCTCCAAACCAGATCTAGTGTCTGCTACGCCTATGTCACCTACTGGTCTAAGACGCGTGTATACACTGGGTCACAATGGAAATTTTTAACTTTAAAAAATTCTTTGATACACTATCAAATATACATATTTTATTGTGAGCCATAAAAATTTACAAGCTTATGAGCTGGGCAACGAACTTTCCACTATGTATTTTTCATTTAATTCAAATACAAGTCAAACCACTAAGAAAACAATACGAAGTGCGCAGCGATCGAGCAGCGATAACATTTTTTTCTGCCGCGACATCGACTGCGCGCGATCGCTTGTCCGACTTCCATATATTCTATAAAGAACGGATCTGTGTGACTCAGTGCAACTCGTCGTTGAATCCGCAATCGTTCAGCAGTGGTAATTTTTCCAATCCGCGAGACTGGGCGCGTGCCACGATTTTGGTGACGCGTCGGGGCTTCAGCTTCGGTGGTAGATCGATTTGCAGAAGTCGTCCTTTTACCCCCGACGGAGGCCACAACATTCCCAGAGTCTCGTTCGTCGGCGTTGGATTGCTGTTTCGAACGAAGCAAATTGTTAGAGAATACATATAGTCTATTTGTCGTTCTGTCATTCTCGAGGCGTACTTGTATTTGGCGAAATTAGTCCACAAGCCGGTGTACGTGTCGATCATCTTGTTGACACCCGTGTCTAGGAATGAAATATTCAGCAGAGAAAAGTTGAAGAGGAACGGCAAATCTTCCGCGTGCCCTACACCTATTGTTTAACCAACAATTAATTAAATGCCTTTTAGAAATATACCCTAAACTTACCATCAAAGCCAAAAATTTCATTCGCAGTTTTTATTAATCCACCCGAATAGTTCGAATAATAATAGTATATTGGAAATTTATTATTTTTTGACATCAAACGTTGCTTTGTGTCTATTCCAGCGGCGAACACAAAATCCGATGAAACCTTGGACAAAAGAGATTGATATTAGATTTCGATAAATTTAACGACGAAATATTGAAAATTGATTATATTGGTACGTCAAGAATGTTTCGTATCGTCGGTGCTATTTTTTTTATCAAACGACCGACAGGCTGCGTTTGAAGATGTTTGAAAAAAGGATCGTCCGGTTGATATGTCACGTTCAATGTTCTTTCCAATATGTTCCGGAATCCGATGAAAACTGCGCCTAAAATTCATTCTAGCCAACCTTGACGTATGGTTTTTGTAATCATGAATGTTTTAATTTCGACAACTTACTTTTGGGCCAGAAACTCAATTCGAGCGAATTGTAGCCCATCATGTGAGGGCCTCTGTTGTATTTTCCCGCCTTGAAAAGCTTCATCGGGCAAGATTTGAGAAATCTTCGCTCATTTCCAAAAGGAACGGCCCTCTCGATGGAAGGTCTGAAAGCTAACTTTAAGGGTGATTAGCGACTTTGTTCTCGCTGGCAATGTAGCGGGTAAATTTTGACGAAACGAACCGGCGAATTTCCGAGCTCCTGCACCAAAATGTCTTTCACCGACGCCTCGTAGAGCTTTTCCAGAATCCGATCTTTGCTTCTTATTATAATGCCCAAGCCAGCGGCGAGCGTGTAGGCGTTAAATTCGGCCTCCCTACCGCTGCTGAATCCCCAATAGTAGTCGAGCACCGAGCCGCTCATCGCGATCGAATTTCTAAATAAACCTGAATTGGCGCGCGAGATAGTTTTATTAGCGGCTTAGCAGTAAATCGACAGCTGTGCACTCACCGCGCGACATGTCCGATAGCATATGATAATCGATCGAGGCTGCACCGGCGCTCTGGCCAAATATGGTGATCCTGCCGGGGTCGCCGCCGAACAAATCGATGTTTTTCTTTGTCCACCTGAGAGCTAGATTCTGATCCTTGAGGCCTTGATTGCCGGTGGCGTTCGGGTGATTCAAGTTTAAGAAACCTGTTGTGGGATTCGTTATCTGATTTTATTGGATTGCTCATCTGCGTATATATATTTTTTTATATAAAAGGAAAAATTGTCGACCTAAGATTCCGATGCGATAGTTGATCGCGACCACGACGACGTCGTTCTCGATTAAAAAGTCAGGCCCGTAGAGGTCGCGATTCTTGAAACCCGAGGTGAAGGCCCCGCCGTGTATCCAGACCATCACTGCTTTTGCATCGCTTTTATTCAAATTCTCAAAGCCAGTCTGCAATCATTCAAACGATATAAATCTAACGCGAGCCACGTAATTTTTCCATGTTTTTGTTATTCTTTACGATGTGTCGCTTACGAGAGGAGTGTAGACATTCAAGTACAGACAATCTTCGTCTCCCATAAACTGTATGCTTATCTGGTCCAATTGCGGACAAACATTGCCCTCGGCCGTGGCATTGAGAACTTGGCTCCATTTCGCTTTGGGAACTGGTGGCTGCAATTAGTCGAGGGAAAACAAGTCAACTCACAATATTAGCAGCACTGATTACGTAGCGAATGACGATGCATACCCTGAATCTTAGTCGCTTCAAGGGTGGCTCGGCGTAGGGGATTCCCCGGAAAGACGAGTACTTGACGGATCTTCTGACGGTCTCGACAATTTCACCCCTCACAGGTCCACTCGCCGTTCGAACCACCGAAGTGTACGTAATATTTTCTCTCTCTGCTGCTGCCATTGCCACCACGAGGGCAGCGAGCACAATTAAAATCCGCGAGGAGTCGCACATGCTTCTCCGCTGAAGTTTGGACTATCAACTCCTTCAAATGAGCTCGTCTCGTTCCGACGAACTAACGATTCGATCGCGCAATTTGTCGCACTCGAGTCGTGTCTACACGCATAATTGGTATAGCTCTCTTGTGTGCGTCCATGTGTGTAACTTACGTATATCGTCAAAAGCAAAAAGCCATCCTTGATATGATAATCATCAAGAGCACATTTAGTGCTGATCATGCATCTCGCCTCCTTATATGATGTATCATATCTTGACCTTGGCTCGACGACGTCTGCTGCGCACTATAAACGCGCCGCGCGAAGGATATCATCGTGCGATTGGGGCGCGCAAAAAAGTGCGATTAATCGATAGACGCTATAGCGACTATACATAATTGAGACATTAATTGATACGTGTGCAACACGTGTCGACGAAATATCAGCAGCGTCATTTTTACCGCTTACCATTTCGTGTCCGCGTATAATATAATATCGCGCGTATGAGCGCAGATCCATCCGTTAGGCCAAAAAGATCACCTGCTCATTGTATATAAATACAGGCAGGTAGGCCAGAGAACCGCAGGTATATATATAGTAAAACACATAAAAAAAGGCGGCGGCCCAGGCAGGTATACGCGTACAGTCAGAGGCTTGCAGGCGGCTGCTCACGATGCACCGGCAGACGAAGAAAAACAAAGCGAAATCTTTATACGCGTGTATGTAGGGCCGGGTCAGTGGCGCGCGAGCGCAAAATAAAACGAGCAAAAAGTCCCAAAACACGAGCACGTGCTGCGTGGCGCCGGAACAAAACGGCCGGAGAGAGAGAGAGAGAGCGAAAAAAATTGTATCGCGCGCGAGGATCTCCCCGGAAAAAAGTAGTCTATTTGGCGCCACTTAATAGCCGCGCGCGCGCCCGCTCATCTCCTCTTCGTCGTCGTCCTCCTCCCCCTCGTCCTTTCCCTTTTTTCTTTTTTTCTCGATCCCTTCTCTCTCTCTTTCATCCTGCCCATGGCTCTCTTTACTCTCTTCTGTGCGTTATAAGTTCGAAGCAGTCACAGAGCTAAAGTCAAATTTATATCCGCTGTTTTAGGAAGGAAGGCCCTGGGCGCTCGAACGCTGTGCACCGCACACAACAGAAGAGAAGAATCGAACAAAAGGATCGAGAGATCGGCAACTACACACAAGCATGGGACAGCTCGGTAATTTCGGCGCTTTGCTCGCCTTCCTCGTCTTGGCGCAATCGAGCCTATCGAGCGCCCACCGAGAGCACAAGGTTTTTATTCCGACTCTTTTTCCGTCCTATGTATACTCAAACGACTACGTCTAACGATGATTTTTGTCGAATGAAATAGGTGCACAACATCGTGCTCTACCCGGACAAGGAGTCGTGGTGCAAGACGACGCCGATCAAGCAAGTGGTAACCTGGCCGTCGTGCGCACCTCAGGAGCTCGACAACAACGTCTGCGTCGGCGCCTGCTTCTCCTACATGGTGCCGCACAGCGAGCCCTCGGCGCCCGGTGACCTCATCAGGCCCTACTGCGACTCGTGTCAGCCTCTGGACAGCGTCTGGCACACGGTAAGGATCGCTAGCCTTCAACTACTCGATCGCAAATAATGTACATGATTTATTGGGCGTTTATATGCGCAGGTAACTCTGGACTGCAAAGACAAGGACGACCAGCCCACGACGATGCAGAAGAAGGTGCAAATAATTACAAACTGCTCGTGCAGCTCGTGCACCGAGTCGTCGCGCATCAAGCCGGACTTCGACAGTCTGCTGCAGTCGCTCGAGTTGGCTCACGCGGCTCTGCAATTCCGCGGGGCCGCAGCCGCGGCGGCTCGTCGTCAGCAGCATAAGCAGGAGCAGCAGCAGCAGCCACAAGAGACTCCGACCGATCAGCCGCCGATGTATCAGCCGGCCCAGGCCGAGCCACCGCAGACGCAGGAGCAGCTGCAACGCGAGGAACAGCAGCAGCAGCAGCATCACGAGCATCACGAGACGGTGCAATCATCAACCGAAGCCGAGCAACAGCAGCAGCAGCAGCAGCAGCAACAACAACAACAACAACAACAATCGACTCAAGCACCATCAGTAATATCGGCGCCAGAAGTGGTAGCCGCCAGCGAGTCGGTCCCGCGCGAGCCGGCGCCCGTCGTCGTCGATCCAGCCAAGCAACAGCAACAGCAGCAGCAGCAGCAGTCGAGCGACGAGGCGCCGGCGGCTGGACTGCAAGGCGCCACTCATGGCACTGGCAGCAACAACGAGACGCCCGACCTCCTGCTCAATCCCAATCTCAATGGCTCCTCGTCGTACACGGCTCCCGCTCGTCACGGGGGCCTGCTGGCCAACGAGCGCTTCGTCAAGCTCTTCAAGCAGCTCAAAGACTCCTACCAGCCCAAGGACAAGCTGGAAAAGCTGGAAAAGCTCGAGGGCATCGATAAGCTCGAGAAGCTCGAGAAAATAGGTGAGATTACGCGCGCGCCTCTAAGAGAGAGATGAATCTCTGCGAGTAGTAAAAGGCCCTCGCTCCCCATCCTCCTCCGGCTCTCGGCTGCCGCCACCGCCGCGCGCCAAATAAATTATGCGCAGCTTTTACGAAGATGACCTGACACTAATTGCCGACATTGTGCAATCTATAAAACCTTCCTGTGATCCTCCCTGGGCTCTCTTTTTTCTTCTTCTTTTTCTTCTTTCTTTCGACCGCAAAATTTATACAACTCGCGACTTTTAAAGTTAATTATGTACCGTTATGAGCGAGCGACGCGCGCGCATATGTATATATATTGTGTATACAGCTAGCTATATGTAGTCACGCAGCCACCGCACAGCTCCATTATAGCTTATGCTTGTCTCGCAAACTAGATCGATTTATCAGCGCGCACGGATCGCGATGCTTTCTGGGAATGCCGCAGATTGAGCCATTATTTGGCCCCGGTCAACTGTTGTGGCTACCTTTTTCTTTCTCTTCCTCTAGGTCCCCTTTATCTATATACGCAAACTCGTAAACATACACCTGTAATTGTATCGCGTCGGGAGTGTGTAATTTAGCCAGTGGCCATTCATCAAATCCACCTGCGCTTCCACGAAAAACCCATCGGAGACGCGAATTACGTTATGCAACTCGCGTCCATATACCGATCCAAAGAATTAATGATCTCCGACCGTTATACGTCGATATTTTATTTCTCATCCTTCTCGTCTCGTTTTTGCCCAAAGAGCTGCTGTCCCAACTCACGGAGCTTCTGCACAAGTACAGCGCCCAGGAGGAGCCGAGCGAGTCGCGTGAGGGCAGTAGCAGCGACGACGACGAGGGAGCCGAGCCGAAATCGTCGATGATGCTGGATCAGCTGCTGCAGCTGGTGCCGCGGGCCTCGTCCTCGTCGCCGCCGCCACCGCCACCCGCCGACCCGAAGGACGACGAGGACGACGAGGAGGTGCCGTCGCTGTCGGATCAGCAGTTGCGCGTGGCCGAGGCGCTGCAGCATCGGGGTCACTCGCTGCTCCTCGACAGCGACGTCAAGGAGAAGATCGACGTGGCTTCGGACTATCTGCATCCGGCCCTCGAGGGACAGGAGATCAGTTATCATGACAATCACGTCGACAAGACGAAGAAAAAGTCCGAGGACGAGTTTGCCGTCGAATAAATTTACTTCGTTTATGCATACGCACGTGCGTGTCAATTGCGGATAAAAAAGTATAGAGACGCTTTCTGGTCTTTACCGACAGTCAGTAACTTATTTCAAATTGTTATATTGTATTGTAAATTGTAATTTTTAAGCTTTAAGCGCATACTTATTATAAGTTTAATTGTGTAAAGTATATGAGAAAAGATTCATTTTATTATCGTGAAAATGTGTACATATATTGGCAATAACGAATATAGATATACGACAAAAAAAAAGGAAGAAATTATTTTTGTACAACGAACGTGTGAGGAAATCACGAATATCGAATAAAAATTGTGCGCGAATTTCATACTTGAGGAAATAGCGAAGCTAGGATATTTAAATTAAAATTTTCATACGCATTTTCCGAGATTTTCGCTTCGATTCGTGATGTTCAGGATCTTCAGTGAAAATTCCAGGAAACCCATTCGAAAATTTTAATTTAAACATGACTGTGGTATTTCCTTAATAACGGGCGTTTGAATATTATGTATAGCACGAGATCTGTGAAAAATTGGTTAACATTAAAGTAGTCTTTACTTTTTAATAACTATGATATTGGGTCACATAAATAAAAGAATTGATTGGAGCCTTCTCTTGATTGAGGCTCTTTTTTTGCTCTCTTTTGTGCGAATGCCCGCGCGCTCTCGTGACATTTTTCGCACTCTCGTTATAAGTATATGAAACTTAGATCGAGCTCGAAAAACAAAGTTATCGAACGAAAAAAAGTAGTTATAAATATCTTTTTTTTATTATATATATTACTTATATATTTATATAGATTTATATAAATGTTTGCCAGAAGATTGATAAAATAAAAATGATAATTTCAATTTTCTTGAAAATGACACACTTATATTTATCGATAAGCAAAAAAAAAATTATAGTCATTGCTATTTATAAGGTTGCTTTAATGATTTTAATGATTTTCAAGTCTTGTTTCATTAGAATTACAATAAGATATAATAAAGATTCTTTTACATACATCGTGTCTTATATGTTGTTTTTTTGCAACGAATACAATTAAATCACGTGACACTTTTCGAAAACAGCAAAAGTGATGTTTCAACGTCGTTTTTATTAATCGACGTCGAATATACGTTTACGTTGGAGCAGTAAAACGACGTTCGTCGACGAAGAAAGAAAGAAAGAAAGAAAGAAGAAAAAAAGACATATTTCTTTAATTCCCGTGCTGCTACTGCTGTTGTTGTTGCGTGCATTGGATCAGCGTACGAGGACTAATTGCTGCGCTGCATTGCCCCAGAAGCGAGCTCGCAATATTACAATACAAGCCGGCTCGGTCCAAGTACACAATAACTTTCACTTATTTTAATCGGGTGCACGTGCGCTCGTTGCCGGGTCCACACATATGTATGTAGTGTGTAAGTGTAATGTCAATTCGTGCGCTCCTCTTCGCGGTACAATACGTCGAAAAAAAAAAGGAAAAATAGGCCACGGTGTCTTCCATAGAGGCATTAGCGATCGTCGTGGTGTTACATAGCGATTACATATGGACATGCGCGCGCGTCAGAGTCGGTATCGGTCAAATTTCAATCGCCCAGTAGCTGCTCCCAGCGCGCTAATCGTCATTGATGATATCAAAAGAGCGCCTCTCTATCTCTCTTACTCTCACTTCGAATCTGTACAGGCGCACGCACACACTCGTGACACGTTTAAATGTGTGTGGAGTACTGCGCGCTCGTCTGTGTCTGTGTGCCCGTGTGTGTGTGTATACACGCGAAGCAGTGAGCATACATATAGCAGCGCGCCGTATCATTAAAATTGAATGAAAACGAGAGCGTTAGAGTCATATTATAAGCTGGAGAGTCATCAGTCAGCGGTCGACCGTACGAGCCGTTACATGTCTGTGTGCGTGTACCTTTGACTGTGCTTGTGAGCTACACGGCTTCGGCTCTTGTTTTTTCTCTCTCTCTCTCTCTTTAGTTTCGCTTTTTTTTCACTCACGACCAGCAGCAGTGCACGCGAGTGATTTAGTGAGTCTCGAACAACGGAGAAAAATTGTTTATTAACTTTTGGCTTGGCTCAGCGAGCAGTTATGTAGACGCAGTTTCGTTCTTACGTTCGTCGAGTGCAACAGGAGCAGAAAAGCCGACTCCATAGTTTTTTTATTTGTTTAAACGGTGGTGTGTGACTAGTTTATCAATTATACAAGGTGAGCACATTGTCGGTCAATTTTTAATACAATTTCTCCGATTTTTAAAGTTATCGAAGTCAGGGCATCGTTTTCAAACACGTGCTCTTCTGACATGTCCACTGAATATTTTCTAAATGGTTTTATGAATACCTAGAAAACAACGAAGTGAAAGTTCAGTGGAAAAACTCAAAAAATGGGCGTGAAAAATAATCTTTCAAGACTAACTTCGGTGCCCGATACAGTCGACGGAAAATATTCAGGCCGAATCGATGATTTTTTATTTTTACGACCCGACAACGGCATAAATCATAATCTTTATCGCGAACGCTGCAAGCAACATTTACTATTTAATAATGAGCCTATGAAAATTTGTCAAAACTTTCCCTCGATGATCGCGATCTTTGCACGCTCTTTTATCCGCTCGTTATCGAAAAATAATTAAAGCGGCGCGCGAAGCGAATCGTCCACGCGAAACGCTCGATCCACCAGCGGGCGCATTATCAAGATTGCAAATATTTGTTCCATATACAATACGCGAATCGTCGGCTGTATATAGCGGAAAAAACGTTGTATATATATCATCATCGGGCGCACTTTGTATGTAATCTCGGGTAGCATCGGAATTCATGTATTCTAATCTGATTTTAATGTTGCCTATTATTACACGCTCGATATAGAATATTCCACCGAGGCCCGGGCCATTAGTCATAGATCAAAATTTTCATTCTACAATATATAATGGCCGATAAGATGCGGCGCTGCTCGCGCCATGGGTCTACTTAAATTGTAATTATCCGCACGCACCGAAATCGGTAAGCGATGCACGAGCTTTGAATAATTGAAAAAATTCCATGCGAGCTTGGCCCCCGTAGGCGGCCGCGATACAGGCGTTTCATTTCGAGACGCGCTGATCGATTGTCCAACCTTCGAGACATTCTCGTTCTCTTTCTAATCGTATTGTTGTCGAATAGCAATGAGTCAAACTCTCATACAAACGAAAGTATCCTTCAGATTCTGCCTTTTTTGTTTCAGTTCGTCGACAAATAATGCCTAAGAAGCTGTCGCTACAGCGGGACTGCAGAAGCTCTATGTTCGGAGCTGACGGACGAAGCTACGACGACGGTGGACGCAATTGACCCCGTCCCTTTGGGCACGGCACCGAGGCACTTTGAGGACGGGGTGAAAAATCCGCCGGATAGTTTGCGAAAATTTTAGTGCGCGTCAAGGACAAAAATTCGGATACGCGCACATAAGTTTAGGATTAAGTTTTAGTTTTATAAGCTAAATATAGTTAGTTAAGTTAAGTTATATCGTTAAGTGCGAGCGAATTAACAAGAAAGAAGAGAGGAGTAATCGCTCAATCACGCCCCGAGGAGCCATGGATATCATGGACGGTAAGTCTTGCACCACTTTTGCTCTAATACTTTTTCTCATAAAGTTAAATAAATGGATAAAACTCCGCGTGTATCGGCCCTCAAAGTTCATTAGGTTTTGATGCTCGGACGAGAGATCGATCTGTTAAAAATGATCTTAGCTGCAGCTTTGACGTAAACTGTACGGTAGCGTAATAGCTGCACGTAACAAGTATTTAAGTATTAAGTAATAGCCAAGCGCTCGCCTCGATGAATCCTCTTCGGACGGCGCAGCGCACATTCGACGTATTATAGCACATTTTTTTCTGCTTAATCGGCGCCTCATATTATTATCGTACAGTTCAAACAAAAGATTATTACAGGTCTGTGCTGATTTTTCTGTATCTGTCTCGAGACGCGAGGTAAAACCATCGACAATTCGTTAGACGTGTATTAATCTATTTTACCGTTTATATACCTGCTCTATTTTTATCGAGGATAAGCCTTCGCGGCTTTTTTTTGTATTATTTATACATTTTTCGTTCCACATATCGCAAACGACTGGCATTCCCAAGAATGTGCAGGATTTTTTCAGAGTGGAAAAAACGTGTTGCACTGCATATATATATGAGTTTTGATTCTTGGGAAAAACGATTTTTGCAACGGGTTTTACTCATCCAATGGACATTGTAATAACAATCTTTATGATTCCATTAGAAAACAATTAGCAATAAATTCATAAGATATCTCGAGTTAATTATGAAATATCTCTGGTCTGTCAATAATGATAATGAGGTATTTAAAAATCGTCGAGTTTTAATGAGCATCTAATAAAACACAGATGAATAGAGTTAATTGTGTGATCGAAAGCCTACTTTGAAGAATCAACGACGCGTAAATCCGATGCTCACGAAAGGAAAAAATTACCAAAAATAAGAAAAATGACTGGAGCTCGCAGACAGATTCGAGTACCCGATAAAACTCATTAGTGGAACTCATAATGTTCCGTCACCTGACTTACAATACAAGCGCGACATCGATCATCGTAGCGTCGACGCGTGTACGTACATGGACTTATTCTAGAAAACGAAGCAGGGGATTAACCGAGTCGGCGGACAAACGATTCGGTGTAAGGCGCAGATAAGAAAGTATAATTATAATACGATAAGTCGTGTCGTCGGTATAATCCCGCTGATTTATGCTCTCTGTTTGTTCAAATGAATCAGACGCGAGTGGTCAGCAGCAGAAGCAAGACAGAGAGAGAGAGATTACACCTTATGTTTTATCAGCCCGCATGTACTGCCACTGGTGGTGGTGGTGGTTGGTGATGGCGGCCAGTGCACGAGCGCGCACGTGTATACAGTGCATAAAGACGCGAAGGAAAAAAAGAGGAGAAAAAAGCGCAGTCATGGTCCAGCGCCACCACCCGCACACGTACAGTGTACACTCGAGTGGGTGTGCTCTCGTGCACGCGTACCTCTAAACGATGCCGAGATAATTGCGCTCAATCAGCTCATTAGCATGATGTCGCATGTAGGTAGTATTGGAGCTCGTACAGCCGCAGTGCCTGCAGCGGTTATCAGTGTCGGGGCAGACGAATTTCGACGTGACTAGGCGTAATTACGCGACTGCAGCACGTAACGACCGATAGAAAAATGACGGAAAATGTTCTTCAACGTCTTCCAATTTCATTGTTCTCGTTGGTGCGTGAATATTTAGAGGGAGAACAATGAGAGCATGAATCAAGACAGATTTACGCGACGTCACGTTCCTTTTTGTGTTTTGTTGTTTTTATGCCGAGCTCGAAAACATCGAATTCGCGCGAACAATAATTAAAAAAAGCGGGTTAAAAAGTCCGCGACAAAACAAATTATTATTTGCCCGCGAACAAACACGCGGCTCGTGCTGCTGTGTGTCGACTATACTTAGCGGATTGACGAAATCCCCGTGAGTGAAATTGTTATTTTTTTTTTCCTCCCGATTACACGCTGAAAAGCGTAAATGGCAAATTAGCCTGTATCTTGCACAATGCGTCAAATTAGCTCAAGGGAAGTTTACGAGAGTAGCGACGATATTATTGTGCGTCGCCGCTCGCGGCTCGCGCGGAGTCATCATTAAGCGTATAATCTCGACGCCACATATATACGTTTGTGTACATACACGCGCGCGCACAAAGCGTAATGAGCATTTATTATACATATACGATTAAAATACGAATAGACAGACGTATACGCACGCGTATAAACGACGAATATATGACAAGAACTCGTATCTTAATTATCGCGATTAAAGCAAACAATGCTTTATGCTCTCGATACTCTCGGTAGGATATGTGCGTGTGTGTGTGTTATATCGAGTATCTGGAAATCCATTGACGTTTCGCCGCACATGCTCGTCTTGTTTGTAAACGCGTGCGAGATTGGGTGACAATTGAAAAATTAGACGCGAGATTGTATTATTTTCGAGCTTGCATCGTGCGCTCGAACATTTCGACGCGCGCGGAGTATCGGCCAAAGTTTTGCCTTTCGATCGACGAGTTGAGGCAGAATAAAAAGGAAGGAGCAGTCTCGAATTACCCAAAGTAACACTAGATCTGCTGGTCTAGCGCGTGCACTCGACACTTTGGTGCAACAAAAAAACGATACTCTATGGATGTTTTGAGAGCGATGACGAGGGCACTTTATGTAAACTATTTGCATTTTCGCTTTTTTTTCTCTGGCCAATAGTGCAACATATCACATTGTAATAAATATGCAGCGGACTTTATTGAAAAACCGAACCATCGATTTACACTAGGCGCGCACCTGTAATTGATACATCGATTTTCCATTAAGAGTCGTTCTAACGACGAAAAAAAGAAAAAATAACCGAATGGCTTGATCGATCTTGTAACGCATGCTTCACAGACACCCGAAACGATCTATCATCGGCGCGCATACGACTCGCGGGAGTCCAATGGCAGTGCAAGTAGCATCCGACCACGATCACGTGCTTCTGGTCTGCTACTTGGACGCGAATCCCCGGCGACTGCGCAATGTCCGAGCGCGAAGCAGCCGCTTTTTGCGTTTATATAGAGATAGCCTATAGTCGAGCATGAGGCCGCCGAGTGGCGAGTGCGGCGAACACAGTTTGGAGCTGCTCTCCCCGACCAATAATATCCCCTCCCCGTTTGGGAGCACACGCGCGCATACACTGACAGATATATAGCTACATACAACAACATGCTACAGCACACCGACGACGATAGCTGCCTGACGAAGCGAAGAAAGCTATAAAGGTGCGCGGAAATTGTCAGTCCAGCTTTCTGCTGCGACTGCTGCTGCTCGTCTCTCTTTTTATTCGAAAAATTCGCAGACGTTATTTCCGTTGCGTCGCCGCGTGCGCATATCATAGGTATGGAGCAGAGTCGCAGCCGTCAGCGATAACGTCACATTTTTCCTGCAGCACACACACCTATATTATACACACTTATTGCCCCGCGCTGCGTTCGGCGTTGGATCACCTCCAAACTCTGCAAATAATATACACACAGTCGCACGTTCTCGCGGCGAGCAGCTCCAGTTGATTGTGTGTCCGAGCAGGCGAGGCGTGCGCGCGCGCTCTCTCCGAAGCGTCTCTTTCTCTCTTTCTCTGTGTGTGTCACTTTCTGCAACTGTGTCCGTGTGTACATACACGCGGATCACTGTGCTTGTATACAGTGTGTATAAACGAACACACACATTTACACAGAATTCGCTCATCGCACCGAGTCCCTGCCCCGCGGATCGATTGCTGCTGCCGCTGCTGCTGCTGCAGTTGACTCGAATTCGTACGTGCGTGCACGTTCAGCTATCGTCTGCTCGCAAAAAAAAGGGGGAATTGGAAAAGCTCCGCGCTCTCTCGCTGCTCGGCCGATGCTGTTGCTGATGCTCCCGAGTCCGCTCCGAGTTGTGTCGCGTCTTTTCTTCGCCTCTTCTCGTTCTTCTTGTGCTGTGTGGGCTCTAAAATTGGCACACGCGCCGATCGCCTTCGTGTGCACACGTGCAGAAACGGACTATAACTAGTTCATACACGCCATCTTGATCTCTCTACGAAATTATATACGGAATATCGTCGCACGGAAAATACGCACAGGAAATAGCAACGCCGACTACGTCGTCACACCGATACATTTCTTATCTATCGTCTAAGGCCATTTTCAGCCTGTGGCTGCATAATATAACATTACGCGCACAGTGAGCGTGTGCTGTCAAGTGAGGTGAGCTTTTTACTCTGTTGCTGCTGCTGCTGCTACTGCTACTGTCTCGATGCGTGCCCTATACTACTGCATTTATGACATGTAGCTGCGCTCAAGTTCGCTCCTTCTACATATAATAATATCTTCTCTCTTCTAATCGATGTCGTTGCTGCTCTTAACTTCGTTATAATACATAGTGAATATAATATCGAGCTACAATACTATGCTTGCTACTTTCTATTGTTCTGGATCAAAGATGAACGCAATCGTGGAATTTCGTATTCTTAGAAGTCCCGTGACGGGTTTGTTCATGCAGAAGCAGCAAATTATTATTTCCGAACAGCAGCAAATGTTGTACGTCTGAATCATCGATATAATACAAGAAACTTGAGAGCTTCTGTGCTTCTCCCTCTCTTTCTCTCACGTGCTTCGTTTGGGTTTTTTTTTCCGCAAACTCTGTGATATATAAGCTCCGAGCAAAAAGCAAAAAAACATTTTCAAAGTGAAGTGCGTGTCAAAGCTAATTAAAGAAACACATTACACAAGTGGTTTGGAATTGAATCTATTTGATCGTGCGTGTCGCGTCGACTAGTGAATCTCTCTTGTGCAGCTCTTGTACTTAAATTGAAAAGCATCTGCTGAGTTTGACCATTATACATACTTGTGACTCGTAATGTATTTGAGATCTTGTGCTTCAAACAATTTAATTATTGGGAAGACAGTTAATATTGGAGCACTTGTTGTTTCTTCTCCGCTTCAGCTTGGCTCATATCGACCAATCAGTGGTACTTATTGATAATCAATTGATTTTTATATCTTTGTTTATAACACAAGCTTCAATTGCTCATTTGTTGGCGTGTTCTTATGACTTCATACTAGTTAATATACTTGTAAATATCATTTAATTTCTATATTTATATTCTTAGTCACCTGTCTAGTTACAGTATCTTGTGACATTATTAAACTTACTTTTGCGTTGCTAACTAATGTGTAATTGAAAATTAGTACTTAGTTCTTTAATATTACTGGCTCTAACTTGTCCTATTATTTGATAGTTGCTCCGCTTTTACAAGAGAAAATCCTCCATTCCTGTCAGAGCATCTTGTCAACTAAAGCAGGAAAATTGACAACATCACAATTACATCCCGGGATGAGCAAATTTGAGCGAGAAGTTATTGATTCAAAGATTGGTTGGAGAAAACTTGCAGATCCTGGTGACTGACAAGACATCAGTCACGCTCCAAACAGCACAGGGCGATAGCATTGGCTATAAACAAATGTCAAGCTGTAATTATGTGCTTATAGTTGAACAAAGACTCACAGAAAAAGACTTCAAGATGACACTCAACTGGTATCGGTAGCAGAAGAGTTTACTTTTTCTTGAGTTCCTAATTCATTTGATTCAACATTGGAGCATTTGGCATAAAATTGTATATTTATACATTACTACTAGACTTTGATGATTAAGAATAGATTACATACTGTGTATGTTAATCAGCATTTGAAAAATCAAACCAAAGATATACATTTATTATTAATTTAGTCAATGTTTCATATGCTAAATACATATAAACGTATAGGTATCGACAAATAAGTATATAATCTAAAGTAGCTAATAGTTAAGAATAAGGATAAGGAAAGAATTTTGCAAGTTTTGAAGAGGTGAAACAGTGCTTAAAAATGCCAGCCACTCCGAATAACCTTTCTTTGAATTTCACTAAGAGTAACTATAACGTTTTTGGTACCAAAATCAATAACGCTAGTGTGGAGCAACAACAAGAGCAGAAAACAGAACTTTTAGAGGGTAAGATGATCTCTCAAAAAAAAAGTTTTATCCATTTATTTTATCTTTCTTACAAAAATATAAAAGTACTATTAAAATATTATTTAAAATTTATCATAACATCATAAATTTATGAATATCATAGGTACTCGAGGCAACGGCCTACCCCATTTGAAAAATGGAGTGGATTATGTTAATCCTGGTGAGGAGGACCAGATGGAAATCTATGGGTAAATTGATGTCTATTTTAATGTACATATACAATGTATAATACATTATTTTGATGAGCAAAATTAATTTTCAGGTATAAGAGAAACAAAGCATATACTGCCATTACTTGGTTCCTAATACTTGTCTCAGGTGGACTATTAAGACTTGTCTTTCATTGGGTGCCACAACTCATGTTATACGCTACCCATTCTAAATGTCCAGTTGAGGAAGCAGAAACTGTATTGCTCAAAGAACAATTCCAAGGCAAGCACTCAATTTATCACGTTAAGAAAATTAAAACAGTACTCGCGCAAGATATCTGGTAAGTTTACAAAAACTTAATTATCCCGATGATTAAAAAATTTGAATAACTCGTTAATGCATCATAAATTCGATTACAGGAAAAATTGCCGCAGCGAGACTATCGAGGAACTAGCGGAACTGCCGACTAAATTGAATGATTCGCGATCCGAAATCGCTATATCAATTGAGCCAGAGCAAGATGAAGAACAAACGCCGATGCCTATGTCGTTTCACTTGTCTGGAGGTCACTTTAAAGGTGAGCAAAATTGCCAGCTGCCAATTAACCTGGAGTTAGAACGTTTCTTACTTTAACGGTATTTTTTTCGTTGCAGAGGTACCATGGATGTACGCGTTCACGTGCAAAAAGCTCACCTACATCTGGGAAGCGGATCGCGGCGAATACATGAAATTGCGCGGCCTCGACACCGGAGTGGTCACGTCGAGCCTGCATCAAATGAGCGGCCTGAGCGCCGCTCAGCAATTCATGCGTCGTGGCGTTTACGGCGCCAACGAAATCGTCGTGCCCGTCTCGTCCCTCTTGACGTTGATCCTCCTCGAAGTACTGAATCCATTCTACGTCTTCCAGATTTTCAGCTTTGCCCTTTGGATCTCCGATAATTACATTTACTACGCTTTGGTCATTCTGTCGATGTCGGTATGCGGCGTCATTATGGCCTCCGTGCAGACTCGACGAGTAAGTATTTCCTGACTTTAACTTTTTTTCAATCTATTGAAAATCTATGCAATGAACATAAAGATAAGAAGTGACTTTGTCGCTGAAAAATATTGCTCCGATATCTATTAACGATATCCGATTGTAACTGGATCTAAAGTTTTACGGTACTTTATCCTCCGCAGAATCAACGCAATCTCAGCTCGACGGTCAGCTCGTCGGACGTCGTTACGGTACTTCGAGATCGAGCCACGGACAAAACGATGACCATTCCGGCGAAGAATCTCGTACCCGGCGACATACTCGTGATTCCGTCTTACGGCTGCGTGCTGCCCTGCGACGCAGTGCTCATCACGGGCAACTGCATTCTCAACGAGTCCATGCTCACCGGTGAGTCGGTGCCCGTCACCAAGACGCCCATACCGGCCGCCAACGACGTCATTTACGACGGCAAGGAGCACGCTCGACACACGCTCTACTGCGGTACAAAAGTTCTGCAAACGAGATACTTCGGTACCGAGAAAGTAAGTTGGACGTTTCGCTCGTAATCTGTAACGCGATACCCTCGCGTTGGAATGTTGCTTTTCCAGCATAGCTTCGCGATTCCGTGCGTCATTGAAATTCATTAACGTTCTGATGTACTTTTTCTCTAGGTTCTGGCTGTGGTAATTCGCACTGGCTACAACACGAGCAAAGGCGGACTCGTCCGTTCGATCATGTACCCACCCCCGGTGGACTTTAAATTCGAGCAGGACTCCTACAAATTCGTCATTGGGCTTGCCTGCATCGCCGTCGTGGGTGCCATTTATACTGTCATTAGCAAGGTAATGAACGAGGAGTCGCCGCGGGATATTGCACTCGAGGCTCTTGATCTCATCACTATTGTCGTGCCGCCCGCTTTGCCTGCCGCTATGACCGTCGGTCGATTAGGTGAGTGAAGAATTACATAATCACTGTAATATTTGTAGTTCTATCCAAGTTGAAACGATCGTAACCTGTTTGCATCCACTTTTACAGTGGCGCAGAGTCGATTGAAGAAATTCAAGATCTTCTGCACGAGTCCACGAGCTATTAACGTCTCGGGCTCCATTGACTGTGTATGCTTCGATAAGACCGGCACCTTGACCGAGGACGGCCTTGACATGTGGGGTGTCGTTTCCGTGACTACGAAAAAGTTCCAGTTACCGTGTAAGGAAATCACCAGCCTTCCGTTAAGCGAAGTACTCATTGGCATGGTAACGTGTCATTCGATCACCATAATCGACGGTCAGCTGATCGGCGATCCCCTGGATCTGAAAATGTTCGAGTCCACCGGATGGATACTGGAGGAGCCCAATGTGTCCGACACCTCGAAATTTTCCATGCTCTTCCCGACGGTCGTGAGGCCACCGGACAACTCCAGCATCACCATGAAGAATCTCCTCAAGAGCCACGACAGCGAGGATCACGGTGGCGACGAGAGCTTGACGACGTCCCTCGCGACCGACGAGCTCGCCGACGACGGAGTCGTCATCGGTATCGTGAGGCAATTTCCATTTACGTCGAGCTTGCAGCGTATGAGCGTCATCACGAGGACGCTCGGAGCCGATCATTATGATCTCTACTGCAAAGGAAGTCCTGAAATGATTCTCAGCCTGTCGAAGCCCGAATCAGGTAAATATGAAATGTCCACTTTGCATACGCATTAAAGAACACTTTTCAAGGTCGGCTAACTGTATTGTCATCGAACATTGAAAATCATTGATCATCGTTACGATCAATTTCCTAATTGCTCGCCACTTCCGAGAGCGATGAAGTTTAATCCCCCTTTTTTACGCGCGCGCCGCAACAGAACGGCCGCAATTGCTCTACATAATGAGGCTTACGTAAGACAGTCGTATTGCGTCGCGATAACACACTCAAAATTTTAACTTTTCTTCCATTTGATAAGATCAACTGATGATTTTTTTTCTGTTTACTTTTCAGTACCCCATGATTTTAACAGCGTTCTGCAAGAATACACCTCGGAAGGCTACCGGGTCATCGCATTGGCCTACAAATCCTTGAAACGCCTGCCCTACGCCAAGGTCCAGCGCATAACGCGCGAGACTGCCGAGACCGAGCTGAACTTTTTGGGCTTCGTGATATTGGAAAATCGGTTGAAACCGGAGACGATGCCGGTGATCGCTGCCCTCAATGAGGCCGCGATCAAAGTCGTCATGGTCACCGGCGACAATATGCTCACGGCCCTGTCGGTCGCTCGGGACTGCGACATCGTCAAGCCCGGCGTGCCTGTCATCGCCGTCACTGCTGTCAGTCAGCCCAATCATGCCAAGCCGACCCTGTACTTCAGCCGGAGTTACACTCAAGGCAGTCAAGGCCAATCCTCGCCTACGCCGCTGGCCGGCGAAGGTGATTTCAGCGAGATTACCGATATCAATAGCGTCGTGAGTCTCGAGACTATCGAGAGCGGCGGCGTATACGCCAATAACAATCACCGTGCTGGAGCTGTTATGAATTACATTTCCGACGAGTGAGTTGATTTTTTTTTTCTTAAACAATTTTTCAGTAAATTTATCGACGAAATTTTAATTTCAAAAATAATTTCAATCATTTCAGCATCGAGAAAAATGGCAAAGTACAAAAGAACTCGAGAAAGAACGATTACGTGTTTTCCTTGACAGGAAAAACTTGGGCAACGATTAAACAGTATTACCCTGAGTTAATACCAAAGATATCGACGCGTGGAACAATATTCGCTAGAATGTCTCCGGATCAAAAGCAGCAGCTCGTGCAAGAGTTGCAAGCTCTTGGCTACTACGTGGCCATGGTAGGCGATGGTGCGAACGACTGCGGAGCTCTTAAAGCCGCCCATACCGGCATATCCTTGTCGGATACGGAGTCATCCGTGGCTTCGCCTTTCACGAGTCGCGACACCAACATCTCCTGCGTCTTGTCAGTCATACGCGAGGGTCGCGCTGCTCTAGTGACATCGTTTGGAATCTTCAAGTACATGGCTGGATACTCTTTGATTCAATTTGTTTCCGTGCTATTGCTCTACAGCATCGGCTCGAACTTGACGGACATCGAATTCCTTTACATCGATCTGTTTATTATCTCAATTTTTGCCTTCTTCTTTGGAAAGACCAAAGCGTACGAAGGACCTCTGCACAAAAACCCACCATTGACTAGTTTGATGAGCGCCACACCGATTCTCAGTTTGACTTTGCAAATCGCGTTGGTTGGTATATTCCAGTACTTAAGTCTCTTTAGCTTGAGACAAACAGCCGATTTTAAACCGTTCCAACCTAAAGAACATGAAGATAAAGATGATGTTGGATGCATGGAAAATTACACAATTTTTATCATGAGTTCGCTACAATACATCATAATGGCTGTGGTATTCTCCAAAGGCAGACCTTATCGTCAACCAATGTACACTAATTATGGATTACTCGGTGAGTTTTCACTTATAATATTAGACATTCGTTTTTTTTTTTTTTTTTCAAATTAATGAATAGTTCAATAATGAAAATTCTTCTAATTTCAGGATCATTTATCGTTTTGACTATGTTTTCTGCTTACATCACACTTATTCCGTTCCAACAACTCGCTGAATGGTTTGAGCTAGTCTTACCGCCAGAAATGACTTTCCGTTGCGTCCTTCTGGCTTATGGACTTGCTAATTTCGTTTTGGCCATGGTAGTGGAGTTGTTCGTTGTTGACTATATTGTTGTGACGAAACTGAAAAAGAAACTGCACAACGTAGACAAATCAAGACGAAAATTTTTGCAGTACGATCGTGATATGAGCTTAAATACAGAATGGCCACCACTGACTCAAGAGCCATTACCTGAATCTGCCCCTGATATTCTTATCCGACAGAATCAGGCAAGCTTTAAGTCCCGAGCTTTGTAAGATGTGTCTAATGATGATATCTTAACAAAATGTTCTTTTCATTTAGGTAACCGAAATTAAGATTGAAAAGCGTGAGAGTGTGCCCAGCGATTACGTAGTAGGCGCTCAGACTACTACCCATCGTCGTGGCAGCCCGCCTTCATTACCACCTGACTGTATGTTACCATTCAAAAATTTCGAACGTAATTTTGGCTCAACTCGAGAAGTACCCTTGAATCCACGCTCATTGTGTGAAGATCCTCGTAACTCCGTCTCCATGAAGACGGTCTTGAATTTTCAGGACGATAAGTTGTGTATAATGGCGAACGACAAACCAAGACTCAACTTCGAATCGACGCAAGATATCGATTGCGTCGACAAAATCAACCGCATTAAAGAAACTAATTTAGTAGCGACTTTACCCAGACATTCGGCTGCCGTTAACGCGATTGGTATCGAAGAGAAAAAAGAAAGAATTGGCACTATGACGCAAAGTGTATTGGAACTCGACGTACTACCGTCTTGAGATGAGGCAACTGTCGCTCAGCTGATTCTCACTTCAAAACTGAGAATTGGCAGCGGCGGTGCTATCGATAAGTTAAAACAATTGTTCTTTTCTATTTTAAAATTCTCCGTTTAAGAGGACCAAGATGTGTTTTCTATTTAAAATTGTACATAAATGTTAAGTTTTGAGGGTTCCAAGTGATTTTACAAATAATTTTGTTGATGTATTTGAGTTTTTATGTTGAGGAAAGTATACTTTCATTTTGAAAATTACTATTTTTATGCTTTTTGCACGTTCATGGACATTAGAAATGCCAGATTTATTATTATTATTTTTTTTCAATATCTCCTGAACACACTTGTCAAAGTCAGAATTATGCAATGTATTAGCTGTGAAAAACTTAGCAGAAATTTTTTTTATTATAATTATTTTGTAATTACATTTATGTATTTAATTGTATTAGATAGATGAATATTAAAATTTCATAGGCCATAATTGATTTTCTAGAAAGAACGCGAGATATTATTTTGTATTAATTTTACTATAAGAATGTAATTAAACAGTTTCAAAGAAATAGCTATTTACGATTTCAGCATGAACTTTATTAGATAAAACAGAAATTTTGATTAATAATGACACTGAATATGTCCTTATTAATAAAACTTTCAGGTCATGGAATGAAACAAAAACCTAGATCATTGTTTTTGGCGAAAAATGTTTAATCGTGCTTAACTTTTGTTACAAATTCATGAACTTTAGTTGCATGAAATAATTTATCTGCACAATTTGCAATTATCGGTGTACTGGTCAAATTGACCCTGTACTATGTACTAAATAAATGAAGAATGTATAGAAGCTTTGTTGTTATATTGAAATATGCTATCATCTTGGAACTTGAAGATGATACTTTTAAAAAAAATACTTGATTCAAGTAAATTGAAACTATAATTTTATCTAATATCCGTACTAAAGTATAATACGATGACCTAAATTCGTAAATATTAATGTCAATGTACTAATTATTGTATGTGTCATAAATTTTGTTTCCAAGTGGAAAATTGAAATTTGTCAAAAATCATTAATCATGTAGGTGTAATTTATACAGTTGCTCATTTGAGTTATTAAATTATTCAGTCAAAATTTAAATATTTTTTCAGCAATCAACTTTAGTAATTAGAACTTTTACACATTAAACAATATTATTCAATTTGAAAAAATTAATTATTAACGTTAAAAAATTGTTTGTTTTAGATTTTAATTAATTTTTTGAAATCAATGTTTTAAAAAGACAATGTTTGTTTTGAATTAATAAATACTTAGAATAAAACACAGAAATATCGAAATCAATGTATTTTTTTTTTAAATTGTTGATTATGTGCTAAAAACATTATTTCATTTTTTGAGTAACATCTCCACGTTTTTACTGTAACATATGAACCAAAAATAAATTGTAACTCGTAAAACGATTGGTCCTCTTAGAACAACTTTTTCTTTATTGTTGTTACTGTTATTATTGTCGAGTGATCGTTGCCTCGTCACACTCAGAGCCAGTGTACATATGTATACCTGTGTAATATATCAAACTAATCATTTTGCCATGATACATATTTTACAAATATTTATTTATAACTTTTTGTTACTTTTCTTCGCTTTTGAAAAAATGAGTATTGTTGTTGCATATTCTTTTTGTACACGTACATCGTAAAACTATTACTTTTATAATTGTATTAATGCGCTTTTTGAAGATTATTCTATGCATTCCACTGCAAATAATATTTTTCAAACGATAATAGCCAAATAATTTTTAAATGCTTGTCGAAAACTGACCTGCCAGAAAATAAATTTCGTTTAAGGCAATTGTTCAAAGCGTAAGAAAATCTACAAGAATATAACGAAACACAATTGTCGTGGGAAGAGATAATGGCTCCCGCATGCGTCAAAGTAATTTATGATGGATTACACAGAGTATTGATTCTCATATTTTTATGAGATTGTATGAATCAATTTTAAGAGAAATTCATTTTTGTTTCTCGGAGAAGAAAAATAGTAAAATGTCTATCTCAACATGCAACAATAAGAGAAATCGTCTATTCGCCAAGAAAACCCGAATTTTTGGCTGATGTGGTATGGCTAATTTTCTTACGATAATACCAGTTGTCATTGATTATCCGTGATCTAATTTTTCATTTGCATTACCAGATAGACTTTTAGAATTTGTATTCGCATAGTTTTGTGCAAATGAAAAAAATTAAGCTTATCAACATTTGTAGATTATCAGTGCATGTAATCGAATATTTTTTATCTCTAAACGTAGTCCAACGGTAAAAACTATACATTTTTGTACTTATGAAGTTCAACGAGATAAAAAGTGATAAACATATCCGATTTTTTATTGATCGGTGCCAAGTTGTGATGAGATGAAGCAAAAAATTTTCTCAATTTTTTTTTGATCTGGGTTCAAATGAATGTAACATTAATGAAAGAAAGAAAAAGCGAATCAAGTATTAAGTGCGATAAAGCACACGTGAAGAAATTTACTTAAATCAATATACATTCTTCAGCTTCTCATACGTTTTTATCTACAGTTGAGTGCTCAAAACAAAAAATATACTGTTCAATATAGTATTCAATAAAATGATTAAATTGTCACAAGAAATTCAAACAGCCAATAGAAGGTGAGATGGAGAAAAATTACAGGAATATAATTAAAACGGACGTTTGATCGCTGATCATTGAATAAGTTCAACGTGTACGTATACATTATTAGTTAGTAATTTTATGTATATTATAAAAATGAGAACAATCGATTGTGTGATACAATTTTTAATGTATTCAAAATAAAGAGTTATTAATAATCGGCGATTGCGTGACGGAATTGTGTAATAAAAGGATTTATGAGTTATATTGTTGCTTTAATATTTTTTCAAAAACCTTAAATAAAAAAAACATGGTTTTGTTTTTGATTTATTTATATCTTTAATTCACTCTTTCTTTGTTTTTTTTTTTTTTATAAATTCACTAGTACATATATTATTTTTTGCGTAATTATATGGCCACACAAGTGGATTGAAATAGTTAAAATTTAACTATGCCGCTCCAGAGAAATATACGTACATACGAAACTTGGAGTAGACGTACAACATAATACTATACTCGGCATTCAAGGTTTAACTTATATACTAAATCTATTTTTAAATTTTTATTTAAAAACGCTCTTGCAGTATCTGAATGACTAGAACCGTTCATGCCACTAAAACGCGACGCTCGAATCTTACCGTAACGAGAGATCATGTTGAGTTAATTTTTTAGTCTAATGCCCAAGTATAATCAAAGTTAATTACAAGCCAGGAGAATACGACAAATCGCTGCCGCGAAACATTGCGTCGATCAGAACTCTATTGTCAAAATCGCAACGATTCTCTTCCATCATTCTCAGAACGTAGCAGTATCTTTCCCACGCCAAGACATGTTCATCTGGATGAATTTCCGGCACCCGAACGTTATTTCGTATCGACTGATCGTCGTAGTAAGGAGAATAGATATGATAATTGAGCTCAGATGTTTTCTGGCGACGGTACGATGCCTTCGGTGTCATTTTCCTCTAAATTTTTTTTCGTCTAAAATAAATGAAAAAATATTCTGAAGTTTCATGTTTTAAACAATCGCGAATCAAATAATTACCCATTAAATCTAAAACCACAACCTACTGAAATCTACTCTAATTACGAAAAAAAGATACATTGAAAAAATAACAATGTATCATCATCTATACCTAATGTTGAAGTTTTACTTCTCTAGTATTGTCAATGGTCCAAAGAGGTAACTGAAAAAATCTCTCCAGAATAAACAACCGAAGAGTCGTCGCGTCTGCGACTGCACTGCACACTGCACAGGGGGCGAACGGCCAGTTCGAACTGAGGCCACAACACGAAGCTGAAAATGAAAAAGGACGCAGAGAAAAAAAAAAGACGAGAGGGGGCCCCAACGCGCAGGGGGATTGCGTCGTGCTTTGGGTTTGCTTATATATATACAGGCACACGCGTGTACGCGTATCGATGAAAAGACCAGAGCCCCCTTTGACGCTCTCGGCACGCTTGCAGCCGCTTTAATTCGAATATATATGTATCACGCTACCATATGGACTGACCCTCCCTCGTGCGCTACCAGCAACTGGCGTACAAATATAGCGCGAGCACTTGAAAATACTGTACGCAAACACGCGTGTACAAACACACATATGTGCACTGCAACTTTACCGGCTCACTAGTACTAGTTATTTAAGTTTCTCTTCCTGCCTGTGTTATGTTTCGGGCCTTATGCGGGGACTCTGAATTCTCATATCGTTCATAATCTAACTTCATTAAAGATGATTGGTATAACGTATCTCAACGATTGGGAGAATCTCACCGAATAACAGTCGGTCATGCGGGCGATATTCAAGCTGAATCGATAAACCTGCATTAGAAATAGATTTCTTTTTTTTTCCCCGAACATATTATCGACAAACCTCGTATCGATATCGTCGAGATTACGAAATGTATACGAAGAGGGAGAGAGAGGCCATATGCGCATAACGCCTTTGCGTTTGTGCGTGTCGAGGAGCGGTGTGAGAGTAAAAAAAGAAGCACTTATTAGCCCGATGAGGCACGTGCGACGCTGAAAAAATTCTCCTTTTTCAATTGGCTTCCTGTCCCTTGCTTTACTTCCCGTTGAATCCACGCTGAATGTAAAGACTCTGCATGCAGATTTGAAAGAAACGCCATATGCAAATAATATTTTTTCTTTATCCTCAAGATTTATATAAAAGCTCACAAAATTGTTCTACATTTTTCATAAACTTCTGCTGTGTGATTCGTTCGAATTTTTAGTACTTATAAGTTACACGCTGATCGGCTTCATAGAAAAAAGGAGATATCGATTTCGTGTATTCGATAAAAGCATCGAGATCTCGGATATTGAAGAATTTGAGCGGCTCTGTGATTTCCTCGGCAAAAAGTGGGTGAGTTGCAAGATATTCGAGCAAAATCACTCTGTAAATTTTGTCCTCATCCATTGGTTCATACACTGGCTTATCACAAGCTTGGCATCTGTTGATAGTGATAAAATTAATGTTTATCTTCATTCTATTTCGAGTTTTTAATTAATTTTCAACGTCTACTTACTGAACAAGAATATTTGTAGTACGAGATTTTTCAGGTTTAGTCAAATCGTAACTCAATCGTATTCCTGAGTTATGTGAGTAGAGTGTCAATTGCATTTTACCATTAGCTTCTTCCTGTTTTAAACTTTTTTCAATAATCTAAAAGATAATAAATTAGTTAATGGCCTTATATATAGTTCAGAAAAAAACTAATTTTATGAGTATTAATCCATAAATGATTATTCTGATGAATAAGAGATATTGATGTACAATTTTTTTGCATAACCTTTATGCATGATTTCAAGGTGAAAATAGTTTGTAAGTGTCACGCAATACGTGTCAAAAATCAAATTTCATGTTAATGCAAAAAAACCGTATAAGATATAATTTAATAAATGAACCATTTTTATCGATTTCTATTTGTTTACTTGAAAAACAAAAATTTTGGAAGGTGAAGAAACCATTATAATCATTATGAAGTTTTTAAATGACAAATTCTATTGTTTAAATGACAAACTCTATTGCTAAAAAGATAAAAATCAATGGCAATAATTTGTGAAACTTATCATTAATGAAAGGTGGAGAATTAAATCGAATATAAGATCTCTTTGCTTCTAGAGCAATTTACAACCTTATTATTTTATTTGTTTGAAGACGAGCACGAAAAAAAGTATTTTTTGGACAATTTCCTTGATGGTTTTATGAATAAAAACGTTCACACTTACGTTGCGTATTTTCCTTCCAGGTAATTCAACAACGACTAAATCATCTTCGAAAGGCAAGATTGATATCGCATCGGCGTAGCTGATGTTACCCGCCGGCAACTGATTTCTAACGCCACCGGAATTGACGAAGGCAATTGCTGCATATGTCCAGTGTTTCGGGGATTCACTGAACTTGCGGAATGCGTGAACGAAGCTGTCGGTCACCAGATTGGCCACGGCACAATCTCCGACGTACAAACACTCCTTACTGAGAGTAGTCCTGCTCGTGCCGACCACTGCATTGCCGTGTTGCTCGACGATATCGGCCCAAGGCTTCAAATCTTTCAGCATTTTTTCATCTGCCCGAGAATCAGAGGATGTCCTCATTTTTCAGTTACTCAATCATTTGAATGGGATGAGTGTGAGGTGGCTCACCTTGCTCGATGGAGCTATCTAAGTAAATTGGAGCTCCCTCCCAGTCGGCCACTTCTCCCTTACTATCGAACCACACGGTGAGATTTCCGAGGTATTTGGTGTATGCTCCAGCTTGAACGATCAGCACAGTCCTTTTGGAGTCTTCCTGTTGCACTACTACTGGGTAATCGTCGGCGGGTTCATCGTTGTTGAAAGGTGGCTTACCTGAAATTAAATATTCATCAATGACTGTGATAAAAAAGTGAAGAAGGAAAAAATATGAACACACCTGTGTAAAGGAAAGTATGCGAATGACCACCGACGATAACATCGACGTCCGGACAATTTCGAGCTAGTTTACGATCGTTTTCGAGGCCGACGTGGCTCAATACGATAATGATATCGATTCCTTGCTTTTTCAATTTTTCTGCTTCCAAATTGATCGATCTAGCTGCATCTAAAAATTTAACCTTGCCTGATTGCGACATGGTCTGTTGAAAATCATTAGATGGATCAATTAGAAAATTTTTTTATTCAGGATAAGGATGATTGTCACGAAATAAGCTTGTTTTTTTCACTACGTTTTTGGATTGCACGTTCCTCCAAAATTTACCCCATGTTTAATACCTCATTTTATGCGTGTTTGTACCTAGAATTTGATTACCAATGAGGAACTACATCAAGTTACATCAAGCACATCAAGGAGAACAGTAATAAACTTTCCGAAGAAAAGGTCGATTTTTCATGTCTGGACGCAATTTTAACGTTTTTTCAACTTCAAAATTCACTTATAAATAAAAAAACTCTACGTCAGTACCTGATAAAACTCATAAACTCATGACGTAATTTTGCATTTTTCGATTCAAATGATTCTGTGAAAAGTTACGTGTCTCACCAGAATTACGTGACTTTTCTGTAGATTTTCTTTCAAAGGCCCAAAAATGAAAATTTTTTGATGAAATTTTCACAAAATAATCTCGAAGTCATATGCATTCACTTATATATTTTAGAAATAAATTTTTTTTTTACTAATTAAAAAATACTTCAAAAAATAGAAAAAAATCGATAAATCAGCACCATACTCTCCCCTTAAGTGTAATTATCCATACTTATAATGACACGCAGATGCAAAAATTCAGTTTAAAGGTACAATGTTTAACTGATTCTTAAAATTGGACGCGTGACGACAAAGACATTTTCGACTGTGTTCAAGCTACGGCTGACGTAATATGTTTTCTTTAATGTCCAATAATGTATGTAAAAGTTAGAAATAATTGATATCCAACTATTTCGCATATTCCACTAGCGTCATTTCACGATTTTCAACTGTGTACAGGACAGGACATTAAAAACAAGCTTTTCGTGACAATCACCCATAAACGAAAACCAGTGTAATAATTATTAATTTTAAATTTTAAAAAGTACTGTAACTTTGTTGAAGCGAATTACAAAAAATATTGCATTGAATTTCATTTCAATTACAAAGTACTTTTAAGTGCGTATTGAAATTTTAATCTAAATTACGAAATAATTTTTAATCTGATATTGAAACTAAATTCTATTAGTAATTATACTTTTTAAAATTTTTTTTTATTATAATATAGAACCAATTGTAATATTTGCCTTCCTGGAACATATAATACTTATATTATAAGGCAATCGCTAAGAATTATCATTACCTGATTTTTGAAACGATTTTTATTGCCTCTCCTAAAGACGAACTTAGTAACAGTAAGACATTGTTGATTAAGTCAACGTTTCAAAATGTAATTTCGATTATTATAGAAAGATTCGAAACAAGGCTTTTCAAACTTTGTTCAATTTTTTTGATATTTAGTCAAATTTAATGCACGCCAGGAAAAATTTTCGCCGGCTTAGACTCAAAAAATTTTCTGTACTGTGCATTTGCTTTAAAAATGTATGAGAAAAACATTAGACGAAATTCAAAAATATTTTTTTTTCAGATACTTCAACTCTGTAGTATTTGTCTTTACCATCTGTAAGGCAACGTGGTTTTTTTATATTATTTGGGAATTTTAATCTGAAATTGCAACTTAATTAGTACTACCTCTCTGTTAGTAAGTTAATCTACCTGAAAGACAAAAAAGATCGTTCCTAAAAATCAAGTAATGATAAATTTCAACGATGCATGTTAAATTAGGGATTTTATCTTTATAAGTACTATGTTCTTACCCATGTCTGTTCATGACTCACGCCAATGATTCCAATTTTTTTTCCTGATCTTTCGATAATCGTGCTATTACGATACAATCCCTGCAATCATTTATTTATATTTTCAATGGTTTATTGTTCTTTTATCAATATTTAATACGTCGATGTGCCAAATGATAAGTTTACCTGCATACTTGGCTCTTCGCTAGAATCGATATTAGCAGCGACAACGGGTGCATTGAATCTCTCAAGAAAATAGACGAGTCCAGACACTCCATCGTCGAAATCATGATTACCGATCGCCTAAAGTGGTCAACAATGAATATTAAGATAAAAATTATTGCACGTGACCTAATGTATCAATCTTCAATATATTGATCAAGCTGCAGAAAATATTTGCGCGAGACTTTTATGATAAATAATTTATGCAGACAATTTTTTCTCCACGTGATATCCGAAATCTCTCGACTATTTTAGCTTAGAAAGGCTACGTAAGCTTCAGTATGGAGCTTTCGGATATTCTTTTGAAAAGCAATATTAAAAAGTGATTAAGAAAAGTATGGAAAATCCCATATCTAAAGTTTCAATAAAAAAATTCTTGTATCTCGGTAACGGTTAATGATTTTTTTTCACGTTACGTGTGTAGGTACCAGTCGTTGTTTCGACACAATTATAAATGAAATAAACGCACCATGGCATCATGTGGAAACTTATTCATAAACTCTACAGTTGCATTGCCTTTGAACAAGTTGAACCATAGGGTCCCTTGATAGTTATCACCAGCGTTGAGATAAATCGTATTCGGCTGCTCTAATTTGATTTGTTTGACGGCGGTCATGAGCCGGGCCAAACCTCCGTAGCAACCTTCGCCGCCATCGTTACAACGACCAGTTTGAACAAACCTTTAAGTCACAGTTCATTTTTTTAAGCTTAAACATTAACATGATTTCAAAACTTGACTTACCGCGCGTGAAAATCATTCATGTGGGCGATGGTCAGTTGAAAAAGTTCATCCTGTCCTGGATAAACTAACTGTCTGGCCGTGAAAGCACTGCAACTGCAGATGCTTAAAGCTATTAACATCAACACTTTCACGAACATCGCGCAAGACTTCATATAAACTCAAAACTAATAAAGAAAAAAACAACTAAAATTGCGCCACAATCAGCGGTTGCCGATGGAAATCCCACCAATCGACGAGATGCGCGTTGAAGTGGAGTGAATACCCGAGTACATCGCAAAATGCTAGAACCTGCCCGATTTATACTATATTTTTCGACAGCGACTCTCCGTTCTCTGAACGACTGGGGAGGGGCAGTAAAAGAATAAAAAAATGTTCATAATTATACAATATATATATATATAATAAACAAATAATTCAGGTCACATCGGTAATAGGTTGTAAATTTTTGAAATATATTTAATATCACGCAATAAAATTGTGCGAAAGTCAATATTGTTTTATCAAGCAGATTTCTATACCTATACGAACAAATGTAAAATTTACAACTATATGTTCAATCGATAAGTTAGAAAAGCGTTTGTTCAGCCGAAGAGTATTCATGGAATTATTAATTTAAACTCAATCATCGAGAATAACTCGAAAAATCGAGCACTTGACTCGAACTTGAAGAAAAAACTCGAACTCAACGAGTCGAGTTTTTTCGAGTACTCGCACAGCCCTAATTATTACATTAACATATTTATCATTTTTGAGTTTTAACTATTTTTTACTTATCTATTAAAATTATTTTATGAGTAGAGGTAAATACTAAGAAAATGAGAGCCATCAAGGACTTTTGTCTGTTGACACCAAGCAAAGACAACATAAATCTTTACTTTCTAGTTGATCCATGATGATTTTACAGGAACTGATCGGTAGCCGGTGGCACGTCAGCTCCAACAAAGGTTTCAGTGCCCAACGTCGGCAAAATTTTCTTGGTAGTTTCTCGCACAGGTGCGTCCAGCACGCCCTATAATCTTCTCCGGAGAGATTTAAAGAAACATTCGAACGTAAGAACTCGAAATATTCCATATCAATGAGTAGTTTTTCAGCCTTTTCTTCTAATTGAATTAGATCGTAGAGTGACAGGTTCGGATCGTTATCTCTTATCATTATCTCCTTTGCTATGCTCGTGAACTCTTCGTCATTATACCAATATTCCTTAAGATCCGCAAATTTCTGAAATACATCATGCTTGAGAAACAATTTAATGATCGTCAGGGCGTCGTTTCGTTGCAGCTTGTATCCTCTTCTCTTCAGAAGCTTGACGACGGATAGAGCCCCAGATACTAATTTCAAACCACGAATACCCCAACTTGTACAAAACTGCGATTGGATTCCCTCGTCGAAAAGACTCTCGGTAGGAAAAACGAAATTAGACAGATCGGCACCATGATCTAAAATTAGATCGACCACGTGTGGCAAGACATTCGCCACTGCTAATTGTAGCGGTGTCCAACCCTTCTTGTCCTTAGCGTCGACCTTCACTACCCGACGTTTGTAGTCGCATATCTCGAAGAACGGCACCGCCATGTCAGCTCCAAATTCGTAGTAGGCCTTTACGGAGATCATATGCAGAGGAGTCGATCCTTTTGCATTGGCTACATTCGGATCCGCGCCATTGCTCAGCAGCATTATGGTCATTTCACTAGTAACATCGGTCAGAGCAATGTGTAGCGGTGTCCGACCTAGCTTGTCCTGAGGGCTGACCTGCAGCGGCATGTATCTGTCGTGGCTGTACTCGTACAGCATTTTCATCAAGGCTTCGTCGCTGTACATTTTGCATATGACGTGCAGAGGTGTGAATCCATCCTTGTTCGCCCAGTTTGGATCGGCGCCGTATTTCAGCAGCATGGGGACAATCCCGTGACCACCGTTGGCCAGAGCCAAATGCAGCGGCGAATCACCCGTTTTTTCAACCAGTTGATTGACATCTTGTCCGAGCAGTAGGAATTTCTTGGCGACCTCATCCAAACGACAGTTGCAGGCAATGTGAAAATGTGTCATTCCATCTTCGTCGACGTAGTTCACGTCGAATCTGTTGTAAATTTCAAAAAACTTATCGACGCTGTCATGTTTCCACTTGAACGCACGATGTATTGGCGTAGTTCGACGTAAAATTGGTTTGCCATCTTCGTCGAGCTTGGGCTCGTCTTCGTAGCCGCACTTGATCACAAATTTAATGAAACTTTCCCCCGAATAGTTCACTTGTCGATCACTCCAATTGACGATGGAATCGAAGAGTAGACGCTCGATTTCTCCCTCTTGAAAAATCTCTCGGAGATTTGGCAGTCGGCCGTTCCAATGGTTAATTTTATCAAGTTTCCAGATGAATTTATATCGATCATCTTTAACCTCCCAGTTGACCTTTTCTCGTAAGCTTTTCAATTTTTCCAAATTTTCTTGGTCTGTACAGCGATCCCATGAATCATCAGAGTCGTCAAGATTTATTTGGCCGTAGTAATCTAGTCCAACTAGTTCTGGGTCGCTTTCCAAATGGGAACTTTCATCGGATTCTTCGTCAGACGTGAAGGGAATTTTTCCGCCCTCGCAGCTCAAGCACAACATAGTCACTGATAACCTATAATATAAAATAGAGAATGTTTCAAATTTTTTCGTCGAGAATCACTGACCACGCTTGATGCGATTTTTTCACGCTGTGACGTTGTAACGTGCACACTGACAAAATTCTGTAACACCACTTAACTATATAGACTGAATGTGCACAAATACAAAGCAATAATACAAGGATGTAAGGAGCGCGTGCCAACTGTAAGTGTCGGTTGACGATTGACTGTATGAATAGTCCGGGCACTAATGCGAACGGTAGGGCTCGACGAGCGAGCGGAGGCAAGATAAGAATGAGCGCGAGAGAGACACAGTCGATACTTAACGTGCTGCCATTACAAAAGCACAAGCGCCGAGCAGTACTCGCCGCAGCATGTTAGGTATAGAGGGGTGAACCATGCTGTTGGGCAGTGACGCGACATTTGTCGCACGCAAAAATATTTTGCGCTAGCACACTCTATTCGATGCCGTACTAATTTTTTCTTCTTTCTGTTCATCTTTGAGGGAAATCTTTGCAAGTGAATGGCAGTGGGTTTCCACGATGAAGTGCATATTAATCAAAAAATCAAATCTCAATTCTTAAATTATTTATTTTAATGATGTTGAAAATTTGCAGAATTATATGAGAAATTGAGAATTAATATCATAAGTGAGCTCATTTTATACTTCAATTTTAATACGCATTTTTGAACAACGAGACTACTGAAATATGTTCGAGTATCATCACCAGTACATCAAAACTTAAGTATTTATGCTTATAATTTTTTGCATTCGATCATACGTGTACACATATTCGAACATTGCTGCAGCATTTTAATACCTCTTATTTTTGTTTTTCGTTATTTGGCGTAACAAGATTTGTCAAGATCCACCGATTTCTCAAAACTCTCGCCAAAGTAAGTTGCAATGGGGAAAACGAAGCTTAACGGATCAACACCACGATTCAATAGACTCTCAAACTCATTTATCATAATATTCGCCACAGCTGATTGCAGCGGTGCTGACTTCACTTGCATACATACATTTTTCGAACCCTTTCTATACAGAGATCTTTTGGAAAGAAAATTTATTCGAGGAGATTCTTTTGAATGTGACTTCAAAGGATTGATTATTTTTGAGGCATTTGTTTATTGTAATTTTCTTCGGCTCGTACGACTAGATGCTCTTCGTAGGCATCTGAGATCAATACATATAGGTATAGCAAACACATGGGTCACTCGGATCATTGACAGCAGTGAAAAAAAATCACTGTCTCATCTCTATAAGCTAATTCTAGGTAGTGCCACACGCGTCAGCTTTTTTCCCATGTTATTTAAATGGGGAAAAAGCTGACACGTGTGGCACTACCTAGAATTAGGTTATAGAGATAGGACAGTGATTTTCTTTCATTGTAAGCCAAATGATGAGCATCAATGGGCGAGAGCGAGGATTTGAGTAATTCGGGAAATAACGGACGTTAAACTGTATTTTTTAGTGCGAAAAGTCGCGTTTTCTTTTAAATATGACTACCTAGTGCTTCTTTACTAAAGGAGTTCTGTGATAGGCTCGAAAATGAGTTTTTAAACTAGACGTCGTAAGACGGTTTGGTTTTCATATTTTTAAAGTAGATTGAATCCCCAACAAATGTTCGTAAGTATGTGTGTCTTGTTACCATTTCTCGGCTCTTTGGCTAAGTCAGACTCAGCTCTATTGTATTCAGTGCTGTCCAAATAAACGAGTAAAATACGTCATAAAATTTATGCTTTAAATAAGGGGATATTAAAGCACAGTAAGAAATAGAAAATTTTCAGAAATGTGTTTCAAAAATTTATCACGATATTTAAATTTAAAAAACAACTATTTGAATAAATTCAGCATATTAAAAAGTTTTTTAATGAAAATTCTCTAAACAAACATTTTTATGTTAACACAGTCTTTGGCGCTCTCTTAATAATTTATCGCGAGATTTTTAATTTCATTATCGTACAATACCCTTACTTTTAACTTTTTTCCTCGATGATTTACATAATACGATTTTAATTTTATTTTTTATTCGTTATTTATAACACTCCAAATCAAGAGTTACTCGCTGATCAGCTTCGTACGAGAAAGGAGATATTGATTTCATGTAATCGGTCAAAGCATCGACACCTCGAATATTGAAAGATTTGAGTGGTACAGTGATTTCTTCGGCAAAAAGTGGATGAATTGCAAGATATTTACGTAAGATCATTCTGTAGATTTTGTCCTCGTCCAAAGGTTCATATACTGGCTTATCACAAGCTTGGCATCTGTCAATGGTGATAAAGTTAATGTTCATCTCCATTCAATTTCGGGGTTTTAATTTATTTCCAGCTTTTACTTACTGAACAAGAATATGCGTGGTACATGATTTTGCAGGCTTAATCAGATCGTAACTAAAACGTATTCCTGACAGATGTGAGTAGAGGCGTACCTGCGTTTTACCTTTAACTATATTCCTAATTAAGCCTTTTTCAATAATCTGAAATATCATAAATAAATGAAACATATTAATAAATGTATGGGGAAAACCGACGACTTGTCGATTTCCATAAATTCAAAACTGTCATTTAACTTTTTGACTAATTTAAGAACACGAAAAAATAAAATATCATTCAATTCTGTCTTTCACCCCACTTTTCCTGAAAAAATCAGAAGGATTCTCGTTGAAACATTTTGCAAATATGAACAAATTTCGTAACCAATACTATGTTTTTGAAATTTTTTCTGTGAAATCATATATTCTAAAAAATTAAGGAATATTAATGAATCAGTCGATTTTCTCATACTTTGGAAAACACTGATTTTCAAAAGTATCAACCGTAGAGTAATTCGGATATAATAGACATCAAGTGTAAAGTATTCGATTTCAAATAGATAAAAGATTTGTAGACTTTTTTTCTCATACTTTAAACATTATTTCAATTTTAATACCGTTAACATGTGTCATATGAGGCTTCAAAAATCTATCAAAGTATCATGCACGTGTCAAACATACGATTTTGTGTAAGTACTAAAGAAAAGGCAATAAAAGTGTTATCAATATATTCATTAAAATATAACTACTTGTTCATTTTAAAAAACACCGGTCTTAATAGCTAAAAATCTATTAAAATCGTTAAAGTATTATAATGAAAAATGAAGTGTACTGATAAAAAGATAAAAAATCAACGGCAATAATTTGTGAAACTTATAATTGATGAAAGATAAAAAATTTACCAAAAATAAGATTTGTTCGCTTCTATAACGATTTACAACCGCAATATTATAATATCTACTTGAAGGCGAGCATGAAAAAAGACATTTTTTGAATAATTTCCCCATATTTTTTATGAGTGAAAATGTTCAAACTTACTCTGCGTATTTTCCTTCCAGGTAATTCAACAACGACTAAATCATCTTCGAAAGGCAAGATTGATATCGCATCGGCGTAGCTGATGTTACCCGCCGGCAACTGATTTCTAACGCCACCGGAATTGACGAAGGCAATTGCTGCATATGTCCAGTGTTTCGGGGATTCACTGAACTTGCGGAATGCGTGAACGAAGCTGTCGGTCACCAGATTGGCCACGGCACAATCTCCGACGTACAAACACTCCTTACTGAGAGTAGTCCTGCTCGTGCCGACCACTGCATTGCCGTGTTGCTCGACGATATCGGCCCAAGGCTTCAAATCTTTCAGCATTTTTTCATCTGCCCGAGAATCAGAGGATGTCCTCATTTTTCAGTTACTCAATCATTTGAATGGGATGAGTGTGAGGTGGCTCACCTTGCTCGATGGAGCTATCTAAGTAAATTGGAGCTCCCTCCCAGTCGGCCACTTCTCCCTTACTATCGAACCACACGGTGAGATTTCCGAGGTATTTGGTGTATGCTCCAGCTTGAACGATCAGCACAGTCCTTTTGGAGTCTTCCTGTTGCACTACTACTGGGTAATCGTCGGCGGGTTCATCGTTGTTGAAAGGTGGCTTACCTGAAATTAAATATTCATCAATGACTGTGATAAAAAAGTGAAGAAGGAAAAAATATGAACACACCTGTGTAAAGGAAAGTATGCGAATGACCACCGACGATAACATCGACGTCCGGACAATTTCGAGCTAGTTTACGATCGTTTTCGAGGCCGACGTGGCTCAATACGATAATGATATCGATTCCTTGCTTTTTCAATTTTTCTGCTTCCAAATTGATCGATCTAGCTGCATCTAAAAATTTAACCTTGCCTGTTTGCGACAGGGTCTGATGAAAATCATTAGCTTAATTTTCCAAAAAATAATACCAAGGGTATATAAAAGTAGCCTTTGGATCATTTATCAAAATGCAAATAGTATTTAATTCAAATTTAATTTTACTTCTTCATAATATAAAACTAATTATAATTTTTGCAAAAGCTTTGATTTTATCTACATAAATACTAATATGTTGTACCTTTGTCTCTTCATGACTCACGCCGATGATTCCAATTTTTTTTCCGGATCTTTCGATAATCGTACTGTTACGATACAATCCCTGTCGATACCAATCATAAATATTTTCAATAGTTTATTTTTTTTATCTGTATTAAATCCATTAACATGCTAAATGATAAGTTTACCTGCATACTTGGCTCTTCACTAGAATCGATATTAGCAGCGACAACGGGTGCATTGAATCTTTCAAGAAAATAGACGAGTCCAGACACTCCATCGTCGAAATCATGATTACCGATCGCCTATAGTATAATATTAAAACGAAAATACATAATTGCACTTGATTTAACGTAGCAATATTGAAAATATTGATCAATTTACTATACGTTTAAAAGCAATATTGAAAAGTGGTTAAAGAAAATATGGAAATGTCCCATTTAAAGTTGTAATAAAAAAATTCGTGTATCTCTTTGACGGCCTCGGTATAGTCAACGATTCAAAAAAGCATTTATATTTTTATGTAAAGTTTGTGAGCAACAATTACAGATTAGACACACTTCTGAATAAAATAAACGAACCATAGCATCATGCGGAAACTTATTCATAAAATGTACAGTCGCATTGCCTTTGAACAAGTTGTACCATAGGGTCCCTTGATAGTTATCACCAGCGTTGAGATAAATCGTATTCGACTGCTCTAATTTGATTTGTTTGACGGCGGTCATGAGCCGGGCCAAACCTCCGTAGCAATCTTCGTCGCCAACATTACAACGACCAGTTTGAACAAACCTTTAAGTCACAGTTCATTTTTTTAAGCTTAAACATTAGCATGATTTCAAAACTTGACTTACCTCGCGTGAAAATCATTCATGTGGGCGATGGTCAGTTGAAAAAGTTCATCTTGTCCAGGATAAACCAATTGCCTGGCGGTGAAAGCATTACAACTGCAGATGCTCAAAGCTATCAATATCAACACTTTTGCGAACATCGTGCACAGACTTCACATAAACTCAAAAAATAGTAAAATATAAGAACAGAACTATGCTACGATTAACGATCGCCGATTGATATGCTATCAACTGCGCGTCGAAGTAGAATGAATACCCAAATATATCGTATAAAGCTAGAACCAGTTCGATTTACACTATAATTTTCGAGAGCGACTCTCCACTCTTCAAACGAATGGAATTTAGTAAAAGTAAATTCATATATTATATAATGTATCTATATTAAATATAAGTAATTCATGTCCGATTGATAGTGGGTTGTAACATTTTAAAATACATTTAATATCACGCAATAAAATTGTTCGATAGTCAATATCGTTTTATCAAGCAGATTTCTACACTTCTCTAAGAATTCACGATGTAACACTTTACAATCAATCGATAAGTTAGAAAACATTTTGTTCAGCTGAAGAGTATTCGTAAAATTACTAATTTATTTATTTCAATAAATGCATATAATGTTTTATATAAATTGGGTTGTTTGATCACGTTAACTAATGAATAGTTAATTTTACTATATAAAATAAATTTTCCATTCAATTACCATTCAATTACCATTTATAATAGTTTATATTTTCAACTGTGAAATTCAATTTTATAACAAAGCAAGATAGAAATCAAAGTTTTTAGAAACTGTTTTCAAAAATTTATTATTTTATCTACGAAACAATAAAAAAATTTACAAATTCAATTTTTTAGACAAATTTCCAATATATAAATTTAAAAATATTCGTTTTTTTTAATAATATTTTTTGGGCACAGTTTTTGGCACCCTTCTAAATTAATTATCGCAATCAATTTTAATATCATAAATTACTCTTGCTCTGATCTTTTTCTCTTCACAATTTACATAATATACGATTACAATTTTATTTCTTATTTGTTATCTGTTATACTTAAAATCAAAGGTAGATATGGACATGGCAAAAGTTATCGGTCATTTGACGTAGTTAATAATCTCAATTTGAAGTATTTTGAACGTAAGAAATTAGCGGTTTTACGTTATTACAGTGAATTGACAAAAATAAAAAACCGAAAATTTATAAACATAATACGATTATAAACTAAATTGTACGCGTGGCGGTTTCTCGATATAATTAGTCGTGTAAACCTGATATATGCACACATAATAAAACAATGTTTAACAGTCTCACACCTGCTTTTTTAGTGAGTGTTGTTTTTTTTTCTTGTTCGTCTTAAAAAGTTAGTGCCCATGCAGCTTGAATTATAATGAATTCGGCGTGCGTTTATAGGCACACTGGCAGGCGCACTCTATATTCTATCATCATTTTCAAACGCCGACTTATATATTGTGACCATTAAGAGCCTATTATAGCTTTTTAATCAGGCTATACTTGAAAAGAAAAAATTGGAGAAACTATGACTAGTCCCGTATCAAGGTCAAAATAGAACTAGAAAAAAATTGTTATAAAGCGAACTAGCGGTTCGTGAGTCTGAACTTGTTTCAAGAGAAAAAAAGTGTTGCTGTTAAATATTGCAAAAAGTCAAATTATTGTATAAGCGGCTTTATCACTGCTTTCGTAATTTCGGGCCATACACGATTTTTATCTGTTGATAAGGAAATCTGTCATTTTTGCCTTTTGCATAAGAATAATTAGATTCCATATTTGTGCTTCCTTAAAAAAAATTGACAGTATCCGAATTGTGTGTCTCTGGTCTTCCAAAATTTACACGACCAACGGGATGACATGTTATTTGATAAGCTTTTGTAAAGTGCCTATGTATACAAATAAAACTTACTAACGAGAGACTTCAACTTCAATCACTCGGACAGATAGAGTCTTACATCACGTTATTTGAATGACGTTTGATAATGCTAAATAATTACTTGAATAATTTAGAATTTTTTGTGGTTATTAAAATAAATCAAGCACTTTCTGCTCCCTTAGCTCGAGTACCAGTAATGGCTGGGAATTCCGTGTATATAACGAAAAGGCTAGGTTTTTTTTCTGACGCGATGGGAGACGGTAGACATTGTACAAAGGTAGCATTGTGTCTATCCCAAAGATTTTTACGCATACATTAAAAAAGTGCCGATTGATCAGTAGCACTTCAAAATTAATCGTCGCTTTATTACGAACGAATGTTTACAAGCCTCAGCTTTTAGATCAGAAATAAAACAAGCTTCCCATTCTTTGTTTTGAAGCGTATAAACAGAAAATGCAAAAAATACAAAGAGAAAAATATTTACACCAACATGGTTAAAAAACCCAAGCTGCTCGAATTTCTAGAAACAATGGTCTTGAGCCTATTTTCAAGGCTTCGCGTTTTAAGAAGCCACTAATAACGGTACATCATTGTCCGATTTGTATAAAGTATTGATTAAGTAATAATGAGCGGTTGAAGATGTAGAAGATTATCCAGGAAAAAATAAGCACATGGAAATCGTCGAATAAAGGCACAATAAAGTATCTCATTATTTTGATTTCTCAAAAATCATCGATTCATTAAAACTCGATAATTACTCAAGATATTAAAACTCTTAGTAATCCGACCATTATGATACATACAATAGTATTGAATATGTAATATCACAGTAGTGTAAAAATTTACACATGAGTAGCCACACCTCCAAAGTACGACCCTTGTTCGCTTCTGCTTCTTTAATTGGTGAACGATATCTTAGTCGCGAGTGAGAGTGAGAGAGAGAGTGAGAGAGAGAGCGCGCGCGCGCAAAAACGAAAGTGGGGAGGGAGCGAGAAAGACAGAGAGAAAAATGATGAAAAGGAAGGCAAAAATCAAGCATCAGTCATTATTGCTTGGGTAACAAAAGGCTGCTCTACACTAGACTATTTCAGTTGATCGTGGCGAGGCGCGCGTATACCGAATTGTTTCTCGTACTCACATGCCGATATTGAGTCAAAAACAGGAGCACATTGCACATTTCGTCTGCGACCGTCGAGCTTCGCGCACGTCTTGCTCTCTCTAATATACGAGCACGCGCGCTCGATAATCGTCAGGACAATTTGAATTTTGTTTGTTTTTTTTGTTTGTCGTTTGGTTTTTTAATTATCGATCAGTGACAATTTATAATATGATCAACACAACAATGAAGGGCTGCGCGACGGGCCTTATGCTCTTCGCTCTGCTCACGCTGTGCGCAGCTGCTCCGACCGATCAACCCGAGGTCCTGAGGATCAGGATCATACACACCAACGACATGCACGCAAGGTTAGCATTTTTTTCATTTATTGCTTAAGAACTACAATTGCGACTCGCTCGTCGATTGCAGCTGTGTCGCGCGCGCGGTGGTCGTAAAGTTGCAAAAAGCAGCTTGATAACGCGAGGCGCGAGTCTTGGCGGAAACGTAAGACGTTAGGTGAAATCATTATTATACACATTAGGTATAATGATGCTACGCTAACTTCAATATCTTAATTTTACGGCACTTAATAGTGCCTCGTGATAAGGGTTATCTCAAACAATAACACGAGCAACGAAAAATAAACATCCAAACTTCAGATTCGAAAAGAAATATATGCAACGTACGATCGTTTTGATCGAAGCGATGAATAATACTAACGTGCGATCATCTTCGTTGGTTCATAACTAGAGTTTCCACTCAAGAAATTAAGCGTTTGATATATTTGCGCTCCGCATATGATATCATGCTCATCTTGAGTTATTGCTGATATTTTTCGCTCTCTCGACGATGCACACATGCACGCGTCCTTGCAGCTAAGCTAAAAGTGTCGCGCGGTATAAATTCTTCAAATCCCCGCACACACGCACAAAGTCTGAGCGACGCGTTAATATATTTTCAACGTTTAGTGACCATAAAAATAATTGAATTCTCTTAATTGAGAGTGTTGTAACACTTGTCAATATATCGCCGCGCGCGCGTTAAGAGCACGTGGTAAGACGTGAGAGCGTACACACGCCCGCACACACACACTCACGCGTACACGCAAACACTTATACACGCACGAGCATCGCAACATCGACGCGTATTTTTAGAAAACTCACGACATTACGCTGCACTCGATGATTTCTTCGTCTTCTTCATTTTTTTTTTTCATCGAACGCGGGACAATTTTTTCTCTCTCACTTGCAGATTCGAGCAGACGTCGCAACGCTCGGGAATATGCAGCAGCCAGGATGCAGCCTCGGACCAATGTTACGGAGGCTTCGCCAGAATAGCGCATCTCGTGCGGAAGATTCGGAATTCCTCGACGTCGGAATTGCCCGTCTTTTTCCTCAATGCCGGTGACACTTATCAAGGCACCAAACTTTTTACGGCCTATAAATGGAAGATCGTTGCCAAGTTCCTGAACATACTCAAGCCGGATGCCGCCGTAAGTTTTATATACAATTGTCCAATGAAAAAGTAAATAAAAATAAAGGCCGGAGGTCTCTCGCTTTGTGAGAGTAAATAGAATAAGCCGATGTGACAAAGCGTCGTATAGAATTTAGTCCGAATGTCCACCGACATATAAGATCATTTATTAATAACAATCTATAAATTTTTGTACGTGCTCATTAAGCCCATTCCGACAAATATTCGCTAAAAAAATGTAGCAACATTTATTGATAAAAAGCCGCAGTTACCACAAATTTTTTTAGCGAATATCTGTCGGAATGAGCTTAATGAGCACGTACAAAAATTTATAGATTGTCATTAATAAATAATCTCATACGTCGATTGGCACTCAAACTGATTGTTTTCGAAAATAATTATTCAATGGCGCGCTTAGAATTTTCGCCGACTCGCGCATTCAATCACGCACAATGAAATTAAATGTTATTAGCGCTGAATCAGCCGATTCGCTAGAAATTGATAGCACACGTTTTTTTTTCATTTTGTAACAGAGTCTCGGTAACCACGAATTCGACGACGGAGTCAAAGGACTCGTACCGTTTCTCAACAATGTCACGTTCCCGGTCGTTACTGCCAATTTAGACTTGAGCGATGAGCCGAGTCTCGCCCACACGAAAAACTTGAAGAATTACACGATTTTCGAGGTGAAAAATCGAAAAATCGGCGTGATCGGCTACCTGACTCCCGAGACCATAACGATCTCGCAAACGGGCGACGTGAAAATCCTCGACGAGGTACCCGTCCTGCAGAAATTCGCCGACGAGCTCAAGGCGCAAGGCGTCGACATCATCATAGCCCTGGGCCACTCGGGCTACGATGTAGACAAGAAAATAGCTCGCGAGGTCGACGGAGTCGATCTGGTCATCGGAGGCCACACCAACACTTTCCTGTACAACGGCAAGGTGCCGGATCTCGAGCGCAGCGAGGGCTTCTATCCGACGGAGGTCGTGCAGAAGAGCGGCAGAAAGGCCTACGTGGTGCAAGCCTACGCCTACACCAAGTACCTCGGCAATCTGTTCGTGGATTTCGATCGCCAAGGCGAGATCTCGCGCATTCAAGGAAAACCCATTCTCGTCGATCACTCGGTTCCGCAGGATCAGGACGTGCTGGAAGAGCTCAAAGTCTGGGTCGAACCACTCGCCAACGTGACCAAGCGAGTGGTCGGCAAGACGAAGGTGTTGCTACAGGGTAGCGAGAAGACGTGCCGGCTGCGGGAATGTAACTTCGGCAATATGCTCACCGACGCAATGATTCGTTACGTAAGTTTCCTTTTTTCTCAGAATCGACTCTTTATACAATGCTCGCTCCCCCCCGAGCGGTAAGCTAATTTTCTGGTTTTACCCCCGGTTTCTTCGCAGAACGCCATGAACTACCAAGGCGACGGCTGGACCGACGCCCCCATAGCCATTCATCAATCCGGCGGAATCAGGGCATCCATCGAAAAGACCAACAAGGGAAAAGTCATCATGGAGGACCTGATCACGGCCTTCCCGTTCGGCACGAAGGTCGTGAAAGTCGACGTGAGCGCGGAGATATTGCGACAGGCCGTGGAGCACAGCGTGCACGATCGCCTGAGCATCAACGAGACGGCTCACGGTGGAGCTTTCTTGCAGGTGTCCGGACTTAAGGTGAGTTCGATAATTGATGATCGCGCGCGACGTATAAAAATATTTTTCTCTGTGTGCTCAATCTCTCTCTCTCTCTTGTTTGCTCGAAGGTGACCTACGACTTGGAGAAGCCAAAAGGCTCGCGAGTCGTCGACATCCAGGTGCGCTGCGGCAACTGCTCGGTACCGGTCTACGAGCCCATCGACCCCAATGCCACCTACAAGATACTCATACCGGACTTCATGTACTTGGGCGGCGACGGATTTAAGATGTTCAAGAACACCAAGATGTACAACACGGACGTGGTGATCGCCGACCTCGTGGCTGACTACATTACCCAAGAGTCGCCGGTCTATCCGGGCGTGGAGGGCAGGATACGCTTTGGCAATGACTCCTTTTCCGTACACACGGCGAACGGCATCTACGCTTTCCTCGTGTCTTGCTTAGTCGCTATCAAATCCTGGTTCAGATAGATTACAATCGTCGTCGCTTCTCAACGAAGCAATGTAAATAGTGTAAAATAGTATTATTATGTATTATATAATTGTATCGATCGAACAATAAAGATTCGACGTTTTGTTTTTTTTTTAAACATTTCCGATTTATATCCTTTTCTTTCGTCGAGCTTGCGCTCTCGGCGTGTTTTGAACAGCTCGTAGCCATAGTTACGAGCTTTTGCGTACAGTGTATAGAAAAAAAGAGATAACGGTGTGCCAGACTGGCAAGTATATCGAGTGATCGTCGCTTATTTTCGTTTTAATAATTTATCATCGAAATAATGTCGAATTACGCAACGCCGATTCTGTATCTCAACATGGGCGGCGAGATGATGTATGTGCTGCAGCAGAGGCTGCAAACTCAGAGAGTCAGTCTCGATAAGACGATACAAGGCTAGTGCCATAATAATCTTTTATGTTGTATCCTCCTTTTCATTTTCGCATGCAATTTTCGAAAACAATGGCCTGTAACGATGATCGGATTCGATCATCGTGCATATATGTGCTTCGAAATTAGCATGTCGATTGATTTACTAAATGCACGTTTATATCGGCTATAATGCGTATGCGCATAGTGATGAACGACGTCTTGCACGCTCTGCTGAATCCCAAACAATTGGAGAGCATATTCAGCGAGGGTCCGCTGCTGCGGCTGACTTCCCTGCGATCGATCCTCGAGCGGGTCATTCTCTGCTCGATTATGCGCCTCGACCCGGCCAGCATGGACAAGCTCTTCGACCTCATGATCATGATGGTCAAGTATCAGCTGGCCACCAGCAGCGGGCCCCGCGAGATCATCCTCTCGACCCTCAATCACCTCGACGCCCTGCGCGACATGACCGCGATGGATCGCAAATTGACCGATTACGTCGATCAGGCCCATCAGCGAGTGGTCGACGTGAGTTATCTACGTATGTCGTATGATTCACATGCAAATGAGCTAAATTGTGGCTCTCGCGCCCGATCCTATTGCAGATTTACGGCAACATGACGCATCGGGACGTCTGGCAAATACGGACCGAGTGCTTGACTGAGCTCAAGCCTCACAACGTCAGGGTGTCGGCGCTTCTGAGGCTGGGTATGCAGAATCAGGACGCGAGCTTTAATCGCATCTGTCAACGCTACGACGAAAAGTATCGAGACCGTAAGCAGCTCCTGGACAATCTCAAGCTCAACGATTACGTCGACGAGGACGGACAGCTGGGCTCGTTCGCCATTAACGCCGGCAGATCGACCTTGATCGGGAAAAATATGTAAGTATTTTTCGTATCGACTGACGAATTGCGCTGAATTCGATGATGAATTTTTGTATTCCCTCGCAGCTACGTCATGTCCTACGGTCTGGCGAACGCCAATAGTGTCGACTCGAGTCAAAGCTTCCCACGAGTTTTGAGCGTCAGTAACAAGGCAGCGCGGCAAGAACTCGACAGCCTGACTAAGCAACTGGGCCAGGAAGAAGAGTTAGCTCCTATTAGGCCGTTCAGTTTAAGCTTATACACGAGGCACAATGCCAACGTCGCCAGCAACAACAATAACAACAACAACAACAACAACAATGGATCAAAAAATGTCGAATCCGATAAAGACGAAGAGGGCAACGAAATCGTGGAAAAATCTAACATAAACGAGTACAAAAAAAAATTGATGCAAGATATCGATAAAGATTTTGGCGACGACGAAGAAATCACTGCTATCAACAAAAATCGAGACGATAATGATATTATCAGCATGCTGGAAATGATGTAATAACAATATCGTAATTTATTCGCTAATTATTTTGCTACTTTTGCATTTTGGGAAGTTTGCTGTGCATATATTTTTGTATGAAGATTGACTATGGTAATGGTTACTGATTTTATTTAAAATATTTGCTCTGCTATATACATTTGACTCTTTACTCTAAAAGTCAACCGTCGATAAGGAGTTTTCATGTAGCCTCATAAACTAATGCAATATATAAAATTAAAATAAAGTATATAAAGCTGGGAATTTTTCTACCTTAAAATTTATTAACAAGTTAAATCTAAGATGTATTTAACATTCTTTCCACCGCCAGGTTTGAGAGCATTTGTAACAGCTTCTTTGTAGTTATTCAAAGGGACTAATTCATACGGCGGGGCTTTCAATTCTTTTTTGATAAATAATTGTTGAAGTTCATCGAACATTTTACATCTTTCCTCTGAATCTCCGTTTTGATTTGTCCAAGCAGTCATCCAGAATCCTTTGAATGCGATATTCTAAAATAAATATTTGAATGTAATAGTTGATTTTTATTAAAACATTTAATCAACCAAAAATTTTAACAATTTTACGTACTTTAAATATTAAAGAGGAAGCTGGAATAGTTAGAGGTTCTCTTGACATTCCACCATAGGTAACCATCACACCACTGTGACCTAAATGTCTCTGAACTTCCAATGCACTTTTACCACAAACGCAGTTTAAAGCTAATTGTGGTTTTGGTAATTTTTTACTTTTAAATATTTCAGTTGTTCTTAGCTCTTCTTCTGTCAACACAACATCTGCACCCAAATCCGTAAGTTGATCCTAGTTTTTAAATAATTTTATTAGTATTTTAAACTTTACATTTTCATTTATGAATTTTATTTTATATAAAATCAATAGACCTTTAATTGTTGAACTTCTGGTCTGTTCCTGATAACATTAACACTTTTAAAGCCCCAGATTTTACAAAGTTGAATAACTAATTGGCCTACAGCAGAGTTTCCACCATTTTGTATAACGGTATCACCAGGTTTTAATTGAACAAAATCTTTCAGCATTCTATAAGCGGTACAAGGGTTGACATTTAGCATACTAGCTTCAACTGTGTCCATACATTCATTTATCTAAAATTTGAATTAAAGAGTTTAGAAAAAACGTTTTTAAAATAAAATATTGTGGCACAAAGCATTGAGCTCTCACTTTGAATAAATCTTGAGCTTTGTATATTCCATGAGTCCTCCAAGTTCCTTTGTTGACTCCATTTGGAACAACTTTGTCACCCACACTAAATTGGTTGGTATTGCATCCTGTAGCAACAATTTCACCAACACCTTCGTTCCCTGGTACTGCAGGAAGAGGTGGTTTACTTGGGTATTTTCCTTGTATTGTATTGATATCAGCTGGATTGACTGGAGCATAAATCCATTTTACCAGAACCTGGATAATAAAAGTAAAATTATTTTAAAAAAAGTTGATACACAGTAGAAAAAGACAATAAAAAAGAAAATGACTGACCTGATCATTACCACACTTTGGTAAACAGTCTTCTGTGATTTGAACAACATCAGCTGGTTCTCCATAATCTTTGTACATCAATGATTTTGATTTGAGGGTAGTTGACATTAGTCTCGTTAATTTTGGAAAATTTAAATAGTTCCGATGAATTCCATCAATAAAGATAACACCTATTCTTCTTCCGGTTTGTTGCATAATTACTTATTACTTATTATATTATAAAATAAAAACTGGTGCAATCACTCGAGAGCAGACGGAGCTGTATCTAGCGGAGTCGGTTATTTACACACAATGTTTTATAGAGGCAGTAGGTGTATATGCAGCATGTATTGCAACTCCGCAGATAGTATTTTCGAGGTTATGCAAAAAATTTGAAATGTGTTCTCGATTCTCGATTCGTGAATCTCAAAGTGTAAAGTTTATAACGATGCAGACCAACGCGATAAATTGTATGTACACAGTGTTTTATTGATTTTCATGTGATAATCAGAGGGAAAGTAACTTGATACATTTTCTGTTAGCGGTTTAAACTGAAGTACATCTTTATTTAAATCGTTATCGCTATGTTAATTAGAGTCATAGTTGAGTGAAACTTTGAATCATTAGCGTGTATCATTTTTTAGTATAATTTTTATACTTTAATATAGAGACACACAGAATTTATTAATGGTGATTGTGATGAACGTATTTCCAGATATGTCGGTCAATGTAAAGTGTTCTTTTCAATATGATGAGCAGCGCAGCAATGATGAAAGTTTACAACAGTTTTACATTTCATATAAAACTGTTTTGTTTTTTAAGATGGTGATCGAAGCTTGAATTAAAAATAAAACTAAAAATTTTCACGTGCTTTCTATAATATTGAAGTCATCTAAAAATCATAAAAAATGTTGAGAATTTCAAAGTGACAAGTGCAAATGCATTTAAAAATAGTTTTTGCAATCGACCCGTCAGTTATTGAAATAATCAGATTATTTGATCGAATTTAGGTATAATTTTGGCACACGAAAATTACAATGGACTAAGGTAAGCAATTGAAATGTCAAATTATGATATATTTTTACTGTTTTTATGCGGTGTAAAATTAGAGTATTAATCAAAGTTTGATTTTCTTTACCCTTTAGACAGTTGTTTTGAGTATCGCATATATTATGATTCATAATTTATGAATATTTAAAGTAGTGACTCGAGTGATTTATTTGCTATATTTACGAACGGTTTAGTTTCGTGTTTGTTTTAAATTAGTCACCACACAAATCAAATTCTTTGGACATTGTTTTTATTATACAAAATATTTAGTCATTTCAAAACAGATTATTAAGCCGAATTAAGCTTAATTAAATATATTTTTTTATTTACAATTGAACTATTCGTTTCTTAAAATACATTTATTTACAAAATGTACAATGAAAATTCGGCTGGGGTACAATTGGCTTTGAAAAATTAAAAAATCTAACGGAGAATAACAGAACTGTGTCGCGTAACATTTTTCAATTTTATAATGCCATGCAGTTAAAAATAGTTTGTTTTATGTTCAGGTGAACGTACGTTTTAGTTTTGATTTTTCTAAATAAAATAAAATTGTATTTTCGACCACTCGATTTATATAAAAACGTATAAATTATACTTATGTTTTACAGGTATAATTATACGTATCTATAATCGAGTTTAAAAATGTCCTTGTGGATGGCAGGTTTTTCATGGACACTGCCCAAATGTCATTCTTACGTGAATGTAATTAAATTTTACAAATTATACACAAATCGAGGTATATATAAAAAGCTAGCTTAGAATTTAAATACTCATGGAATATTTAAACAAACTTTGTCGTGGTGTAATTTTCAAGCCCTTGAAAATCGTATTATCGTCGCGTGTGACGATCCTAATCTATTGGTAACTGTAAAATTAATTAAACTAGAAGCATTTTTGGTCAGTCTTATGAATTTCTTCTCCTATAAATACTCGCCCCGCTTTAACCCAAGTGAGTCAATATTCTCACCCGGTAATCTTCCTTGATCATATCGGCGGCCTTCTCGGCGATCATGTAGGCGGGCGCGCACGTGTGGCCGGCGATGATCTCCGGCATGACGCTGGCGTCGACGACGCGCAGGCCCCTGATGCCGTAGACTCGAAGTCGCGGGTCGACGACGCCGCCCTGGTCGCGCGGGCCCATCTTGCAGGTGCTGGTGAAGTGGCCCAGGGTCGTGGAGACGCGGCGCGCCGCGCACAGCCAGTATTCGTCGGAGCCGAATCGCAGGTGACGGCAGCCCGGGAAGGGGACGTTGTACAGCTGAGTGTTGAAGCGCCTGAACGGCCTGCTGTAGGCTACTTTGATCGCCTGCCCAAAAATTGCAACGTAATAGGAAAAAGCTCGAGTACGCAGTGGAAGCAGCGAACTCACCGATTTGATGCCGCGAACCATCGTGAGCAGATCCTCGTGACTCTCGTAATAGTTGGGCTCGAGCACCGGTGGCTGGAAGGGATCTCGACTGGCCAGGCTGACTCGGCCGCGACTCTTGGGCCTCATGAGCACCGGCACGATGCTGAAGGCATCGACTTTTCCCTTGGCGCGTCCAAAAACTTCCCGATCGAATTGCTCGCTCAGGCCAAGCTCGCGTCGCAAATAGCCGCTCTCGTCGCCGGTCAAAGCGCCGGCTCCCAGGACTAGTTCGATGTCCGGGTAGTCGATGGGTGGTGGGATATCTTTCAAGACTACAATACCGAGAGAGCGAGAACACAAAACGAGATGAGCGAGATAAGTTTGATGCGAAAGAGTTTAAATATAATAATTGTGCGCTAATGATCGCAACTATTATGCAGGAAGGTCATTCGCGATCGAGCGCGACGGACACGTGTGCGCGTCCGTCGCTCTCGATAGATAAGTAATGTCGCTAATTGTGGCAACTCACAGCTGTCGGTGTGTATGAAAGCTAAGGCGACGGCTCCTCCAGGCGCAGTGAACGAGCCCTTTCCAAGTCCATAATATTTGATGAGCTCGAAGAACGACCAGAGCGAGATCGATTTCAATCTGTTCTCCTTGATGGTGACGGTGTCGTTGACCACGAAAGTCAGCGCGCCCATGCTGACGTGATCGCGCAGATTCAGTCCGACGGGCAGATCCTCGAATACTGTGATGCCGTGGCTCTCCAAGTGGTCCGCGGGCCCTATACCCGACAGCATGAGGATCTGCGGCGAGTTCAGAGTTCCCGCCGACAGGATGATCTCGTACCTGGCTCTGATCGTGTGTATCGATCCGGCGTGAGCGAATCTCACGTGGGTGGCTCGTCGAGTGGTCGGATTGATGAGTATCTTCATGACGTGAGCTTTCGTCACCAGCGAGAGATTGTTGCGCACGCGGATCGGCTTGAGGAAAGCTCGATTGGCGCTGAATCGAGCTCCGTCTCGCAGGTTCGCTTGTACGGGTGAGAAGCCCAGACCGCTGCAAATGAAGCGATAAGTATAATGTTATTATACACCGTTGTATTTTTGGGATTTTTCGCTCGCTCGACGATCGGCGGCCGCCGAGCGATTCGTACGCGCCGATTCGCTCGAACGACGCGGCCGCGCACATCTGTCTACTGAACGAGCGATTCAAAGTCGACGTACCCTGCGGCGTTGTAATCCGTCATCCTGTAGCCGAATTCGAAGCCCGAGCGTATGAAAGGCTCGATCAGCGGCGAGTCGTAAGGCACGTGGCTCACGTCGAGGTATCCTCCTCTGCCGTGGAATCTTGCATCGTAGATCTCTGTGAGTCTGCCGGATCGTGAAAGGCAAAATTTTCTCAGTCGCGAAAGCTCAAAATTTTAATTGCTGCCAATTATACTTTACTTACCCGCACTTTTCTGATTTCATGAAGTAGGGCAGAACGTCTCGATAGGACCAGCCTGGATTTCCCAGTCTTTCCCACTCGTCGAAATCGTAACGAGTACCCCGGGAATAGATCATGTAATTGATGACCGACGTTCCACCGACGACTTTGCCCCTTGGCCAGTTGCACTTTTGGTTGGTCATGGCGAGACAGTAGCCGCTCTGTCGACAAATAAGCATAAGACTGTTAAAACAATTATTATTCGAAGGGTGACGCAATATATGCGTGCGTGTGTGCCGTGCATCTTTTCAATGTCGGCAAATAATTTGTCTGTGTATATTTGTTCGAGCATTAGCATTTATGGCTTTTTAGCTCGTCTATTGGTGCGCGCTCGAGCATACATTAAATTTGTTTGGCAAAAAGCAGCGACTACCCACTAGCAGTAAGACAGTTGTACGAGGAAAAAAAATAAATCAAAATGGTACGTTGTGTGCAGGCTTACCGTTCGATTGCGATTTGGTTTGGTCTGATATCCCCAATCGAAGCTGGAGCCGTAGAGAGACGAGGCCATGAGGGGCACATTGGACAGCCTCAGAACGGACATGGACTCCTCCTCGTCGCCGGCTTCGAGCACCAAAATGTTCCACTGGCCAACTTCGCTCAATCGATTGGCCAGGACCGAACCGGCCGATCCCGCGCCGATTATCACGAAATCGTACTCGGGCAGCAGCGGCTTGGACTTTGGCTTTTGCGAGAAGGTGGCACTCGCGGCCGAAATCAAGAGCGAGAGCGCGAGCAGCTGGCGAATCATTGTCGCGCCGCTAATGTCGATGATTCTCGTCGGGACTTTTGAGCGTGCTTACGAGCGGCGATGATCCGTCAGGCACGGAGTTATCGACTCGATTGAGCGACTCTCGACGCACGCGTTCGCGAGTCGAATTTCTCTCTCGTCCGCGCGTCGGACGCGTTGCACCAGTTGCGAGTTGCCTGTAGGTATTGAACGTATCGCCAGAGCTCAACTCCTTTTGCGTATCGCACGGACAAGGCCACGGTTGCTCTTCTCTCTCTCTCTTTCTCGCAATTGTTGTTGTTTCTCGTCGTGTGCTCACCTTGCATCAACAGTTGCCTGTACGCACGCTGAAAAATCAATTGTTTATACTTTACGAGTCTTACGGCTCGCGACCATTATCAGCGCTACGCTTTTTTATGGGCTTTTAAATAATACACTTTTTTCTCTGCGAATGCGCGCTAAACTTGGCTTTTTTTCTCTCGCGGAGCAAAGAGCACGCGGCAAGGAAAAAACAGAAGTCACTGCGAACTACTATTCTAAAATGGTCAAATGTCGAGCACGTTTGAGAACGAGAGATGGCACAATAGTGTACAAGCGACGTGACTTACCCGCGAGCAATTATCGATCTCGCACGACGTTGCAAAATCTAGATCGTCACCGTCAACGAGTTCGATCGCGACTAATTCATAACACATGGATATGTATAGGGATTCAAAACGTCCCCATCGGCTCTAACGCGATGATAAATCCGTAATATATTACAGCGCTGTGTGTTGTACGTTATAAGCCGATGAGTCGTTATGTAAATGATATACCTGACATTAGCTTACGCGTTTATTGATGTTTATATTTACATTTTGAAAAAGTCGAACATTTGGATCTGATATCGAAGGACACGCGCGAAGATGTCAAGGTTCACCGCACGCGATTCAAATCGCACACGCGTTTTTCCTATAGCTAGACTCTTCGTATTGAATAATTATGAAAGTGTTCATTACGTTTATTTATCTTTAACGCGTATTTTTTTCGCTCAATGCTAATTTACGCAATGCGCGCGGCTCGGAATGCACGCACAACAGGTGAACAACAATAAAAAAAAGCGCGTACACTGAAAATTTCAAAATTGCGGTAAGCGCCGTCGTGTCGACTCATTCGGGATTCACGCCTCGGCACCACGCGTTGCACAAATTCGACCGACAGATTTTCCTGCGGAATACCAAAATGTCTCGCGCGCACGCGACCTGCGACGAAAACACATAAAAGCGAAATTCCGATTGACCTGGAAACCTTTTTAACTTATGGTTCAGGATGCGACGGACTTCTTTGATTATATATCGTCGATGCGATGACGATGACTTTTTTTGTTATAGAATGAACGGATGCGTTGTCGATTACGTGAGATGCCGCTGATGTGAATATCGTCCTTTTTTACTCTAACGTTCGAGGGGACGAGAAAGATAATCAAATAATTTTTTGCAATAGATATATATTTCAAAATATATAATATTTTTAATATAGTTTTTCTCATAAATTACACGTAAACATATTTGCAAGGAGTTTAAATGTTCTTTTTCACAATTTATCAATAAAACAAATAATTAAATTATACAGAATTCGTATACTGTATCTTAACAATTAATTTTTTAATAACGCAATATATCGATCGGACTTTCTTTCAAACAAACAATTCAATAGTTATTTATAAATAATAATTATCATTTTCAGCTTATTATTAATAGTAAATGTTTGATTCAAGCATCTCTTTATGTATAGTAGAAGTTTATATATAAGTAACAAACTATACAGATTTACATGTAACTCTGCGTTCATCAGTATTTTTATCCGGTGATTTTTTTAAATTTTAATTTTCTTCGTTTCTATTCATCAATGAACACGATTATTTCATGTATTGCAAAATATAAAGATACATTAAATACACAATGAAAGTATCCTGGAAAATGGTATACTTTGATTACAAAATAATAAAATATTTGAAACTATTATAAAGTTTAAAAAAATCTGTAGTTAAATCTAGTAATTTTTTTTTTTAAATTTGTGGAATGCCATTTTTGTTGTTTTGATGTTGATGCAGAGCCAGCTGTACTTTCAGTTCGACGCATGTGTCCTTTTCTTCGACAATACTACGAATCAGGGTCGTCATCTTTTTCTATAAGAAAATTTAAAAAGAATAAGTTGAAAAATACACCATTTTATTATTATGGAAAGTGTTGCAGGCATGTTAAATTACCTCTAAAAGTTGATTTTCATTAACCAACTGAATCATAGCTGTTTTTTCGGCTTCACTTGGACTACAAGTACGTTCCGATGTAGGTTTAACTGTTATACCAGCAGCCATGCGTTCCGTCAAGGCAATATTCAGTCTTTCAATCTCATGTCGTTCTTGTGCTATTCGTGCTTTCAAAGAAGCTTGAATATTCAGCAGCTCTTCGTAAATAAGAGATTCGCGTAGTCTTTCGAGTTCGCTGTTTTCTTCTGATTCCTCAGCGTTTTCAGATTCAGGCGCCACATCTATAATTAGTTTTAATAAGCAACTGAACATTTAAAACATTCCATATAAAATAAATAATTACCATTTTCATCAGGTTTTTCGTTCTGTACGACTTCAATTCTACTATCAGTTGTATCCTTTGATGCTTTCAACGGCTTATCGATATCTTTATCGGCTGATGCTGAAGATGAATAACTGTTAGTTTCAGTTGATGCTCTGCGTACGGTTTCCTTCGTAGTCTCGGTAACTTTCAAACGCTCATTTTCATCTTCTGTATTGACTGATAGTTTATTTGATAAATTGATCGATTGACTGTCTGATGATTGTGTTTGACTCTCATCGTTGTTTTTTGGCACTTGTTCTTCATCGACGCTCCTTTGCATTGAATCTTCACGTTTTTGTACAAGTTTATACTTTCGTTTTAATTGTGTTATCATTCGTTGCACTTCCCATAGTTGCTCCTCTCGAGATTTATTTACATAACCGGCGTTCATAAGCATGTGAATTTGAGAAAGCAATGACTCCTGTTTTGCAAGTTCAGCAGCAATACCCTGAGGGCTCTCAGGTAATCTAGTGCTACCAGCAGGCAATGGTGGTATATATTTTGTTAATCGTACTTCTGGAAATAGTGCTTTGCAATGAAAAAGCAATGCCAATAGTAATCGATGGCTCATTTGAAGAGCAGGACTTAGGGTCATTGCTATAGTTTGGGCATTCATTTTCGTTGTTTTTTCGCATGCGGTGACATGATCTAAATGAAGAGTGATCCATGCCAAAAGCACCCTATTGCACTCGCTTAATTGTTGACTAGCTAATTCCACAAGCTGTGATTCCCTCGCAGCTACTTCCTTTGCTGAAGCTGCTTGCTCAAATCTAGATATTAATTCAGTACTTTCCAAAACTGGTTCTGGCAATTCTCTGAAAAAATTTTATTTTTATTTGTAGATTATAAGTTTGTTTACAATGTATAATTTCTAATGATGTTGAAATTCTTACTTTATAAAATACAGTAACAAACTTGTAGCAACCGTTGGTTCGAATTCCGATAGGTTTACAGGTTCTCGTTGGTTGTATAACTTTTTGAGATGTTGGACTTTAGACTTATTTCCTGGTACTTTGTATAGTCCTTCAACAGACATGCCATGTTCTTCCAAATAATCTATGCAGTCTCTGACTACTAGAGGTAGTTCTACACCATCATGACAACGACTTCTTTCAACAGCTAAATGAAGACTAACACCAAATATAGGTTCATCTTCTGCAAATATTTAGTAATAATTTTCATTAACATTTTAAATGGTAGATTTAACAAAAAAGTAATACTTACCACCAATATCTGATGCTTCTTCTCCATGCTTACTTTTTTTTCTATCTTTGTGTTTTAGTTTTATTTTATCTTTTTCTTTTTTTTTGTCTTTTTCCATTTCTTTTTCAACATCTTTATCCTTCTTTTTCTTTTCTTTTTCAGGATGATCTTTTTCCTTTATACTGTCCTTTTCTCTAGACTTTTCTCGCTTTTCTCTACTCTTAGAAGCAAATTTGAAAGGTTTCTTCGATTTGGACTTTGAAGGACTCCTAAAATTAACATGGTTAGAATAATTTAAAGAATCCAATTAAATGTCATTGACTTGTCAAAATATATGAAAACAAACTTTGTCTCTTCTTCATCTGCAGAACTTTCTCCTTCAAGTGTAGCATATCCTCTATCTTTCTTGTCTTTTTTATCTTTGCGCTTGCTTCCTCCAAGAAGATCTTTCTTGGAATGTTTATCATGTACTCCATCGTCACTGACTACAAAAACAAATTTCATCATCTTTCAATTCCTAAATTTTCCAAGTCTTATAAGAAGTTGTAAAGGAGCAGATATTTAAAATTAAAAGCAAATGTGTCGCAGAGAAAAATTTAAATCTAGCTCAAGTGTCAGTTAATAAATTGTTAATTTTAATAATAAACATTACCATGCATGGTGTCTACAAACGAGAGAGTTAGACAAACCGTAATTGTAGTATTTTTAGTGGTACTAGTGCTAGTAGATATGGGGAACCTAACCTAATGAAACTAAAATCGGTGGGAAAGCAGCAGAAAAAAGAGAGAAGATAATCAAGAATTAGTCAAATCGATGTCAAAGATAAGATATCGGGGTACATTCAGATCGCGAGATATCTTACAGTCGCTCTCGCTCTTCTTCGTCGTATCGGATGCGTAGAGTCCAGGAAATTCTTTCTCCACGTCAGGGCTTTCAAAGTCCATCGTTATTATAACGGACACTTCGTTGTTTTTTACTTATTAATCGAGAACTACGCACTGCATCGACGTAAAACTTGAAGTTTCAGCTTATGTGGCAGTAATTATCGATTGTCTTATCAAGCATAAGTTTCGACACGGCAAACGTCACCTCGAGTCGGACAGCACGTTTTCTCTCGCATTCACTTTGACATGTTATATGCCTACGCGTATAATGCAGTCGCGAGCACAATAGATTGCAGTCGTCATGCCAGAAGTATATAAATATTATATTGTTCCGTAGTACTGCCAGGTACATTAAACTCAGCCACTAATTTCATGAATGACCGATAAACATTCTTTACGATCTACTGATGTAGGCAGAGGGTGATACGCCGCCCTGCATCGGAGACATGCAGCGCAACTCCTAAATCTTGGCTCGAGCTCTTTCCAATAGCATGGGCTATAGCACAGCTGCAGCATGACGGTTTGCTTTGCGTGTATCCTTGTATACATATAGGAGCATGCGATGCGTGTTGGTGCCGTCTACCACTATCCGTTTCAGACAGCCAAGCATTTGTATGCGTGCCTGTGTTTATACGCTGCAGTATGTACAACATGTGACGCAGTCCGCGGAGCGATCGTCAAACTATACTTTTAAATGTCAAAAAAATTTCATGAGTGAATGCGTTCTAGACACGAGTAATGCGTAGAAGAAGATTATTAGAATTATGCCAATTATAAATTATGTCTTTTGCGTGACTTACAAGAAACGAATTTGATATTCAATCAACTCTCGAAAAAATTGAAAGCGCAAATTCAAACTTAATTTTTGTTTAATATCTGACTATAGGTCTAAAATTTAACAAGTAAGCAGTTTTGAAATATTCATTTGAAAAAGAATCAATTGCGTACGGAATTGAGAGTACAGGTTTTTTTCTTCTTTGTTTCTTTATGAGTATTGTGAAAGTGAACGGTATACACTTCGGCATGTTTCAAAATTCGTACAGCTTAACATGAGTCATCTTATCTTAAAATTAAAAGTTTTGAATTATACTTTGGAAAATGTTTCAGAGCTACCAACGGCTTGTCAACGACGATTCGATGAATGACAGTTTAAGTAAAAAGTAAACAAATTAGTAATAAATAAAAAAATCGAAACAATATTTGATAACGATCTCATGGGAATTTTTTTTCAATTAACGAATTTAATTTCAATCGGAGTTTTGTTGTTTGTAAGTCATTAGAAAAATTATAACTAAGTTTCTGAAAAAACGGCATATAAAGTCAAGCAGAAACATTTTTTTAAGAGCCCGCAGGTGTGTAACATTTAACAAAAAGTATCGTATACGTTTGTAGACGCAATTAATTACAATAATTAAATTAATAAGAGGGAACTAATTGATCCGCAGCTGCACACTCTCACTGGCAACCTTTCCGTAGCATTGCATGATCGTATGATCTTAATGGAATATTTTTTTTATGACCAAATAACAAAAGAACTAGCTTTGTACGTAAAGGTGCGCTTCTTGTTGGTCGTTCCTCGTGCAAAGCTAATAGTTAAAATCGATAATTTGTGCACAATTTGAACATGGCTTTCAACATCGGTGTTCGAAAAGTAAAAAAATTCAAAGTTTCTTTTTGCTACGAATGAAAGAAAATTAAAATCTTTCGAAATGATCGTTAATAGTTATTTTGGACATTTAATTATTTAACAAAATATCTTTATGTCCTAGCAGTTTCTAATTCAGAAAAGTTGTTGATTTTTGACATTCATCGCGTAATTTTTCGACAAAAAGAATTGTCTATTCTCTCAATCCTCGCAACTTTACAGTTAGTAAATAACGCAATACGTATTACGTTTAAACGATTTTTGCTCGTGTGCGAGTTTATAGTTAAAGCCGCGATAACCTCGCATACTGCTGCGAACGTTTACACGCGAGGAGTGCATATAAAACACACACACAAATTGTAGATTAGTCCGTGGCTATATTGGAGCAGCGCGAGAGTTGCGGCAAAATAGTGAGCGAAGTTGAATACGCACATACAATAGTCGTGTACACATATATGCGCGCAAAGAAGTGCAGTTCGTTGTTATAGTCGTGAAAATCGACTGCCATACGTATAGGTATGCTGCAGTTTTCTCGCTCTCGATCGCGCGTGCACATACTTATATAGATGAATATTGTAGAGCATTGCATATATATAGAATCGAAGACAGCTCGGAGCGGCGAGACTGCGGCAGCCGCCGCTAAGCGCGAGCGCATGATAAGGATTTGCTGCTGCTGCTGCTGCTGCTGCTGCTGCTCGTTCGCAAAGATGCGGAGTCTCGACTCCCGACGCGTCAGCGCTTCCGAGCACGACTGACTCGCACCTACCTGTGATTCGATTATATTCAAACTTTCGTGCACGCGAGTGTGTGTGTCGTAATGTATATAGAGTACACTGTGTAGTGTGCGACGACGTGCGCGTGTATGTTTATCCGTGTGTACGTGTATAAATATACACCTATATAATAATAACACGCCGCTCGGGACTCGCGGGCTTCGACGACATCTCTCGCGCTAGCCTGGCACATATATTAGTGCTCTCCGTGGCTGGCCGCTGCGACTCTCCGTACTCGCTGTGCAATATTAGTAGTGCGGCTCTGGGCGTTGTAAGCTACTACACTGGCAGGCAGCGTACACGACCCATCATACTCGGAAAAATAAGCGTCGCGACACCCTCTCGGCACACGACAGTCTCATCGCGACGTTTCGAGCCCCCGACTTACGCGGCTCGATCATTTTTCGCTGTTTATGTGAGTATAACAACCGTGCAGCCTCGCTTTCGGTTTCGCCGATTTCCCAGCGAGCCCTTCCCAGCCTCTCGCCTGACCGGACACTTATGATGTTTTAGCTTTTGTGTCCTTGCTCGGGATGCGAATTCGTTATTTTAGCACTTAGGTTAGGCATATACCACCTGAGAGATCCACTTGCAATATATATCTATGTACATGTATATGCACGTATGTGTAAAAATACATACTCAGACAGGTGGGTTCCTCTCAGGTATTTTTCGTTCTACATACCGTTCTCGCTATGTTCTTGCGCCCGTCTCAGAGTCATGTAGTTGTGTTGTTGAAAGTATGATTCACTAGACACCCAAAGAAAGAAGCTTTGTGTGCATTTGACTTAGTGTATATACACATTCATGTGTCAGTGTGAGTGCAAGTTTGATTGCAGTTATTGTGTACAATTTGATCAGAGCTAATGTCTCTGTGTGCCATATAAGTGTGCTTGGTTTTTAAATTATATTTTTATGATTATTGAGATTTATTCAACTTGACACAATGGCTCTTTGTCACAAAGATATGTCTTGATCAGTTTGATAGAATTTTTTTCTTTTAGAGCTTTTAAACATTTTTGTCATTAGGTTAGTCATGGTTGATAAGACTTGTTTTTTTCTTATTTACAACTATTTTTTATGTTCATACTTTTCTGTTCAACCAGGAAAATTTTAAAGTTATTTCTTAAATAATTAAATGTTTCATCACTTACTTAGGCCTTTTGAAGCCCTAGAGTCTATTGAAATTTTTGTATTAAAATTTTTTATTTTAATGCATGCTTTCTGTACTACTACAGTTAATATTATTTCTTCACTGCTCCCCTATGTTGAAATATCACTTATTGCAACATTTTTAAAAAGAAAATTTAATTACCTTGATTCAATTTGAAAATTAAAGATAGTAAAAACTTGCTAAAATATAGCATGACAAACTAATGAAAATGAATGAGTAAACACATTTAATTCTTAGGTACCATGTTCTTTGTTGCATGAAATAAAAATTATCTGCTAGAAAAGAGTGAGCTTTGAATAAAACTTTTGGTACCTAGCCAAGTTTACAAATTCCAGCTAAAGAATACATTTTTCAATTTATTTGCTATTTTATCTTGTTCTTAGAAATATTTCCAACGTTGTTTATTGCTTTTTTGACCAAAGTAGTTAATTAAAACTGTTTTCTTTGTATGCTAATTGTAGGGCCCAGTCAAAAAAACCAAGTATTAGCTGATAAACTGAAAACATGGATATCGCTAAGGATGAAGACCGGCGCAGACGCCTTCAGGCTCTGGAAGAGCGTATCAAAGATCCAAGAAGCATTACAAATATTGACTGCTTACTGGATACTGTTCAAGCTCTTGTGGCAGACTGTAATCATGATACAGTTAAACGCATGAAAAACATCGAAGCTTACACAAATAGATGTTAGTAAACTTCAATCCTCTCTTATTATTAGAATTTATTAAGTGAATAAACGTTGAGTATCGTTTTACTTTTTTAGATAATGCAGTTGCTAATGATATTATTAGCTTACGAATGAGGTATGACGATTTTAAAATGCTTAAAGTCATTGGAAGAGGAGCTTTTGGCGAAGTGCAGTTAGTGAGGCATAAATCAACAAAAAAAGTTTATGCAATGAAACTGCTAAGTAAATTTGAAATGGTAATGTATTATAAAATAAAATTAATGTTGAAACCATTTTTGAGGTCTTAGAATGTATATAATTTTTTTCCTTTTCTATAGATCAAAAGATCTGATTCTGCCTTTTTTTGGGAAGAACGTGACATCATGGCGCACGCAAATTCTGAATGGATAGTACAGCTACATTTTGCTTTTCAAGATAAAAAGTACTTGTACATGGTGATGGATTATATGCCTGGTGGTGACTTAGTAAACTTAATGTCACAGTACGACGTTCCAGAAAAGTGGGCTAAATTTTATTGCGCGGAAGTGGTGCTTGCCCTCGATGCGATTCATAATATGGGATTCGTGCATCGTGACATAAAACCGGACAATATGCTACTCGATAAACATGGTCATTTGAAATTAGCGGATTTTGGGACTTGCATGAGAATGGGAGAAGTAAGTATGGATACTTTCATAATGATTAAAGAACAAGTGATATAAATTGGATGAAAAATAGATGACTAATGAGATGCCTTTTTGGCGATTAAATAAAAATTATTATCGGTCGTACTTTTTCAAACGATAAATATTTTTTTTAATTTAAAAGCAAAACTCAATATTTTTGTAAAAATCTTGATTGCTGCATTCATTATGATAAAAAAATTATTTTTGCGCATTTTTAGACTATATATCAATCGATTGTAACGCTATTAATGAAAAAATTTTTAAACAGGATGGGCAAATTCGATCGGATATAGCAGTTGGAACTCCAGACTACATAGCACCCGAAGTTTTGCAGTCTCAAAGTGGTGACAGTGTATACGGTCGAGAATGTGACTGGTGGTCCGTTGGCGTTTTCCTGTATGAAATGCTAGTCGGAGATACACCTTTTTACGCAGATTCTCTCGTTGGCACTTACTCAAAAATAATGGATTTCCGAAACAGCTTACACTTTCCCCCTGAAGTAGATATTTCTCATCATGCCAGGACATTAATATGTTCTTTTTTGACCGATCGAACTGAGCGCATCGGCCGAACCAATGTCGATGATATAAAAAGGCATCCATTTTTCCAAAACGACCAATGGACCTTTGAAAACCTTCGTGAAAGCGTGCCACCTGTTGTTCCTGAACTAACTGGAGATGACGATTCAAGTAATTTTGACGATGTTGAAAAGGAGGATGGTCCAGAAGAGAATTTTCCGACTCCAAAAGCATTTTGTGGAAATCATTTGCCATTCATTGGTTTTACATATTCAGGAGATCAGTTATTACTTTCCAACCGTAAGCATTGAACATAATCATTTTACTTCAACACATTCGTGATCAATTTATTCACCAAACACACAAAAATTTAATTGATAAAATAATTTTTTAATATTTTTATTATACCATGTTTATTATGAATTCACTAGAAAAATTTACTCTACATTTTTTATTTAAAACCTACATTAAATGATTTATGATCTCAATAATAAGTAAGAAAATATAGGTTGTCACCTAAATTTTTATTTATATGTTGAGTAAACTAAAGATACAAAGTAAAATTCAATCACAATGGGTAAAATTTTTTTTTTTGCATTGACTCCATTTCATCTACACGTTTATTTATAATATACTCAAAAACCTGTACATAACAGCTATTTACTATTCTGACGTGCGGATGGCAGGTCGAGAAGCTGTGGATGGTTTAGAAAATCACGTCAATAATGGAACTTGCGAGGATGTGAAGGTTAATGAACTTGAGTGCCTTCTCGATAAGGAGCGTCAAATGGTTGAAGAGTTGGAATCGAAATACCAAACTCTTCTTAACCAACTCGCAGCTCTCTCAGAAACTGAATCTCAACTACGTGAGGAAGCATCTCGCGCGGATACAGAGCTTAGCATTGTGCGTCGCAATTGCAGGGAATCTGCTCGTCGAATCGAACAAGAGATGGAATTGCGTCGAAAAGCTGAGCAGTCACTAAACGAATTAAAGAAAAAATTCGACGAGGAACAAACTAAACGCGCGAGAGATGCTAGCTCGAGTCAAGCATCGACGGAAAAAATTTCGAATTTAGAAAAACAAGTGAAAGAACTTCAATCTAAATTAGAAAGAGAAACCGAAATGATTACAAGGTTACGGAAACAAGCTGCAGAAATCACTGTGGCTAGACAAACAGCTGAACAATTGGCTACTGAGTTGCAATTATCTAGGTCACAACTGCAATCTCAGAGGGACGCCTTGCAACAAGATGTGGCAAATTTACAAGTAAGCATAAAAAATGTTATCGATTACTACTGCCTGAAACTTTTCGTAAAATTCCATTTTTTTGTAGGGTCAACTTGCCAAAGAGCGGAGCTCACGTTCGCAGGCATCAACATTAACAACTGAACTTGAAATGCGTTTAACATCATTACACAATGAATTGGAGCGAAGTAAAGAACGAGAGGAAAAAGTCACGATCGATAATCGTTTACTCAACGAAAGGATATTAACGCTGGAAAAAGAATCTGCAAGCTTAGCCCTCGAATTGAAAGCTGCTCAGAATAGATATAATCAAGAAGTTGCGTCGCGCCATGAAACTGAACGCTCTAGATTATCACCCAAAGATGAAGCAAATTTGGAAGACTTTAAAGGTTGGTTGCAATTCTTTATTATAGTTCATATATTTGGTCGAGTTAGGTGTCAATTTTATAAAATTTTGAATAAGAAAATAAAGTAGTTTTTTATGATCGATCATTTTAATATGCAATCAGGACGTCGAGACAGATCTTTTACAGGTATAAAGCAAGTAGACAGTAATAAAGATTGTTGTTTATTTTCTGTACAATATTTATTTTTTCAAACAATTCCAATTGAAATATTATTTATAGCTCTTCAAACGAAATTAAATGAAGAAAAAAATGGTCGTCAACGAGCCGAGCTTCTAGCGCAAGAAAAAGAACGGCAAACATCCATGTTATCTGTAGATTACCGCCAAATACAACAGAGACTTCAAAAACTCGAGGGAGAATATCGCCAAGAAGCTGAAAAAGTAAAGGTATTGCAAGGTCAAATTGAGCAGGAGCAAAAAAAACGTAACGTCTTGCAATCTGAACTAGCTCAACAGTCGTCAGAAGCGAGTAGGTTAAAAGAAAGAGAACATCAGTTAGCAGGTGAAGTGACGCAGCTTAGAGAATCGAAAAGGAAACTTGAAGAAGAAGTCCGACAACTGATACAGCAAAAAAATATTGACAAATTACAGATCAAAGACCTGCAAGAAGAAGCTAAACACGAAGGTTACTTTGCCGTACGTATTCTGCTACTTTATGAATTAATTGATAAAGAAGAGACCTTAACTATTGAAATTTTTATTTGTAGTCACTTTACAAAAAAGAAGTTGGACATGTAAGAGACGAATTAGAAGAAAAGTTACAACAACAAAAAACCGAGTTTGAAGAAGAACTTAATTCATACATTCGTCAATTACAAGTGGCTCTTGCAAGAGCTGACACTCAAGCTTTGCAACGTTCCATTGCTGAGGAAACTGTATCTGATCTTGAAAAAGAACGTGTTATGAAAGATCTCGAGCACAAAGAGGCCACTGCCAAACTTCATGTAGACATTGGTTGCAAAGACCAAATGATCACTCGGTTGAAAGAGACCGAATCTAATCTTAAAAAGGACTGCGAACAGATCGCTAATGTAAGAATCAATGCAATTCAATTAACAACCTATTTTTCATACGATAATAACATTGATTGTTACTTAATTTTTAGGAAAGGGATGATTTATCAAAGCGCATAGTAGATTTAAATGAAGAAATAGCAAAGTTGAAGGACAGTGGCGAGATCGCAAAACTGAATGCTAAAATTAAATCTGAAGAAGTACTGAAACAACAAGCCATTAACAAATTATCTGAAGTGCTATTTCGTAAAGATAATTCTCACGGCAAGACAAAGGATAAAGCTTCATCCGCTGATCTTAAGAAAAAAGAAAAGGATTGTCGCAGATTACAACAAGAGCTTACGGCTGAACGCGAAAAATACGGCCAATTGTCTGCAAAGATGCAAAAAGACATTCAAGATTTGCAAGCACAATTGGTTGAAGAAAATCAGTGTAAATTAAAGCTTCAAATGGAGCTGGATTCCAAAGATTCTGAAATCGAGACTCTTCAGGCGAAAATCCAACAAATGAACTCGGAAACGGCGAGTGTGTCGTCTGTTGAAAATGAAGGTGAAGATGAGCATGGCGTTATGCGACTCGAAGGCTGGCTCAGTATTCCAAATAAGCAAAATATCAAGCGTCACGGCTGGAAGAAGCAATACGTGGTCGTATCATCCAAAAAGATTATTTTCTATAACAGCGAAAGCGACAAAATTAACGCCGATCCGGTGCTCATACTTGATCTCAGTAAAGTCTTTCACGTGAGATCTGTTACGCAGGGTGATGTGATTCGAGCTGATGCCAAAGATATTCCTAGGATATTTCAGGTATTATTAAATTTTTGATTTGCTAAATATAAGTGCTTATTGTTTATTTATTTATTTTTAGTTACTTTATGCTGGAGAAGGTGAAGCAAGAAGACCCGACGAGGCTGCTGCGCTGCCTGTACCTGACATGACGCAGAGCGACAAACCTGGAACACAACCAGTTAAGGGACACGAGTTCATCTCTATTTCTTTCCACATGCCTACAACTTGTGAAATTTGCTCAAAACAGCTATGGCATATGTTCAGACCTCCACCAGCTCTTGAATGTCGACGTTAGTTGAAATTCTGTCATGATTTTCATTATTTTAAAAACACGATCCAACGTATTTTTTTCAATTCTTTAGGATGTCACATAAAGGTGCACAAAGAGCACTTGGAAAAGAAAGAAGATTCAATAGCGCCATGTAAATTGCACTATGATCCAAACAGTGCACGTGAAATGCTTGTATTGGCTGGCAGTACTGATGATCAAAAATATTGGGTTACACGTTTATCCAGGCGCATTCAAAAATGCGGCTATAAGGCAAATTCACACATCGACGGAAACTCCGGCGGTTCTGGTCAGCGTATCTCGCCAAGGTAGATTAGCGAACTAATGCATGGTTACGGGGAGTGAGAAAGGTTTTTTAGATGGTAGATTTTATCAATTACCTATGTAAGTGATGGTTGTTTGTGTGCTGTTTGATATTATTCGCGATGATTACTTTTTTATGCTTAATCCAATACTCTATACATATTACAAAAAGTTTTTATACATCCAGGCTATAATATTCACAAGTGTATTTACTATTGTAAATACGCTTGTAGTTGTGACTGATTTTTGACGATCGATGAAACGACGATAAGCTTTAATTTTTTTATTTTATCTTCACTCACTTGCTTATTTTTACTTTTTCATGACTAAAATTCAAATTTATATTTTATACTTTGCAGTTTTAATAAATGCTTTGTTTGAAAATTATTTTTTGAAAAGGCATACGCTTTTATAATACTATGAATAAAAAATGAATAATTGTGCATCTTGCTTAACTCACCTAACCAATTGCACTATTCGTGGCCTTTTTTCGTTATTTTCCAGAGAGTCGACGAGGTCCACACTCAAGCCGTACCTGTCGGCACATCAAAGGTCAGCCACTTTACCTGCGAATGCGAGCATGGGCAAGTGATCAAAATAGCTTTTTCTAAACTTCACATCAATTAACAAACAAGTAAGAGTTAATTTCAAACACACGATGCAGCTGTGTGTGAACTGTTGGTCACGGGAAAATCTTTTTGTTCACTTACATTTAAAGCAAACTACATTCTACACCACCAATATCTCTCTAAACAAAATGATCTAATCTGAATGGTACTCGCTGAACTTTGAAGGGGGCAAATAACCAATTTTCTTACATAAATGCTTGATTAGTTTATATGTATTTGTACAACAACACATCGACGTGCCACGATAACGTTTCTTTTGTAATTTAAAGAATGCTACGAACAATCGATTTTTATACGTAATTAGCAGAAATCTACATTACCATGTTGTTCTTGTAAGTAATTTTTGCTATTTTTTTATGTAAACAAAATATTTTTTTATCAATTATGTACGAATCGTTACTATTGGAATTGTTCACACGTTTGCTGAATTTACATTCATATAATTATTTCTTAAATTTCAACCATTGTATATTTTACGTTTATGTTGCCATGAGTAACAGATTGGTTGAAATTTATGAAAGTTCAAGCTTACAAGCGAATCAAAAAATTTCTGCAACTATAGTATTAAAAATTGTCTATATGAACTATATTATGAAATAGTTTGGTTCAATGAGTATTGAAAAAAATCTTTTTTGATACAAGATGATAGTTTTTTACTCGTTACTAATGATAATGTTAAATGAATTAATGTAATAAAGATGAGAATTTTAGTACTTCAAAAAAGTACGTAGCGTTGAGTCTCCGAGAAAACACTATCGTTCACCGAAAAAAGTACGATTGGATCTTGACTATTTTAATATTTCCATGCTGTTACGATTAAATTCGATGACTCATTTATTAAATATATTTTATCGCGCAAGTTTATTGCATGTATTGCAATAAAAGTAATGAATTAATTAATATGTATAATGTTTTACCCTCTGTGATTCGACGGAACCATATTTTTCATAGTGTTTAATGAATTTTCGTAAATTTTGTAATCAATTTAAAAATCACGTTTACATTTTTGATACACTAAAGTAAGACATTTGACAAATTCGTTTTGTCGAGAAAATTTTTGATACGTGCAAAGAATTTGAACATTTCGTTAGTAGGGCAAACTGAAATGAATGCCTAACTTCATTAGTTCAATAAACTCCGACGAAAAAGAGTATATGAACTTTTTTCTGATGATTCACTGAAAACGTAAGTTATTACAGTAAGCATCGAGGGTCTTCCTATAATTACAACCTTGGAAAATGAATTTGAAATGAGTTAAATATTGAGAAATGAAATGAATTTGATTTAAATTTAAGAAAATTGAAAATTTTCAAGTCAAGTTGTGGCTACCTAATACAATGAAATTTAGATTTAAATGCGATTGAGCTTTTTACATGTTATTTTTATATTGTTATACTATTAAGACAAATTAGCATTCGATAAACGTGACTGACGATTTAAGTTAAAATACTTTTTGTTTTTAATACAATTTTTGTTAATATAGACTAAGTGTCGACATTTCATGGATTTTCTTACATCGATGAGTGATATTAAATCAAGATAAATTTTTCTCGAAAATAAAAACTTTATTACGATTGCGATCAATTTAAGTAATCCACTGTTTAATTGACAATACATTATGTTAAGCAGCCTGCATTTGAAGTACTTTTCAGGGTAAATAGAGTGCGCCATATTACGTGTGTATCGAAGATAGATGCTTTGAAAAATAGTTATTTTGTTTTTCTAACGAATTTCATTTCAAGAAAATACGAATGAAAGGTAGAAATAGCTACAAAATATATGAAAAAAAGTCTCATACCAATCCGTGCCAACAAGTGCTTTAATTGTTTCGTTGATAAATAAATACGTTGATTTCATCGTATCATGCATCTCTCCTTGTATATTGTTCATTTTTTGTAATTAGTGGGTTTGCAGCGAATTGGTGCTTATTAAGCTCGTCCTTAACATGATGTTCACGTATACGAAAAGGGAAGTCAATTTGATTGTACGATCAAGCCATGAAATGTACAAATAATCATGAAAACTGCTCTGTGCCTTATCCCTTTTTGATCTCTTTTGCGTCTAGGTAATACCTGAACTTCATTATATGTGGGATGTACAATAACTTTTTTATCTCTATTTTAAGTGAATATAAATGTACTTTTTTCAAATGAAAGTGTGTAGCAATCGGATTTTCGGAATGTAAAGAGATGAAAAGAAAAAATGATTTTAGCTGCGATGAATGTATGAATGAATGGATAATGTCTTGAATAAAATTGTATGATGAATTTGTTACAACGTATTTTATTATTATTGTTTAATTATTTACATTCTTGTATATTGATAATTACTATTATTATCATTATTATATGATTAAACTATTTTGTAGATAATTTTCTAGTTTATTTTCTTCTTTTATTAACCTTCATAAAGTTGTATCTCTACATTTTTTGTAATACATAGCGAAGACCAAGGTTAATTGTTGACATTTATTTCAAATTCGAAATTTCACAATACATGTATAAGTATTAACATTATTGGTAATAATGATTCAATATTGTTTTTTGCTATTTTATAGACAACATATGAAATCGTCATTTATTTTTCTTCTTGCTGCGAAAGAATGAAAAAAGGACGGGTTTGGTAGTTGGGTTTTATTCAACTGGATTATGAGCGTTCGGCCTTCATCTCTTCAGACAAAACGAAATAATAAAAAACTATAGTTGATGAATTTTTAAGCGCACTTGTGAGTAAATAAAAACAAAATCATCATGTTTCTGCAGTCAACCGAGAGCCGAATACTGTATTTTTGATTTTTTCGTCAAACTCGAACTAAAGTCAATAAAATTGGTCGTTTTTTTATCATCAATACATCTACTCTCGAGTTATTGTGCAAACGACTCGTTCGTTTAAATATGCTAAGTATAAAAAGCAGTCGATCTTTTTATTTTCAAACGCTACGAATCGGCACTCGGTTTCTGCTCTTGTATTTTAAATATTTTTGCGAGCAGCAAGGTTTCTACTAATTAAAGTCTTAATTGAACGTTGAGATTACAAATCGACCCCCGAGACGAAAACTGGCAAATAGTAGGGTTTTCGAATTTCAATTAGCATAGAGTACATATTGTACTTTCCACAGAAAAGCAAAATATTTCCCATATTTAGGCGAAATTCGAAATATCTACAACAATCTGAGACTGACTAAATTTGAGAAATTTTCGAAGTAGGCTAGTTTTTGTCTCGGGCATTGAAATATACTGCAGAGTTGTAATACATATTTATTACTGAGATGATGTGTATTACTTTGTGAAGAATAATATTGCGCCTTTTTTCAAATAAAACGTCCTGTTTATGATTCTCGATTATGACGTACCATTGTTAAAGTTTACAGGGAACAGTGCCTATCAGATTACAGTTGATAATTGCTTATAAGCTGCGCAGCAGTTGATTCAGTAATTTGACAGTTTTCATTTTAGATGAATGAGTAAACCACTTGAGAAGGTGTGAAAGTTACGTCGACAAGTAACTGAGTGATACAAATGTGAAATATAACTATTTAAAAAATCGCGAATATAAAAAAAAAATATTATTTACAGATAATATCTTTGGCTTTATGTCATGTAATAAGTCATATTAAAACTTAACAATTTTTTCTATCTACCATAACGTAAATACAATTTTTCGTTAAAAAACTAAAACAAACAATAGCAATCTCATTTGATGGCTTTCAAAAGTTTGACGTTCATTTCTTCCAATAAATATATCCAATATAAATTGACACCAGCGAGCCATTGGTATGTAACAAAAAAGGGAAAGAAAGAAAAGAAGAAAAAAGAGAAAATGAGATGTGGCTCACTTATCCCGTTGCTCGCATCAAATCACGAGTGTCAATTCTCAGGCGCGTCTTGCATCTCGTATACTACTTGCGTACCAAATTAGCAACCATCTGACGTCCAATCATCAATTTGGTCGGTCTATTGATGGCTATCAATTTTCTCTTACTATTTTGTTGCTGTTGCTGCGACTTTACAGGCTGCTGTTGTATTTTTTGCTGCTGCAGCTGCATTTTGCGCTCAAGGAGCTCCTGCTTGGCACCACTGCAGAGACACAAAAATCGTTCAATCGTTTTGAGTGCAGAGCAATTGGTGGCGCGCAATGAAAGCATGATAATTATGGAGCGATAGAGAAAGAGAGATGGATCGGGTTGTTGTTGTTGTTCAAGCAAACTACCAGTTTTCTTTTTTCTTTTACTAAGGTGAGCTATCTCGTTTATTGTTATAATCACGTTGTTTTTCTCAGAAATTGCTATCGATGAACTATTTTTTTCATTTCATATATTAAATTTATACGATAGTGATAAGTATAATAATTAAGACAAAATTACATAGGGGGTCGTACAAGTAAAGGTATTATGCATATAATAACAGGTTTTTGATAGTAGTAGTGTCAAACAGCACTGGATTAATCGTGTCTCGAAACGCATTTTCTTATTCCTCGATTATTACCAAACGATCATACGTATTAAATGAAAAAAAAGCATATTAATAATTAACAAAACAATTGCACAATATACGGTGAATGTATAAGTATTTACAATTGGCATTACGTGTGATGGTAAAATATACAAAAAAATTTGAACAGATACAAGCATATTTATCGATTCACACGAACGATTACACACACTTATGATTGTAATAAAAAGAAAAAAAGAAAAAAAATAATGACAATTCATAATCGTCATTTGACTATTATTACGTGCTCGAATACAATTAATAAGCTCTTAATGAAGGATCAAAGTAATTCACATTTACGCCATATAACGCGAACACTCAATACGTACGCGCGCGCACACACACACACACACACACACACACACACACACACATACACGTCACGCACACCGAGAGAGGAAGACACGCAGAGAGAGCTTAATTCAATGATTTTTGCGCTTTTTGGCTGTTTGGCTTTTTTTTGTTTTGCTTTGCTTCTGGAAAAAGCGACAACTTACAGATAACGGGTCAAGTCCTCGACGTCGACGAGCATCGAGTCCTGTTCCATGAGTAACTCGTCGCGCAGCATGAGGCCCTCGACCAGAGCCTCGTTGAGGCCGGCGATGCGCGCATGAAGGTCATCGGCGAGCACTTCGAGCTGCTTGACGTTCAGATCGGTGAGCAGCGTGCGGGTGAGACGACGACGATCCTCGCCCAGCTGCACGTTGATCTGCGCACGCGAAAATCAATTTATCCTGCGATCCTCCGAAGACGCGATACATTAGCGGGTAAATTGCCGAACTTACCTTGTCGAGACTGGCCCTGACCATCTCGGTGATGGGCAAGCACTTCATCTTCTGTCTCTCGAGCTCCATGTGCATGTGCGCCAGGTCCTTGGCTTGAGCCAGGGCCAAGCGGGCCTCCATGCGCAGGCGTGCCTGACGAGCGAAGAAGTCCGCCTCGTCGAGGGGCTTCGTGTACTCCTGAGGCAGCAGCGCCGGCCTCAGCGGCGGAATCTCGAGCAGTTGCGGCCTCTGTACGGGTGGCTGTTGCTGTGGCTGGGGCTGGGGCTTCGGTGTCTGCTGCTGCTGGCGTTTGGCCGGTGTCGAGGTCGACGAGGAGGCGACCGACGCAGGCCTCGAGGCATCGTCGCTGAACTCCAGACCCGCCAACGACTCGTTGTCCGAGGAGTTCTCGTTCATGAAGCAGATCTGCATCTGCATGCCGTTGAGCAGTCGCGACTGTAGGCTGGGTTTGCGGCCCTGGGCGCTGCGTGCCTCGTCCGTGTCCGGGCCCATGGCCACTCGACGACGGATCTCCTCGCGGCTGGTGCGTCTCTGCGAGAGGATTCGGCCAAGAGAGAAAAACAAGACAAAAAAAAACAATGAGTGTCGACGATCGACAGCCGATGGCGATCGTTGTGTACTGCACTTTCACTCACGGCATCGTCCGATGCGACGATTTGATCGTTATACTTATCGTCGTTGTAAGTGAGCGTATAGAGATCGCCGACGAAGCGCGAGTCGACTTTGTAGTGCCGTCGCTTCTCCCTGATTTTGGCGATGATCGACGGCGGATCGTCGGACATGTTTTTTTTTTTTTTTATTCTCGCACTATTTTTGCCGACGAACTAATTCAGCTCGCGAAAGAAAAAGCATATCGCGCGCTAGAAACTCGAGACTCGAACTACATAACTGGAAACTCGCGCGGCTCGCGTCTCGCGCTAGACCCCCGCGAGTGAAAGTGCGCACCAGTTGTGGCATGTGTATGTAACAACGAGGAGGAGGCCCCACTACTCCGCGATTAGGACAATGCGCCTTGCGCAAAATAATAATAGGCAATCGACGAAAATTTGTTATGCAGTATATATGTATTATAATACTCACTCGGCGTTCCGCGTCTCTGGCGGCCTTGAGGTGCGATTCGATAACGTCCATGTCGATTTTCGGCATCGCCGTCTCCGTGCTGTAAACGTCGTAAGACTCTGCAAGGAAACAGCGCCAACAATTCAGTTATAGGCCGGACGCGCTCGCTCGAGTTCCGCATCGCTGCGGCCCAAGAGTAAAGATATGATATGCGATATATCAAAAACTTGCCATTCTCTATCCTGCTTTGCTGCTGCTGCTGCTGCTGTCGGTGTTTCATCTGATTCTTTTCCTCGTTCTTCATGTTGTCGATCTCGACGACCACGTCGGGCACGGACAGTTGCCTCGCGCTGATCTCGCAGTCGTCGTCGGCCCTCAGTCCGGCCAGCAGATCGATCTGGTCGAGCTTTTTCACTTCCGGCTGGAGCTCGGTGAGACCGGGCTGCTGCTGCAAATTCTCCAGCGACCTGGCCTCGCGAATCAGATCCATCGAGTCGTCGTGTCGTTTGTTGCTGCTGTTGTTGTTGACGTTGACGTTGACGTTGACGTTGATGTTGTTGAGAGGGGGCAGTGACGGGGCGGCCTCTTCCTCGGCCTCGCTGCTGTTCTTGGACTCGATCTCCTCGATCTGGGGGAACTGCATCGTCTTGGTGCTGAGCTGCTGGACCTCGACGACGTCCTGCTCCTGGCGGAACTCGGCCTTGTTCATGCACTCGATCAGCGCCCCGACGCTCTCGTGAATGTTGAAGGTCGTCTGCTGGTAGATCTGGCGGCGGCGCTCCTCGGCGTTGCTCAGCGACAGCAGGTCCAGCCGATTGATCACGTTGCCCTGGGTGTCGCGCGCGTTGCTGCTGTTGTTGTTGTACTCGTCCTCGTACTCGTCGTCGAGGTCGCTGCGCTCGTCGTCGGTCGTCGTGTCGTCCGTGTCGGACAGCAGCGACGGGGCCAAGTGCTGGAAGCCCGGATAGTTGGGATTGACGATGCCGCGACAGCCCTGGGGTAGATTCCCGTCCTCGGAGTACTCGGACCACTCGGAGTTGTCCTCGTCCGGCTCGTCGTCGTCGTCGTCGTCGTCCTCCTCCTCCTCGTCTTCCGAAGGGTGGGGAGACCTGGCTACGAAGTAGGGCTCGCAATCGGTCAGATCCTCGGCGGAGCTGCTGAGATTGTAGCTGTTGTCGAGATTGATGTTGTGATCGATGAATATGTTGTTTTTGTTGTTGCGCGTCAGAGCGAGAGACGAGTAAACACCGGTGTCCTGGCCGAGACGAAACTCCTCGTTGCTCACGTCCTGCTGCTGTTGCAGCTTATTATCGTCCTCGTCATCGATCGTCGCGCTGTTGTTCTCGTTTTGATTTATCTCCGGCGAGTACTGAGGCTGACTGTGCAAACGAAAACGAAAAAAGGAAAAATTAGTCTCTCTCAAAATGACAATGGGTGTATAGTTGGTATAGGTATATCGCTGCTCGGTACGCGACTCACTTATTGTTCTGCAGTCCATTCTGATGCATCAAATTGCAGATCATCATCTGATCGTTGAACCTCATATTGTCTGGTGTTTATGGCGCAGCAGGCAGCCGGTCGAGAGGGCCTGAAAGCACAGTGGCGCACAAGAGCTTTCATCATCGTCGTTCGTCTGTTTGTATATTATACATGTACAGCGATCTATGTATACGGTTGCGGTGCAGCTCCAAGCTCAACTGAACACGACTCGAGCTTCGAGTGCAGCGAACAAAGCGCAGCTAGGTGGCTTTGCTGTGGATAGTTGTATGTGTGTGTGTGTGCTCAGTGAGATAATGCCGCGAGAGCTTTTTGACCCTCCCGGCGCCATAGTGGCGCTTGCACTAAAACTTATCGTCTCTCTCTCTCTCTCTCTTTCTCTCTGTGTCTGCCTGTATATTATATGCCGTGCGCTCTATATATGTGTCGCGCAACACTCGCCGAAATCGATATACGATGCGCGCACGCTGCGACAGACCAACGCCACTTTATTTATACCGCTCGCGTCCTACCATAAATTAGCCACCTATAGGGCCATTTCATCGAAGGATTACGATCGCTCGCCGATGCTATAATCAAATCTCGCCTCTCCTTTCTCGGTGGAAAATCACTCGAGCACAAGGATTTCTCGTGCCGCATGACCATTTCCAAGTCGCGAGGAGGAGGAGGTGAGGGGGGCTGTGGGATCGCTTTACATACAGGCCTATAAGGCGCAGAGAGTCAGCACGAAATACGAGCCGAAGCCGAGGCCCGCTAACTAAACGCGGCTAACTAAACTAACGCGTGGTCGATAAAATAAGCTACCTTTTCTATAATCTTGAATTATAAATGAGCCCCGCGATACATAAAACCCGTCGCGTGTTTTAATTTTTCACCGACTCACGTCGGGTGCGTGCGTACCTGTATAATAATATCATACACGACTCGGATGGACGCGCGAAAAGCTCGAGCGACGGACGAGATAAACAATTATATGTAATAATGCACGCCCGATAGGGAGAGAGAAAGAGAGTCTATATGCATTGAAGTCCTACAGTGCATATAGGTGCTCGTGCAGCCCATCGATCGATCTATAAAACGGATAGTGTAGCTACTGATGAGCGCGGCAAGGGCTTGGGTGTACCGAGAGAGATTGACTATACTGTAATATGTAATAGCGCACGGGCGGCCGGCGGAGGCCTACTTTACAAAGAGGATCGCGAAATTTTCTTCTTCGGGGATTTTCTCGTTCGAGTCTTTCATTTGACCGAATTACGCTCAGTCGACCGAGTTTTCATCTTCCGCGTTAGAGAAAATAAGGACGAAGGGAATTGCGAAAGCCCCGCGGGTAATTTAGCAAATTGTGAATGCGGTCGCCCTCCTTGCGACGCGTAATCAATTTCATCACGGCGACCTTAAAAAGCTCGCATCTCTTCACTCTCTCTCTCTCTCTTTCTCGCTTTCTCTCGACTCGATGCGGAATTTTTCATTATCACCGCATGCCTAAAAATAGATAATGCGTGCACAGAGTCGCGTACGCGGCAACGAGCTTATTATAATTTACATTTTTTTCTTGCAAGCTCGCTCGACTGAGAAAATCGTTAAATCACTCTATCTCTCTTTCTCACTCTCCCTCTTGCCTCGCTCGTGCGCGCAGACTCCCGAAACTGACACACACGAAAGGGGGAAAAGCCACTCCAAGCTCGCGCTTCGTATCGCTTGATTCGCCTACATCAATTACATTTTGCGTTTGTTTATTCATTTGTCACTTACGGTTTAGAGGATGAATCCGTCGCTGTCCACACTCGATTAGCCGAAGAAACACGATATCCCCGAGGGTGGACGAATCTCGCCGATTCTATGTAACATACACAGCGACGAGAAGCCCCGTATCCGAGAAAAACGAGCAATGTGTCTACCCTAGAAGGCAGCGAATGTACTACTGGAAGGGATGTTTTGCTACCACTGCACGCTCAGTATTTCCACTTAGCCTCCCTTTTACGTGTCGCGGACGCATGCGTGGCTCGACCAGCTACCGCAGCTGAGTGCCGCTGCAGGCCTTTTATTCGAGGGCGCGGAAAGAAATAAAAGCTTTTATGCGATCTCGTTTCGGATTATTTTATTTATGGAAATTGTGTATACTTGGAATACAAACATTCGAACAGTCAATTACATTTAATTAAATTGTCCCTATAAAATCGTCGCTTTCCGACGAGAAAATATACAATTTTTAACAATAAAAATAAATATTGTCAATCAGAAGTACGCATAGCGCGTACGCGATGTAACGAAGAAAACATTTTACATCAATAAGATTTTTAATAGTGTACATATATAGTTTTATTATGCGTATAATAAAAAGTTCATCGAGATGTTTTTAAATATACGTTTTTTTTGTCTAACGTTGAGTATCGTTCAAGTATTGCTTAAATATTACACAGTTAAGTTCGAATACTGAAAATGGTTTCGTTATTATACTAACTTTTTTATTATGCAAATTGTAATCAATTCAAAAAATTTCATAAAACGTACAAAATTCATCAAAAACTTTTCTATAATAAATTGTGCAAATTTACTAAAACTATACGTATAAAAAATTACGGTAAACTTGGCGATTATTACAAACAACAATCATTTGTTGCGCTTCAAGTAACAGCAGTCTGCGACATTTGTACATAATTCGAAACATAAATGTTTTACAACATTAAGGCGGCGATACATATAAATATGTATTTTTTTACGGTTTGAGCTTAAATTATTTGTTCACATGACTTATATTCATTTAAAAACATTACTTCATTAATCGAAGTTAAACATAAAAATTTGCTAATATTAATATGATATAGTTGATTTGCATGTTGAAACTATTTTAGCATACAATTTTCAACATAATCTTACAAAATCTTAATAGGTCAATATTGAATAACTGATAGTTCCATTAAGATGATTCTATTTGTTTAAATATATCACATAAGAACATTTAAAAGGTTCTACCTTCAATAACGTAGTGATAAAGGTTAACCCATATTCAAACATTATCTAAAATGTTTTAACCCATGAATTGATAAGTAGCAGAGACTGGCTGTGGTGCTCGGGGCTGCGTATGGGAAATACGTTGAATGTGACATGCTCGGCACATCAATCTGCCTTCCAATGGATAGCATCGTTTATCTGGCTCATCAGTTAATTGCATACCACAATCTTCGCAAACATAACAATCAACGTGGAAATCTTTGTCCATTGAAACTACTCGCACGGTTTCTTCGGTACCCTAAAATAAATTATTGAGTTACAAATTGTATTATTTTTTAGTTCTGTATAAAAGAAATCTGTATGAAACAAAGTCAAATGAAACAATAAGTAATAAGTGTTGACGATGAAACATTCAATAAGAAAGTCAATAAGAAAGGAAGGAGAAAGTAATAAACAAAACATAACAAAACCAAACAAAACGCACTTCGATATCGTTTACCTCAACGGGCGTTATTCCTTTACCACATGAAGCACACTTAGGTGCAAACATTCTGTGATAATCATTAACGCAGTATATCTTGTTATCTATGTCAACAGTAAATGGAACTCCGTCTAAACACTCGTTGCAGACGCAGCATCTGAAGCAGCCGGGATGATATGATTTACCCATTGCTTGCAAAATCTGTCAAAAAATATAAGAAATTAGAACAATTAAATTAAAATTGTTTATTTTAAAAATCGTTTTTTTACCATTTCCATGATCAGATGGCCACAAATAGCACATTTCTCAGCAGTTTGTTGGAATCCAGAATACTGATGAAAATTAAATAGTTAATGAAAAAATTCAGATTTTTAAAATATTTTGAATTCTTACTAAATAATCTTCTTCGCAGTAGACTCGTCCATCGACGTTGTAGAAAGCTTTGCCTCGCAATGCTCGTCCACAAGAACAGCAAATAAAACAATTAGTGTGGTATAAGTTACCCATGGCTTGACAAGCTTGGCCGACGCCAGTCACTTTTTGCCGGCAGGTGTGACAAATACCTAAAAAAATGAACGTTAAAATGAGTCATATGGCGACAAACTTGTTTTAAGAAAGGTAGCGTGGGTGAAAGCTGACGCATTTATTTTTGATACGCTTAAAAGTACTCGTTAGAATTCAAATTTTAATTTACCAAAGTATTCGCCTTTTTCTTCTTGTTTTTCCATTTCTTCTTCCAACTGCCGAGTCAATTCTTCTATTTTTCTTTCCGCTTCAGTTGGTCCCTACAATTGTAAATTTAAAACGTGTTTGATTGAAAAGAACGACCGAGTATAAAATAGTTCAAAATTCATGTGAATATTTACCGATGAACGAGACGTTACATTGAAGGGCAAAAGCCCTTTACCCATTATAGGTTTCGCCGGGGGATTTGACGGTGTAGAATCTAGATCGAAATGTTTCTTTATTTGTGGCACTCCATCGCTCATAGTTACTGGACCAGCTATGCCACTTGTCACTCCAGGAGGTAAACTTGTTATACGGGGCCCGTACGATAGCGTATCATCCGATGTTCGTGGGGTTTGTTGAACTCGAGATACAACTTCCTGAGATGCAATTCGTGGATAGCTTACTCGTGATGCGAATTGAACTGATTTCCGTGGTGTTTCGGCTGGTTGATCCATAGAACGTTCATTAGACGGACTAGGTGAATAAGACGTCTGCTCCGAGGCTGGATAATGACTTGGGCTTGACGTACCAGAGTCCGAATGATGTGTTTGTTGATTGTTTTGAACGGAACGGCTTGGCGAATAGCAATGAACGTTTCTATGTTACACAAAGAAATATTTTTTAAAATTATTTTTTAACAATTTAGAATTTACAAAAGAAAATTAGCATACCTGCTGAGTTGATCAGAAGGCCTTGGAGCATTAAAAGCAGCTGGCAAGCTTCGTGAGTGGGCATCATTATAATAAGTGGCATTCATTGAATTAGCACTCATAGGTCCCTGCTCTGTGTATTGTTTACCAGATGTAATTTCTTCTTGCCGATAATGATTACGTTGACTAGGTGTATCAATAGTTGCATTGCGATAATGCTGGTATTGCTGTTGCTGCTGAGGTGTTTCATTAGGATAGTGAGCAGTTGACGATTCTGGATGATATGAGGAATTAACCCGAGTGTGAAACTGTGACTGAGGCTGTTGTTCATAAGCATAGTTTTGATGTTGCTGAAGTTCTGAAGGTGGAACATAGGTACTCTTATTGTTAAGCTGATCTATAGCTGACGTTAAATATTTATTACAAAGAGTTTGGTCGTAGGATCTTTGTAATAGATGATCATAATTTTGTAAACGATTTAAACTCTCTTGCAGAGATAGAGCTGATTTTTGATTTGACGCAGAAGTTCCTTTACCTGTCATTACTACATAATCACCACCATTAAGATTCAAAGAATTGTAGTAACTAGTGGGAACTTGAGGCTTAGCTTTGGGTTTATTGGATTCTGTCGCATATTGAACATCCTGAATATTTTCATAAACTGGTGGTGCTTCATATGGTGGTAGTTCTTTTGCCGGTGATGCAGTTTGATAACGATTGCTTGTAGGTACTTGAGGTTGAGCTTTTTTTAACAAAGTAAGTCCGTCTGGAGCATTCATACAAGCCTGTTGCTAAAATAAAAATGTGAGTATAAAATTTTGATGTCTACGAAAAGTTACAATTATTGTTTATTAAAAACTTTTAATTTACCTTGTAATTAGGATCATAATGATCCCCTGCTATAGATGTTCTAGGACTTTGTATGGATCTTCTTCTTTCCACTCCATGAAAGTAAGGAGGATAATTTTGTCCTGAATGTTGGGAATGGTAGTCAATATTTTCATAAACTGGAGAATCTTTCTTCTCTCTATCATCTAATTGTTCCACTGCTTTTGGTGTAGCAAATCTGGATGAAGCTATCAAGTTATCTCTCTCATACATTTTGTATTCTGGATGTTGATGATTATCACTCTCTAAAAAACTCTCGATGGCACCAACTGATTTTTTCACTGGTACCTGTGCTTCGGGTCTGGATCCAGTAACTCTTGGAACGTCATCGTCGAAACGCAGGTAAGATAGCTTTTGGATAAGCGAAGGGTCCGCCGAGTCACACATTATGAATATCGTCTAAAGTAACACTAGGTAAAAAATGTACTATAAAAGTGTAAAAATGATCATCTGTCAGCGAGGCCGATGAGGCATATCTCGAAAACTGCTATGATTCACTCGAAAGACGATGGCAACAGGTAATATGTGCGCGAGTTTTACTGCTCTCCATGAGCGTGCATGAGCTCAGTGGCATTCAAGATCGAAGTCTTTGTACAGAACGAATTTTCCAGTTACAATACACTAAGGAGAGGACACGCACGTATACATAGGCTATGGTATATATGCTTTATATCTGTATAGTATACACTGACACAGAGAGAAAGAGAATAGGATGATGGTGGGGAAAAATCACCACCTGCCCCGTGCGAGTGTGCGAAGGACAAATTGTGGCAGAGGAGCCTGTATTGCACGGGATTCGCCTGGAAAACTTATCACTCGGCACTGCTTCGAGGAGCTCGATGCTTCGGGTTTAAAGCGATTTCGCGATAGACCGAACGAGCGTCGAGAACGTAAAAAGTAAAACAGAAATTAAAAGGAGCACGTAGAGCGGTCGGCGTGTATAAAGCCCACAACAGCTGCGGCGGAGAACGAGCTGCTTATGTTGTTGTTGCGAGCTGCTGCCACTACTGCTCCGTTTTGTATATATGTGTGCATAAGCTGCTTCGCACTATAGGCGCTGCTGCTGCTGCTGCTGACCAAACGAGCGAAGAAAGAAGCCGAGTGCGTACACAGTGCTTCATAGGCTGGAAAGTATATCTATATCGATGGGGGCGTTCGGTCGCGATCGGCTGTTTTCGTGCACGCCGATGAAATCAGCGGAGGCGCCGGTACTGCCAACAGAACGACTGCCAGAGTCGGTTCGTTTGCGATCGAGCGAAACCGAACATCCTCAGCGATTGATAATACATTTTTATAAGAAAGTATGTTTTCTAATGGACCGTATGAAAATGTCGAAGTCTAAATATTTAAACTCTTTTATAAATAATTAAGGAAAGGGTATGTATCAACAATCCTTGGCAGCTGATATATTTGTGTAAATAAAGGCTTTTTCGGCTCAAATCAAAATTTTTGTAAAAATAAATAAAAAATGGTCCTTGTAATGTTTTTCAGCATCAATTCAGTGAAAATAGTATCATTTTATCATGACCTGAGTAATCATGTAATACCGGACAAGATAGTCTACTTGCAGGCGCTTTAACGCAGCAAAACCGGTCTGTATTTATTATTTTTCTTTGATTTTTAACAGTTGAACTATTTCGGATATGTGCATGTACCTAAATAAGTATTTATCTTTCGTAATTGACGAAGAATAAAGATTAAATAAACAATTTGAAAATACATTGAGTATCTCGGTGCTGTACACACTTGCGAATCGTCGTCTAACTATTTCGAAGAAAAATTCCTTCTCTCTTGAGATTGCATGCTGATCGTTGTTTGTTATGTACACATTGCACATATTGTACACGCACATGTGTAGTCCAGTATCGACACATGCGAGCGCGTGTAATTTGCTATCAGTGTCGGGTTTTTAGGACTTGGTTGCAATCTGCATCTTGTATAAAACTTAAAAGATTGAAACTCAAATCTTTTGAAAAAAGGATTTAGGTCAATTGGAAACATTAAGAAATATCAGTGATGATGTTCAGAATACGCGAATGTAAATATATTTACTTATTTTCTTTATGGAATATGATTAAATAAGTATTAAAATTTCTTAATAGGATCGATCAAAAATAACAATCTCGATCAAAATTTTGGTCTTTGAAAAGCTTTGTTATAGCCTAAATCATTACTTTTATAAGTATATTATATGCATTTAATCAATTTAATCCAAATGTAAATGAAAAGGTTGATTCATTTCAATTTTATTTGACACGCTTCATAGTAATATTATTACTGTTGATAATATAGATTTCTTTGGTAAATACTAATGCGTTGTGATATCGATAGGAGCATTGATTCATTTTATTATTGATTCAATATCGATAAAATATCAAAACTGATTCACTGCAATGGTTATCCTGAGCCACAAAATAAAAAAAAGAGCAATTCAAAAATATTCATTTTCCAAGGTTAATATTCTAAGACGTTTTATTTACCACATTCAACCAGCTCTAAATACTGTTTAAAAAAACTATCAGTCAAAATATTTAAGAGATTGATGCGAGATTGATTCTCTTCTCCTATTATTATATATGTACAGGATGTTCTATTTCGATTTTATTAACGTCCTTTTGATTCCGTTAAAATTTTCGGAACCCAAGATTCGTTAATAAAAGCTTCATTCAACTACTATACCGCATCATTAGTAAAATAAGAGGTTCAAATATTAAAATAATTAAGAACGTTATAAGAACAGAAAAAAATAAAATCGAATGAGAATATTACAAAAGTAAGAAGCGAAATTTGCAAAATACTATAAACTACCCCCATGAGCGAGTACCAATCTGAAGCGAGAAATGCACTCGCTCGCGCGCATGTTCTATAAAGCAGGAGGAAGGAAGCTAGGGACTGGGTGGGTTAGCCACCGCAGCCGCCGCCGCCGCCGCCTCCGCCGCTGCACCGAGAGCAGAGCAGAGTGCAATGCACGTGCGATATAAGACACTTATAGATTCTCTGCAGTAGAGAACCCCTCCCACGCGTCGGCTATATTGATCCTATACCCCAGCGTGTTTTGGCACGCAGCTAACTCCTCGTCTACTCTCTGCACTCTGCTGCCCTCGCGCACGCGTTTCTCTGTCTATGTGTTTGTGTGTGCGAATACACGAGCGACGATGTGCGAGTAAATAATCGTGTCTAGCGCTGCTGCACGCGTTCGGTGGACTCGTCTCTCTCTCTCTCTATTTTCCATCTTTATGAGAGAAAATCCGACGCTTTCGCCTGGCTCGTAGCTGCGATCGAGTGGGTATCGAGCTTGCAGCGACTTGTCATGGGTGAGACCACGTCCCCGGTGTTAGATCCGATGTATAAGCATGATATTTCTAACGCAGTGTCTCCTGGCCTACATTCGCCAATGAACGCCAATGCGGAAGGGAATCAGCACGAGGCGGCGTCTTAATGGGACACAGCGCGACGAGCTTACAAAGTCTTAATTTGCACAGGTGAGATTGTTTGTGTTTGCATTGCTGCGTGAAACACACCTTTGATTGTTAGATTCGGTGTTTTACGTGTCTCTTACTCTATTATCTTTTTTTTTTACTATACTAAACATGAATTTACTCACCACGATTACACGTTCATTCTATTCGCACACATGGTTTTAGAGACTGAAAATCTCGAACATGATAACAATATTACGAGGAATACGATGAAACATTTTCTGTGCGTAGAGGTATATTAATCGAATGTGCAGGAAAATAAGTTATCTGCGTCTTCGATACGTTTACACAAGGTAAATACACACGTTATGTAATTAGAAATCTTACGATTATCTCACTTAAATTAGCTTGACTACTGAAAAATAATATTCTAAGCCAAATTGTTTTATCGTACGAAACGCTGCTGTATGCGAAGGGGCAAGTAAACTCTCACTCTCAGTTTGTATATTTGATCTCAAAAATCTTTACTTAAAACGACTTTGATAAATAGTTATCTTTGCATGGATTAATTGCAGTACTCTTATTATTTTCTCTAAACTTCATAGATTTAATAGTTACGTAGCTCTATAAAAAAATTATTTGGCAGAAACGATTAAATCGAATACAAGTAATTAGAAAAACACATCGTTATAGAGATATAGTTAATTTTTTATTTCTTTCTATTTTGCAAAAATATCAATCTACTATGAGCACTACAACACATTGATAATTACTTAAAAGAAGATCGAACAGATCCAATTTAATGTTCGTACAACAATATTTATCGAATATAATCTGTTGTGGCAGGTGGGCAAGAGTGTAGGGGCGCTTGAATAGGACAAAATCGTCGGATATGTTGGACTCATTACAAAGGTGAGATGTTTGGGTTCACGACGAAAAACATGGCAACGCAGCGCATCCTAATCGGTGAGTTCGGTCAATTGATTCTCATTGACTCTCATGATTAATTATTTCATTGAATTTATTGACGAACATTTTTAAGACACTACCGGGGACGGTAAGTGCATTGCATATGAAAAACCGTAGCACCTGTAAATATGATTATTATTATACCTCTATTTAGTCGACTCTCTATTGTACAATTCGATTTTTCTTCAGAGTACAATTCAGTACAAATTATGCTCGTAGATGATTAATGCCCATTGTTGAGAAATGCGATAACGTTTCGTTGCAGCGATCGCTGTACTCGCCGCGCTAATCGGTATCTGTCACGCCGAGTGTCAAAGTGAGTATCCCATTATAATATCGAGATCATTAGAAAATCTCGTGAAACGATAAAACGTCGATTTATATAAAAAACGAGCATTTGCTCCTCGATGAGAAATTAAATTGCAAATGAAATTTTCGAATGTCGCCATCAGCGAGGTCGGTCTACTGCTACGAATGCGACTCGTGGACGGACCTGCGCTGCAAGGACCCGTTCAATTACACGGCTCTGCCGAGGGACCAGCCGCCCCTGATGACCTGCAACGGATGCTGCGTCAAAATGGTCCGCAATGCCAAATCACGTAGGTGCCCTTTTTCTCGGCTTCGGTTCAATGAGCTACAGCTTAGAATCTACAGCGGCAACATAATATTTCTCTTCTTTTTTTTTCTCTCTTTCTTTTTGCAGCCTACGAAAGCGTTCGGAGAACGTGTACGTCGCAACTGCAGATAAACTTATTCATGGTCGACCACGTGTGCATGATGGAAAGTACCGGCACTGGTCACATGTGCTTCTGTGAGGAGGATATGTGCAATAGAGTCTTGCCCTCCTCGAAGCCTATTTATTCCCTCGTCCTTGCCTCGACTGTCCTCGCTTTTTCTTTTTCACTGTTCAACCGATGATCGCTTGCTCGCTAATTAGCCTGACTTTTATCTCTCGTTCAAATCTCATCAAATTCTTATTTCTATTTTTAGTTCGTAGTTTATTGGTTTTTCAACATAGCTTTAAGGTTCATGAATAATTTTGTGATATACGTAATATATAATTAGAAAATTTAGTCTTCCGTATCATAAAGAATATTTTCTTCCTGTAGATATATCGCCAAGTCAATCCAAGAATTAAGTATAGCTTATTTTCTATGTTCATTCTAACAACGAATGCTTTTGCTAACAAAAAAATGTGAGGAATCTACTAATTCACAATATTCACAATATTCGTATATTAAATATTATGCTTCAATTTTCAAGCTCATTATATTGTAAAAAAGTAGATTTAAATTTGAACAAAAAAATTTTAAATTAATAATTTTTCTATTGCAAATCCACAACAAAATTCATAGAATTTAAAATTAATTTTCTTTTATATTTTTACTTACACGTTCTTTCTTATCTAATTCTTTATTCTCCTATAACTTATGCTGTAATTTTATCATTTTTATCTTTTTTATCAGCACACTATGGGCTGACTATCGAATGTATATTTTTCCTTCAATTTTTTTTCTTAGCATATCGCAAATTTTAAACATTCATCATTCGATGAAATCAATAGTATAGAACATAAATAATAATTCCACTTCTTATTACGCATGCATTCGACTATGAAATATTTTTCAATCTTATTGCTCGTTTAAATTTCAAAAATATCTGCACGGATATCGAACAAGCGAACGTCAACCTTTATCAATCCCATCCCTCATCAAATGTCAAAGACAAAGGCTAAACAAAAGGCAGATAAATAATCAAGCAAGCACTTGACGAGCCTTCAGTTTAGCGGACCCGCTAGCCTACGGCGCTAAAAAGAGGGTTGTGTCTGGGGGCGAACGGGCCACAAAGCTGAACGCTCGTGTCCTCACAGAAAGGCTTTATCCCAGTGGAGCCTTCTGCCAAACGAGTGTCGCGCCTTACAGGGGCGATATTTTTTTGGCAGGCCATGCGGCTCGTGTCGCGTCATTTGTTCATTGTAGCACGCGCGGCTGCGAGGCTACACTATAATAACTTTTTATTTTCACCTTATCTCTATATATGTAATGATGCGACGATTTTTTTCAGCTTCTAATAATAAATTATACGCTTGAGCGATCCCGCTGTAAACGGGATTGTGTTATGTAGTTGGTAAGCAAATAATTTATCAAAAGGTATAGTGCCTTAGTTGGCTAATGTATATAATATACGATTGTTAAAATTATTGACAAATGTAAATCAACTCTTCTTATTTGATTTGCACCTATTAATTACGAGCATTTTAGTACTACTGCTTTGTACCAGAAGAAATCAATGCAAGTTACATTCGCAATAATTTATAACTTGCATACATTTCCTCCATCTGCCGCAATGAAATGTAAGAGTTGACGCTTTTGTAAGTTTTATTTTTAATTTTAATTCTTATGTATTTATAATAAAAAAACGTAGTATGGCCTCGCAGCCGTAAATCCACGTGCCATGTGAGGTATCATCGCAAAAAGTTTTCTACATGTCGCCAAATGATATTCCCTCCACGTCGACTGCCGAAAGCAGCTCGCAAGAAGCTTTTTTACCAACGAACCAATTGAATGCGTACATTGCCTAAATTTAATGTAAATCGCGGCTCGTCGTGTTTTTTTACTTTTTTATGTACTCATGCTGTTTATATTGTATCATTTATCGTCGTGCTTTTACGTTGTATTTGCCTAAAGAGTGTCAAAGTTGTCATGATTATTACAAACTGAGAAGAGTTTCTAGTTTATTGATGTATATGCTAACACAGATATTATAAATACTGATATCACTTCTTAACAATAACAACTGAACAAGCCACAAACATACGAATACTAACAGCAATTTTTAAAAAAAATTAGAATAATTTATACTTACTCTTTCACTTTTTACTATTGAAATACGTAAATATATTAATATATTATTCTGCCAAATAGTGTCATGCATATCTTTGTAGTTTATTGAAACTGGTTTTAATGAAAATGCAAGAAATAATAACGTTGATTCTGAAAGATTATGAATCTATTGCTATTTGTAGATAAATAATTATAAACTCGTTATCGGATAGAGTATATAAATTATTCGTTGATTATAATTATTGTTGATTCATGAAAATTTTAGGCATAAATTGTAAAATATTAAAAGTTTTAATATATTTGTGAAAAGTTAATTCAATGAAATAGCAATTATGATTATCAAAAAAGGTGATACTACGAAAAAACTCCAGTTTTTAAATTAAGGTATTCTTAGAAATTCAAATGCTTAATTAATTGAGCTCGATACGTAAAGTAAATGATTTTTCATAATTTTATAGTATATGCATTCCAATAATTGTAGACATATCGAATTTTCAGCATCGAACTTACTATATACCTATAAACGATGGATAGTACTGCTCTCAAGCATATAATTCATTCATCTTACACAATTGCCTCGAAAAAAAATTATTTAAAATGCATATAAGAAAAAGTCTGAAATATATTAGACGAAAAAGACATTTACAAAACTTGCTAAAGGTATAACTAAAAATATCACTAGTCTCTAAGTACATCGTTGAATCTTCGAAGATGAAAAGTGTAAAGTTTAATGTATGAAAGTCTCAAGTTGCCTGAGTTATGATAAATGACGTTATATGTAAGAAAAAGTGATGGGAAATCTTATAGCAATTATACGTCATATCATTGATTGAAATAAAAATTGTGTCCATTAAGTTTGTTCTGGTTGTTAACTGATGTAAAATTGATTTATAGTATACAATTTTGTCTTCTATATGCTAAAAAAATCAGGAAGGATATTAAATGAAAGTGACAATATTAATATTTGTCTAATCATTTTATCGATACATTTCTATAATCACTATTTTGTATTTCACACTTTTACAATGACATATTTTCAGAAGGACCAACTCTGTAACTTAATATTTCCATTCCTTTATTTACTTTGGCTAATGATTATTATCTAGATTTTAAACGAGCAAAGAATATCGGAAAAAATGCCATCGGTATTATTAAACGTAACATTTTTGTTGGTTTTTGAACGTGTAGCCTCATCGTCGTAACAACAACGTGTCATGTTCTAATATTTTAAAATAAAATAGAAAAATATATCTTGCGCTCATCTTTGCTTAGTAACTATCGAACGATCTGACTATTAGCTTAAAACGTTGCTACTCGCTAATGAAAAACATCGAACATTACGAATCGACGATTGCAAAAAATTGTTTTAACCATCGAGCTCGGACGAAAACTTGCATTGCCGATAGACATTTGATTGAATATTATTGCTGCTTCACGTAGAAATGGCCGCATTTCTGGCAAAATTGTGCACTATCCTTGAAGTCATCCTCGATCGAGCAAATAGTAGTCTTGCCGTCGGCGATATCGTTCAGGCAGTTAATTGCCCCGATGGTCTCGCTCTTGCACAATCCCTTGCTTACGAAATTCTCGATGAAGCCGTTGCTCATTATAATGCCGTCGTACGGCTGGATCTTGTCGCAGGAGCCGTTGCTATCGTTGGTGTCGTTGGTTTTGTCGTCGCTATCGTCTTGAGAATTTAAGTGGTTTTCGAGGCTCGTGGAAGAATCTTCTGAATTCATGCCAGGGATAAGTATATTATGGGGCTTTTATGTAACTTAAGCAGGTACAGGACAAACTAAGATGTGCGATTAGGTCTAAGATGTATAGATAGGAGTTAGTTTTTTATTACATTAGCGTTTAGCGTGTGTCTAGCTGGTGGCTCCAGCGGTAAACTTCATTATTTGTCCTTACCGATTGTCGATCCTGACTTATCGATGCTCAGGCTCGAGTCATTTTTGCTCGTCTGATCTTCGTCCTCGCGCACTTGCAACAGATTGGCGCAGGGCTCGGATAGTGGCCGGGCGCAGGATGCGTAGCCCTGCAAAAAAGAACGGGCCAAATTGTCGGAAAAATTTATGCCAAAAGTTTGCGCAAGGGCCGCCGAATTGTATATACCAACCTGAACCAAATCCATGCGCGAGTCGAGCGAGAATTGTTTGCCTGACATGAGAATTCCTCGGATGCGTCGACGCATAGCTAAGATAAGAACGATAGTATCGTTTGTAATGGCGAAAAAAACATGAAAAAGTTTAAAATTGTTGAAGTAAACGATTCTTAAATCTACGTAAATATAAGCAGAAAAGAAACAAACAAAAACAAAAATAATAAATTGTATGAAATTCAAGTAAAAACGATAAGAGACATACGTGCGAGCCACGAAAAGCATAAAAAATTCAAGGACAAAATAATAAAGCGATTGATCCAGTCAATCAGGTAATTTTAAAAGAATTGCAAGCTACGTAATAATAATTGAAGGTATCGCACGAAAGATAGAAACGCGTATCAATACCTGGACTATCCCGAGCCTCCAGACGAAGCTGGCCAAAGGTCTTCATGCACTCGTTGAAGACGTCGGCCGCATCGTATATGGCGGCAAAACTGCCGTTCACTATCTTCGGTGACATCGGAGAATTGGCCAGCAGGAGGCTAGAGCCGAAATGTTCGTTTCTCTCGCGAGTTTCTGTAAAAATTCAGGCCTCAAATGTCGATTTTATATTATATATAAAAAAAATACAAAAATAGTTTTTGATTGTTACCGGCTAAAGTGACTCGTGTTCTGGCTGGTGACACACTGCCTGTTCCCAAAATCTCCGTGGCTGTGCTCTTTATTTCAGCCCAATCTCGAAGAATATCGTTATTGGTAGTACTGAAAAATAACAAGAATATAATATATACTCTACTGTATTGCATCGTAGAAAAAAGACAATGTTTAACTTACTACGTAGATGTAATGGTGAATCTAACGACGTATTTTCCGTGCAATGCCGCTGGGACGCAATGTACGCGTCCTCGAGAATTCATTTTCTTAAGTAATTTTTCCGTCAGTGAATTCTCACCTCGCAGTCGAAAGACTACCATGCCCAAATGTCTGGCGGCTGGTATTTCGAAACGAGAATCAGCCAGAACTAGAGCCTCGAATTTTTGAGCTAATCGTACTCCCTTAAAACAAAAACTCGTTCAATTTACTTCGATATTTTGAGAGTTTACTGATTATTACCTCGCGAATGTGTTTTTGCAAACCCGAAACTCCGTAATTTCTGATGACAAACCATAACTTGAGGGCTCGGAATCGTTTTGATAGTGGTATTTGCCAATGCTGCTCAACAAAAATATTACAATTAATTATTGAATCATTGTGGTACATTTTCAAGAGAATATTTTTAAAGAAGAAGCTAAAATCACTGACCATGTAGTCAATTGCCAGGCCTGCAGTGTTAGCAATCAAACAAGAAAAAAATGCTCAAAAATGTTATTTCTTAAACTGACGCAAAGAAATGAACTGTGATTACCTGAATTTTCGTGTTTGAGATAGATTGGATCTACATTGAATGTTCTATGCAGATTTTGACTATTCCTAACCCTGGTAACAATAATATTCATTAAAATTGAAAACTGCTCAATGAAATACCATTTTTTGTTTCTACAAAAAAGAAAAATAATTACCACATAGCGGTACAATCAAAGTGAACCATGAGCCACTTGCTGGGATTAAAAGCGAAAGACTCGGCGTGCTCGATGCCCTTCATCCAGCCGCGAAATTCCGGGCATATGAAGGCGCTTCCGGCGTAAGCGGCGTCGATGTGCAGCCACAATCCATTTTTCGCACCTGCACAACAACGAATGCATCCGATCAAGAATGGCCTGGTCTATCATTGCTTCTCTTTGCTTTCTATTTTTACGCTCGTTACTCACATATCGGTCCAATTTCTTCGACATTATCGAACGAGCAAGCTCCAGTCGTACCCAGCGTCGCGCAAACCTTCGATTTTTATGATTATTACGTGGGAGTCGACGGTAAAGGCAAAATTGAGGGTAGAAAAATGTCAGAAGTAAATTAATTAGCGAATCATTTTTGTATACACATTTTCCCGCGGGAGCCAACTAAAATCAGACTCGGTGGAATTTTTAATAAGCTTATTATTATTTCTTATATAATTCCCCACAAAGTCTCCTCAAGATCCTCTTATTAAAAAAAAATAAAAGAAAAACAGTAGAAAAAGAAACAGTTTTATACGCTCTCTATGTCATGCTTATAAAAAGCACGAGACTTGATTTTTACTCTCATTACTAGCAATCAAGAAACGGATATAATTTGACGTTGGAAACTCACGAAAAATGGCACGAGCCCGTCCTCGCGATCTCGCTCGAGCGCCTCGATCAGCATTTCGCCCCTCATGCTGAGATTCTCGTCGGAATCGATGTATCTCATGCGCACTAATCCAATGAGTCCAGCCTTCTCGACGCTCGAATGTGCCTGCACAGAGAGAGAGAAAGCGAGAAACCGTATATAGCAGTGCTTACGATTACGAGATAATCTGCAGGAGGATAAAGCAGAGCCGAGGGACGTACTTGGTCGGAGCAGTAGGCGACGAGCCTCGAGTTGATCTCGGCGACGGACAGCTCCGGGTTGGTCTCCTGCACGTCGCGGATGGCTCGGGTCCTGGCGGCCAGCAGGCACACGAGGGTGGCCTCGCTCGCGGTCGTTTGAATGACGCCCCCGCCGCTTCCGGTGCTTCCGGCTTTGTGCAGGAAGTCATCCGGCAGGCCGATCATCTTGCCCAGCCAGTTCATCACGATGGTCTCGAGCTCTGTGCAGACCGGGCTCGATGCCTGAACGGGAGCGTTAAATAAAAAATAAAAAAAACGATTGCAGCCCTCGAAAGCGACCTTGGCGCGTGCGGGTGATTTTGCAATATGACTCGCAGTCGGTCGACCTTACCCAAGTGAAACCTAAGCAGTTGATCGCGTCGGCCAGCATGTCGGCGAGCAGACTCGCGGGCGAATTGAGCGCTGGAAAATAGGCGTGCATGTGGGGGGACTGCCAGTGGGTGACGCCGGGCATGATGCACTTTTCGATGTCGTCGAATATGGCCGACCAGGCCTCGCCGTTGACGGGCGCCGAGCTCGGCAGGATGTTGCGCAGGTAGCCCGGCGACACCGCGGGATACACGCGGCGGCTGCGGATCGTCTCCAGGTAGTCGGCTATGTAGTCGACCATTTCCTTGCCTTCGCGCATTATTATCATTTTTTTTTATTTTATCTTATTTTTATCAACTTAACGTAATGAGGAAAGCGATGAGGCGGAAATTCGATGAAATTAAACGGGGAATAAAAAGAACACAAGGACAATGAGAGCGACGAATAAAGGAGAACTCGAGCTAAAGACGTTAGAAACAAAAATTCGCTGCTAAAACATATATATATTTCGCGTCGAATGGGAAAAGGTAAATGATAGAGACCACCGTCGAATGAAAGATTGAACCGGAAATCGTTTTCTAAGGAAGAGTCTGTAATAGAAGAGCTCGAAGAAATACACCCAGTCGAGTGCTTGATAGAATCTAAATCTTCGCTTAGATATATAAAAGCTCTGTCAATTGCCGCATAGATATATACACAAGTCCAATATAAATAACTATTATCAGCGTTTAATTGAAAAAAGAAAAACTAAAATAAAGTAAAATAAAAAAAAAACATTGTACAAACAAAGTGCGCCCGATTGTACGGCATAATACAACGGATGGCGCAATCTGATTCCTTTTCATTTACAAAGTGCAAATAAATAAAAATCGAGGAATTATTGAGTTGTATATGCATTATAATATGAAAACATCCAAGTCCGACATTTATCGCACTTTCGATTTTTCCCTTATACGATCCAAATAAAACGGTAAATGAAATTGATAGGCAGGAGAAAAAGACAATATTCCAAGCTCGTAAAATTCTGTCTCCAGCTTGTGTGTATGTACGTGTGGGCTGCACTTTTTTCTCTGCCTCTCTCTCCTCCCTTTCGACGGGTATTTAAAGTTGCGAGAATCCCGATCGTCTCTTTATTTTATTCAAAGGCTAAGCCAAGGCGCGCGTGTACGCGATAAAATAAGAAGCCAATTTAGTGCTGTGCTTTTATATATATAATGTACTTTTGCGCGCTACGCAGTTTCTGCGATGGGAAATACCATGCGTGATCCGCAGTGGTCTTTAATTGGAAATTTTTGGGCGAACTAGGTCAGGAAGAAACGCTTAGTGTCCGTACTGCTACTTCATGGAAAGAGAGAAGAAAAACTCACCGTGCTGGCGATACTCGTCGAGATTCATACTGGGTCCTGCTTTTGTATGGTCTGCTTCTTTTCTTGTCTGATTCTTTACTCGGCGATTCTTCGATCACTTGTTCTAGGAGGCGGACAAAAAAATGTCGACAACGAGTAAAAATTGCACAGCGCGAAAATTGCTCAGCTGATTATAATATTTATATTATAATATATAGAGCCACTTAAGCACGCACAAACGTCCCACGCTCTTTATTCCAGCGGTTTTCTAAAGCTTCGAGCGTCGCCGCTGGCTGGTGATAAGAATCGACGATCCTCCTTACAGGACCCAAATTTCGAAATTCCGATCGCACCGTTTCACGCGCATGAGTCTTAAATTTTACCCTGCCGAAAAGCGGACGAGAAATGTTTGGAAATTGCGACGAGCGCGCCGAAAACCTTTAATCAGCCGACGACTTCTTGCGCACTTGCACCGACGACGGGCACTTGTGTATTATTTAGCTATGCACACACTGCTGTGAGAAGAGGTAAAGGTGAGCTTGCGGCCGATGCGTCCGGCTCGGCGTTTGGAAGTGAAATGATGAAAAGTTCAAACGCACACGCGAGTTATACAAAGCGGACGATTTAATGTTGTAAGGATTCGCATTGAGTATTTATAATATCGATCTTCATGTCATTGAGTCCGAGCTTATTAAGGTAGGTGTCGGTTGCTTACTACTATACGGCACACATACGTCATGGCCTAGAGCTACATTACCTCTGCGTTCGCACGCGCTTAATTGCATTTCGTTTTGCGCCCCTTTGGAGTCGCGCGCGGGCCGACAACGAATTTTCGGCCGTAGCTGACCCCGCGCAACGATAGCCGCGCGAGCTGGCTCGAAGCGGGCCCGAGTTGTGCAAAAAATCGCAACGCAACGCGCCTCAATGTCTTGGCCGCTCGCGCGCGCTAAGGTCAAGACGAGGAGGTTGCACACGTCAGCTATTATTCGGAGAAAATAAACGTTAATCATTTCCTGTAACGAGAGATTAAAGATTCGTGTGCGCGGGGAAGTCGTAAAAGTGTGAGTTGCACTTCTCACCTCTGTTACATGCGCGCTTCTGCACCCGACGACGTGTTTATCTATTGGACTTTAGACCCGAAGTTTCTCTCTCGCACTCAAGCTCGAGGCAATAAATATAAGTGTCTTGGCGCATTTATCGTGGAAATATAGAGAGGCACGAAAAAAAAAGAATCACTCGAGAGTCGTCGATAGGCGCGCGCGAGCAAGTCCACGGCATAGGCCTGCATACACTGGGCTCTATGCAGTCGGCATTGGGGGATGTACATTGAATATTATTAAAAGCTCCACGCAGCCTTCCATAGCATCCGTTTCCGACTTTTGTAATTTCCCGTGAGCTTTACGATATATTCACTTCCTTGTGTGTCGATTCGTCGAGTATGCTTTCGTGCGCGCGCGAGAAAACGAAATCGCATATAATGGCATTAAAAGTTCTTTCGGTTGATTAGCGTTTCGCATTTTATCATAGCAAAAGAGAAACGTATTGCACCTACCTTCGGCGAGGCGACACTTCGCTGACAATGGCCAACCGATTTATCCCAACGATCTCGTGAACTTGTACCTTGTATTATATTATTTATCTTTTCAATGGCAACGACTTTCGGATCGATTTATTTACACCTTTATGCGCCTCTCTCCAGCGGGGGATTTGACGACGTCGAGAAGCACTTGTGCAAAAGGCAGGGAAAAAAAGAAGAGGCGAAAGAGAGAAGGAGAGACAGAGAGAAAGAGAGAGAGAGAGAGAGAGAGAGAGAGAAAGAGAGGAAGAGAGAAAGAGAAAGAGAGAAGCACCACTTATGATGGAGAGAATCCGTATGTGGCACTGGTAAACGATATTAGAGCTGCTGCGATGCCACGGAGCTGTATGGGATATCGCTCAACAAGTGGTGGCCTTTTATATAGAACACGGGAGGGAAGGATCCGTTGGCGCGCAGAGAGGGTTGAGGGACGGTTTCTCGCCTTAGCGCAAGCGCTCGCACTTCAGCAAATAGCATAGCCATGTACATCCGAGATTTATTTTTTTCCTCCTGAACTTTATGAATTTATTTTACTAATTGACGTTTAGTTGAAAATGTCATGTTTTCGATGGAGATTTTTAGAAAAAAATGCAGCATTTAGTTTACCATAAAAGCTTTGAGTTAGCATTACTTTAAGTATTAAGAAACTAAGTCATTGCGTTGTAGTGTCTGGTAGAAAAATTTATTCAGGTCAACAATAAATTAACGATATTGTTTTGCTTGAAAAATTATCACGAGGCGTTTTTTCTCTGTGGACGTATTTATAAAAATTTTCGCAATCTACTGTATGAAAAATTGTCTCTCTACAAGACCATTGCGGCAAAGAGGATCGTTCCCGCAGATTAAAATCTGCCTTATCGATCGAACAAAAAAAAGTTCATTCGTGATAATGTTTAAGAGCATCAAAAACTTTTTATCAACGTCATTGCCGCATGATGCAGGTTATTGGAAAAATAATTCAAGTCGTGAATTAGAACGAGAGAAAAGTCGCTCGCGCGAGTTCCAACGAGGGCCTGTAGATGGCATTACCGGAGAGTCTGGATTCGCGCGAAAACCGATCGTCTTCGCGATGCAAAGAGAGACACATAGTACCGGTTTACCAAGATCGGCGAAGCGTAACAAGACATTACATTACAATGGAAACGTATCGAACAGAATGACATGCTGAATTATGCAATTTAAAAATTATCTTCCCAACCGAACTCCACGAAGCAAAGCAATTTGATTATTCGACAAATGACTTTTCATAGGGAAAAGTGCTACAATATATGTGTGATGGATACGTCTCATCGAATCCCGTAAAATGTCTAAACTCCCAAACGAGCAGCATAGGCGCAGACACGGAGGAAGAATAAAAAGTCTGCAACTCGTTCGTGTCCTTACATACACGTACAAGTCAAAGATACAATTATCGAGTCGCGATAAAACACCGTATGCCATAATATATACAAGCTCGGAGAGTCGAGGCGCTCTATGTATCTTTCCTTCGAGCATAAAGAAATATTCTACCTATATAGTCTTCATTGAAGGCTCGCTGAGAGAAAGAGAGAGAAAGAGAGAGAAAGAGAGAGAGAAAGAAAGAGACAGGGACGTCGACGAGTACCGTTTGACGCCGCGAGCAGCAGCCAGCTGTATAGTATTCGTGCGCGTATATATATATATGCCCAGAACAACGTGTATTATGGCACACTATATGGCTCGAGTGAGAGAGAGAGAGACTCAAAGAAAAGAGAGAAGATATATGAGTGTATAAAAAAAATGAGCAAAATCCATCGTGGTTCTCTCTCTCTTGTGCAGAGGGTACACACACTTTGAGCGTATATATGCAGTGCAGACAATGAGGATCGAGAGGGGACTCGACTCGCGCCCTATTGTTTGATAAGTAAATTTATGCCTCGGCAAGATTTGAGCGATATCGCGCGTCCGAGGCGAGCACTAAGCATAATTATTACCGGGAAGCCTCGCGGAATCGGCCATTCCGGCAATTTTACAATCGATTAATATTAAATCATAGCTGCGAATCGTGTGTGTGTGTGTGTGTGTACGCGAGTCGTTACGTAAGGCGCAAAGAGGTGCGCACAAACACACACTTGTCGCGTACACGTATTATACCCTATACTGGACGCTGGTTCACGTGAAAAAGACAAGAAAGGGCCATTGTACCGTTATATTAACACACATATATACATCGATGCAATCGGCGCTCTTAGTCGTCGTCGTTCGCGACAAGAGCGCGATTTTCCACGACGACTCCGAGATATTGACCCAAAGAGGCGCTTTTCGCACGATCGACTCGCGCCGCGGACAGTTAAGCGCGCCCGAGAGACAGAGAGACAGAGAGAGAAGAAGAAAAAAGCTGCACACAGCTTCGCTTCGCTTCTCGAGGAGAGATGTCTTATGGGCGCTCGGACGCGCTTATATCTAATACTGATTGGATTGTTTTATGTTTACTGCGACGTTGATTGCGCGTCCCTGCGTGTGTGCATGCGCGTGTATGTATATCTGCACACCAGCGTGTGAAACTATCTTTACGCTACTGCGTGCTGCATTGTATTACACGTAATACGTAGCTATACGCGCTGTATGAAGCGTTGGACGGGGCATTAAGGTGTCTATTATTGCTCGTGAATTGATGGCTCTTGATTTTTCGCTCTCTCTTGGGAAGAAGGAGCTACGAAGCTACCGCGCGAATCCGAATTATCTTATTTATACATATTGCAATATATGTATGTAGACACGTCCGATAGAGCAACAAAGACGTCGAGAAGTTGACTGACGGGCAGGAAACGATTTTTCACCCGACGAACAAGAAGAAGAAGCCCTATTCTTATCGACTTTATCATTATAAAACGATACAAACGAGCATAATGCGATGATATAACGAGTTGGTGTGCGTCCACTATTTTTAGAAGTAAAAGCGAAGCTTTCTGTCTCTCTGTCTCTCTCGGTGCTATAAATATGCGTTCGCGACGACGACGACGTCGCGCGTGCACGAGCAAGAGAGACGAAAAAAAGCCCCCGCGCCAAAAATTTGCCCATACTGTATGTAGTAGGTACTGCACGTTCGAGGCTCGCGGCGTGGCGTACCTATATACATGCCGCTCCGCCGCCGCCACGGCTAAAAAGCCGTCACGCAACTTTTGGGACTTGTAAGCATTGATTCGCGAGGGAAGGAGAAGAGTACCGCTACGGATAGTCGGCTCGATAGTATGTGTGTATCAACACGGGGAAAAAGGTCCTCCTCGCTGTACGAGTCGAGCTATACATAGGTATACCTGCGCCAGTCCCCCGGACCGAAGAGAGGGAATTGCAAGGAGGTAGAGAGGCGCAACGCGAGGCTCTTGCAGCAGCAGCAGCAACTCTCTGCGGTGTAGCGAGCTTTTACCGTTTCACCACGAGGCGAACCTTGTCCGGAAGGACGAAGTATTAGCGAATATATATACGTATACGTACGTAGCTGCTATACGTCTCTCTGTGTGTAGGTATGTTAGTGTGTGTGTGTGTGTGTGCCATACACACAGACACTCGTACAACTTGGCTCGGTCCACGCAGTTCGTTCAACTGCACACAAGCAAAGAGATGCACCAAGAGGTTCTTGACTCTCCTTTGCACGGCACGAGCGGCTAACGTGCATCGAGAGCCTCGCCGCCGAGGCATATATGTATTATATATGTGTGTGCATGTGCGTGCGTGCAGCGTGAGCCACGCTCGAGGGGGGGAACGAGTTAGGTCGAATTTCGCCAAATTTCTTCTTTGCTCGCGCCGAAAGATTGGCTTCCGATTATGGGGATCGTGGGCTCGGCGAGACAATCGAAAAATGCCTATAAATATCCCCTGTGTCTGGAAAACAAAACGCTCGAACATCCGCGAGCCATAGTCATTAACAATTTGAGCGTGATTCAGACTTCGCTTTGAATCATTGAAATTTCGTTTTTGGTATTCACGTCGTTATTCAGCATCCTCATTGGTATTGGCAAATATTTGATTATTGTTGTAGTTATAATAATTCATTTATTACAAGCATTTTCATCATTTT